ATCTGTCTACATGCAAGCTGCGCCACATGTCACAGAGAGGCTAATGAGGGCAGCAAGACACGCAGGTAACCATGGGGAATATGGGTATTTGTCACTTGATACAGTGCTGTAATGTGTACTCCACGTCGTGTACAGTGTGTACTGTGCTCACACGTTGATGTGCTTGCATGGTTTTGCCACAGGTGCGGGTCCTGGGGGAGAGAGCGCTGGCCAAGTTATGAATTTGCATCTTGAGTCCGACTCGAAGGCCTTCTGGCAGCGCATGGGGAGAGGGACCACAACGGTGGAGGATCTGTTAGCGAGGCCAGATAGATCCCTGATAGGTGTAGAGTTTAAGTTTCCAAAATGGGAGAGAGGAAAAAATGGCGAGCCTAGAAGAATAGAAGGAAACGGATGGGGCGGGGAACGCAACCAAGCTGCAGCAACCGTCCTGCCGGGTGAAGGTAAGAACCTAGTTAGATGCTAGTGCGAAACATGCGTGCTGCGTTTAAACACCGGATCCCCAGGCGAATGAATATCGTTCCACCAAAAACTTCCCTCCCCCTCCCAGCCCTGTGGGCCTGATGCTTGTTTCCCCCGCGGCACTGCCAAGACTAAAACGATCCCGTCCCCCCTGGCACCTGCACTTCTATTCTGCCTATTATCTCTCACCAACCCTAAATCATATTTCTGTCCCTATTCGCTCTTCCCCGTCGCACTGCCCGGAATTCTGTCGCCCCCCGCTCTGCCCTGGATTCTTGTCCTTTCCACCCTCCCCCGACCTGCCTTGAATCCCTTCCCACTCGACTCTTGAGGGATTCAGTTCCCTCTCAACCATCCTGAATTCTGCACTTCATTCCTAAAGTCTCTTCCCCCCATCTCGAATAATGCTTCCGCCCGCCCTAATTCTTGTGAAGAGCGCTGCATGTCAACAGAAACCCCACAAACAAATGAGGACGGACATGGGCCGTGCTTGCCGGCCGAGAACGTGTATGGGGTTGAGGGGGTGAGTGTCGAAGACAATACACAACCGCGAGGCGCTCATTCGAGCGAACAAGCGGGTGGCCCTTCTGAGGGGCCAAACAGGTACAAGCAATAATTGTGTGTTGAAATAATAACCCATATGTTCTTTTCCACATTTATTGATAAGATGGTCAGTAGCACGTGCACACCCTCAGAAAAACCAGTCCAGTTTCTTATCCCGCTTGATTTCTGTGCATGCAGACAGGATGCTGGCAGCGTGACGCGCAAGCGTCGTTGGCCTCGTGGTTGGCCAAACCCCCCAAATTGGGAGGATTTTCCTGCCGACATGGTGTGTTTTCTCGATCCGAGGGTGATGGTATCGTTCTTTTGTGGTCGCGCCTTAGGCACGTGCGTGAGGTCTGCGTGCAGAGGTGCAATGCAACTTGAATCGTGGAAGCGGTCATGGGCATGTCTGGGGTTGATGTGGTTGTGCAATGTTTGCTCAGCCAAGGAAGAATTATGGTCAAGTAGTCGAGTGAGAGATGACCTACCTCCCAGCAAGCGTGGTCCACGTAGTCCGCCATTGATGGGTAAGATGATTGGAGCATTCGCTCTTGCCGGGATCGGGTATCAGCAGATGTGGGAGGTATGTCGCACCCTCGGCGTGCCTAGGCCAGGGCATGAAACATATTACATCGGTGTTAATGATAGGGAGAATGCAGAGATGGATAGGGGGAGAGGGTGAGGGGCGGAGATAATGCATCGGTGGATAGGGGGAGAGGGTGAAGGGCGGAGCAGCAGGAGCGGGTGGAGGACTTTGACGTGGGGGGCATAGAGGCATACAACATGCACAGGGGTGACTGTTGAAGGACGGAGGGTTCTCCTTCGGAATCCCACCTATTCGCTGCAAGTTCTTGGTGAGGAGGGGGAAGGAAGGTTCCATTGCACGCCCCGTGTGTCCTGGCCATAGCAGTTTTATCTCCCTGCCTTTCGCTCCCGGTTCCCATTTCTCCGTCAATTTTTAACCGATCCGGGAGAGGGGAGCACACCCATTTCTTCTGTTCCGCCCATCCCTCCTGTCCCATCCTCTCTTGCCTGCCCGTCCTCTCTTCCCCGTCCCATCCTCTCTTCCGTCCCACATTCCCATCTCCCCCTGCATGTCAGCCAACGGAGAGCATGCTGCAGATCTGTGAAGAGAGTGGCCGAGACCTCGCCAGGGAGGTGAGTCATTGCCCTGTCTGCTCTGCATTGCTCATGCTGTCCGTAGTGCACGGAATGCCCGCCGTGGCCGCCCTGTCCGCACCGCACGCACTACACTGAAAGGCACTTCAAAATGTACAGTCAGCGCTGACCCTAGCACTCTGCACCAATTTAAGCATTCTTGTTTCCCGATCACCTTTCTCCACGTCTCTCCACCTCTCTCGGCCCTCCCGCCTCGATCTGTGCTCAGACCCGCAAGGGCAAGGCCAAGCTGCGCAGCACATCAGCCAAGTCACCACCAGCCATTTCCCTTGCTCCCTGCTCACCCCTTCCTCGCCTAACTCCGTCTCTACAGTACTGGCTCCTTCCTTCGATACCACCTCTTCTCCCCCATCTCCTCTCCCTGCCAACATCGTGCCACTCCCCCCCTCCCCCTGCACAAGCACTTGCTTCCAGCCTGTCTTTCCCCTTCTCCTCTCGCAGCCTACCGTATCCCTCTCACGTGTGGGTAATAATGAGCCATAGCCGCACAAGCTGTGGCAGGGTGACGAACAATGCAGTACACACCGGCAGCTTCCAGGAGACGCATTGTCTTCAATGGTGCAGCATGGAATGTCTTTCATGCCTGTGCCATAATAAGCGACAGCGGCGTCGCCACTGTATGCTCTACTCGCTCCCCCATGGCTAGAAGCTGGGAATTGAAACATTCCCTTCCCCATCCAGTAACATACTTGACTGCACACAAAGGGCTACTTCATTGATCTGGTTGTCGCTTTGCTGTGATGGTCATCCATCTACCTATCACACTATTGCGGACTGTGTAAAAAGAGTAACACATGTAAATACAATAAGTTGTTCCCGATAACCCTCCCTCCCGCACTAAAAATCAGTAAATTCCAGACTCCTGAGTCGCCAGGTGGACAATTGACGATTGTCTAGCATCGATTGACCTCATCCCAAAATCAATCTCGTCAGGGATGACCCATTCCAGGTTGAACCAGTCCACATCGCCTTGACTACATTTTCTGTAACCCACGCCCGTTGGCTCGGGGTAAAGCGAGCCGATCACGACGTGAATTAGCCATGGCAAAGTCACCTGTGCATACTGATGATCACCTAACAAGGCAGAGTATTGAATGTAGCAACAAAAACGATGGTTCTTTGCCCCCATAGGTTGACCATCCATATCCTCATCCGTGTTTTTTCCCAAGCACACCCTCAGAATGCTCGCCACACTAATTCTCTGACTCCCGGGGCCCTCCTCGTCCGACAATCCGAGCCAATGTCGCGCCCAAGCGTCAAGAACACGATATTGCTTGGCATATCGCGCCTCAAACTCAGATATGGACCACCATTCTTTTGCATATTGAACCTGTGGGGGTAGTCCCGTTGGTTGCACAACTCTTCGAGATCGAACTCTGGGAAAGGGATGCGTTGTGCTCGCGGCAACCGAACGAGTATGGGCGGAGAGGGTGCCCGTACTTGCCGTGACCATCGACTCCGGTCCACGTCGCCGACCCCTCTCCTCCTCCTCATCCTCGGAACCCTCCTCCCCAACCCTGAATCCAAGCGTCAGCCGTCTCCGAGGAGTACGTCGCCATGATGACATGGCTGATGAGGTGTGTGGTTTAGAGTGTGAGAAACGAGAATATCAGGCAGAAAAACAAGAGAGAGAGAGGGGTTAGGGAGTGAAAGGGGAGGGGGCGGGGGGGCTTCGGTTTCGGATTACGCAAGTCACTGAAGTGAGTTGGATGTGAAGGGGAGGGTGGGCAGGTCAGGAACTGCACGACAGGTCCGGCAGCTGGACGAGGGAAGGAGACCGTATAGTTGGTCCTCCGGATCGGAGGACCATGAGAACGAACTCTGATAAGGTTTGGAGCAACGTAGCAAAGGAAGAAAGGGGTGCCAAACCAAAACCACGAGTGAAGGTAGGGGTGCTGGGAAATAAAGGGGCGTGGACTTCCAGCGCAAGGACTGAAGCCGGGTTCACAGGCCGCTGTGAAGCAAAGGAAGAAAGGGGAAGAGAGAGGAATGGGAGGGGACGGGGCAATTGCGGATGGGAAAGAGGAGAAGTGAGAGGAATAGTGGTACTATGTGTGCGCCGGTGATGGGAGAGGAATAGGAGGGGACGGGGCAAGTGCGGATGGGAAAGAGGGGTTTGCAGATTTAATTACAAAGAGGTTCGGAGGATGGCAAGGGAGAGATGGCAGATGGGAAGTAAGGCTAATCAGAAACTCAGGATGCGAGGGTGCTGCGATGGAAGAGAGGAGAGGTGGGATGGAAGGGATTGAGGATGGGCAACCCAGAAAGGGGACGGCATGGGAGCTAGAATGGCACCCACGGCAACTCGGTATAATGCAGGGGGGTTTCCAACATGGGAAGGCGGTGAGGGTGCTCGCGTATGAGCTTGTGGGACGCGGGGACCCTAAACCCCTAAACTAATGTGAGAGAAGTAGGAAAGGGAGAGTGATGGTTCAGTGTGGAAAAGGGCAATGGGACGGCTAATAGGGGTGATGGAAAGTAGTGTTAAGGGGCTGTGATTTGGAGGAAAGATAAGGCAGGGAGAGCACGAGAGGAATGAAGCATCAACCGAGGGACCATATTGAACCTGTGTGGGCAGGAAGATTAGGGATGGAGACTGTGTAATAGGTTCTTGAAATGGGACGGCTGGGGGTTGGGAAGGTAGGGGTGCAGAGATGGAAGGGGGGAGGGCTCCCATCTAAAGAACCGGCGTCGGGTGCACGGGCGCTTGAGTAGCAACAGAAGATCGGGGCGAGTGAGCTGGCGTAGTAGGGGATGGGGGAAGTGCGGATGGGAGGGAGGGAATTGCAGAATTGATGTCAAGGTGCTGTGGATGGCTAGTGATGGATTTCAGATTTGAAGACAGAATACTCAGAAACTATGAATAATGAGGTGGGAATCCCAATGTGGGGAAGCTGTGAGGAGGGTGGTGTCAGAACATTTGGGATGCGAGGCAAAAAATAGGGTGATAAACAGGGAGGGAGGGTGACAGTTGAGTGGGATGGAAGGGAGTGAGGGGGCAAAGATGGGTAGAGGGGGACAAGAGGAGCAGAGGAGGGAAAGAGGAGCAGAGAGCGAAGGAGCCTCACAGGAGAAAAGTGGAGCTGGGCGGAAAAAGAGGGGCATAGGGGGAACAGCGGAGCTTCGGGTTGGAAGTGGTGCAGAAAGGAGAAGGACCAGCGGAAGGGGGTAAGATGAGCATAGGGGGACAAGAGGAGCAGAGGGGGAGCGAGGGCGTACATGTGGGAAATAGAGGGCGTGCAACGAGGGTTTTCTGCGGGCGTGCAGGGGGACTGCGGAAGCACCGCCGTTGCAAGAGTGTGGGCGGGGGTGAGGGCAAAAGACACGATCAGCGACGCCAACGGAGGCTGTCGCGAGACGCGGAGGCAGCGTGGAGAGAGAAGGTGAAGTCCCTCACGCCTCCTAGATCCTCACTGTTGGTGATTTGGAGGAAAGGAGGACGCAATGTGAGTAGAAAGGTGGACGTGCGGTGAGTTGAAAGGAGGACGCAAGGTGAGGAGAGAGGAGGACGCGAGGTGAGGAGAGAGGAGGACGCGAGGTGAGGAGAGAGGAGGACGTGAGGTGAGGAGAGAGGAGGACGTGAGGTGAGGAGAGAGGAGCACGCAAGGTGAGGAGAGGGGAGGACGCGAGGTGAGGAGAGAGGAGGACGCGAGGTGAGGAGAGAGGAGGACGCGAGGTACAGGAAAGAGGTGCACGCATGGTGTGGAGAGAGGAGCACGTGAGGGGAGGCGAGAGGAGCACGCTAGGGATGGTGAGAGGAGGACGCGCGGGGAGGCAAGAGGAGCGCGTGCGGGGGGGCGATAGGATGCCGCGCGAGTGGCGAGAAGAGCGCACGCGGGAGGCGAGAGGATCTCGCGCGGGCTTACCAGGCAGGTGCGCGCGCTGGGAGGAGAAACGTGTGCGTGTGCACGGGATTCCCGAGTGAGGAAACGTGGGCGCCCCTGTCAGGATAGTGGGAAGTGGTAGGGACCCGCATACGTCGAAAGTGGGTGGTAGTGGAGCCATTTCACGAAGCGTCGCAAGGAGACGGTCCCTCCCTTTAATCCAGTATGGTCGCATGTATTGTGAGGAGAGAGGCGCACGCAAGGTGAGGAGAGAGGAGCACGCAAGGTGAGGAGAGAGGAGGCCTCAAGGTGAGGAGAGAGGAGCACGCAAGGTGAGGATAGAGGAGCACGCAAGGTGAGGATAGAGGAGCACGCAAGGTGAGGATAGAGGAGCACGCAAGGTGAGGAGAGGGGAGCACGCAAGGTGAGGAGAGGGGAGCACGCAAGGTGAGGAGAGGGGAGAACGCAAGGTGAGGAGAAGGGAGCACGCAAGGTGAGGAGAGGGGAGCACGCAAGGTGAGGAGAGGGGAGCACGCAAGGTGAGGAGAGGGGAGCACGCAGGGTGAGGAGAGGGGTGCACGCAAGGTGAGGAGAGGGAGCACGCAAGGTGAGGAGAGGGGAGCACGCAAGGTGAGGAGAGGGGAGCACGCAAGGTGAGGAGAGGGGAGCACGCAAGGTGAGGAGAGGGGAGCACGCAAGGTGAGGAGAGGGAGCACGCAAGGTGAGGAGAGGGGAGCACGCAAGGTGAGGAGAGGGAGAACGCAAGGTGAGGAGAGGGAGCACGCAAGGTGAGGAGAGGGGAGCACGCAAGGTGAGGAGAAGGGAGCACGCAAGGTGAGGAGAGGGGAGCACGCAAGGTGAGGAGAGGGGAGCACGCAAGGTGAGGAGAGGGGAGCACGCAAGGTGAGGAGAGGGGAGCACGCAAGGTGAGGAGAGGGAGCACGCAAGGTGAGGAGAGGGGAGCACGCAAGGTGAGGAGAGGGGAGCCCACGCAGGGTGAGGAGAGGGGAGCACGCAAGGTGAGGAGAGGGGAGCACGCAAGGTGAGGAGAGGGGAGCACGCAAGGTGAGGAGAGGGGAGCACGCAAGGTGAGGAGAAGGGAGCACGCAAGGTGAGGAGAGGGGAGCCCACGCAGGGTGAGGAGAGGGGAGCACGCAAGGTGAGGAGAGGGAGCACGCAAGGTGAGGAGAGGGGAGCACGCAAGGTGAGGAGAGGGGAGCCCACGCAGGGTGAGGAGAGAGGGGCACGCGCAAGGTTGGCGATCGAAGAGCATTGGAGGTGAGGAGAGAGGGGCACGCGCGGGGAGGCGAGAGGAGCACGCAGGGTGAGGAGTGAGGAGCACGCGCGGGGAGGCGTGGGAGGCATGCAAGGTGAAGAGAGAGGAGAACGAGTAGGTGAGGAGAGAGGAGCACGCAAGGTGAGGAGAGGGGAGCACGCAAGGTGAGGAGAGGGGAGCACGCAAGGTGAGGAGAGGGGAGCACGCAAGGTGAGGAGAGGGGAGCACGCAAGGTGAGGAGAGGGAGCACGCAAGGTGAGGAGAGGGGAGCACGCAAGGTGAGGAGAGGGGAGCACGCAAGGTGAGGAGAGGGGAGCACGCAAGGTGAGGAGAGGGAGCACGCAAGGTGAGGAGAGGGGAGCACGCAAGGTGAGGAGAGGGGAGCCCACGCAGGGTGAGGAGAGGGGAGCACGCAAGGTGAGGAGAGGGAGCACGCAAGGTGAGGAGAGGGGAGCACGCAAGGTGAGGAGAGGGGAGCACGCAAGGTGAGGAGAGGGGAGCACGCAAGGTGAGGAGAGGGGAGCACGCAAGGTGAGGAGAGGGGAGCACGCAAGGTGAGGAGAGGGGAGCACGCAAGGTGAGGAGAGGGGAGCACGCAAGGTGAGGAGAGGGGAGCACGCAAGGTGAGGAGAGGGGAGCACGCAAGGTGAGGAGAGGGGAGCACGCAAGGTGAGGAGAGGGGAGCACGCAAGGTGAGGAGAGGGAGCACGCAAGGTGAGGAGAGGGGAGCACGCAAGGTGAGGAGAGGGGAGCACGCAAGGTGAGGAGAGGGGAGCATGCAAGGTGAGGAGAGGGAGCACGCAAGGTGAGGAGAGGGGAGCACGCAAGGTGAGGAGAGGGGAGCACGCAAGGTGAGGAGAGGGGAGCACGCAAGGTGAGGAGAGGGGAGCACGCAAGGTGAGGAGAGGGGAGCACGCAAGGTGAGGAGAGGGGAGCACGCAAGGTGAGGAGAGGGGAGCACGCAAGGTGAGGAGAGGGAGCACGCAAGGTGAGGAGAGGGGAGCCCACGCAGGGTGAGGAGAGAGGGGCACGCGCAAGGTTGGCGATCGAAGAGCATTGGAGGTGAGGAGAGAGGGGCACGCGCGGGGAGGCGAGAGGAGCACGCAGGGTGAGGAGTGAGGAGCACGCGCGGGGAGCCGTGGGAGGCATGCAAGGTGAAGAGAGAGGAGAACGAGTAGGTGAGGAGAGAGGAGCACGCGCGGGGAGGCTTGAGGGGCGCGCGAGGGGAGGCGAGAGGAGAACGAGTAGGTGAGGAGAGAGGAGCACGCGCGGGGGGGCTTGAGGGGCGCGCGAGGGGAGGCGAGAGGAGAACGAGTAGGTGAGAAGAGAGGAGCACGCGCGGGGAGGCGAGAGGGGCGCGCGAGGGATGGCGGGAGGAGGCTGCGCGGGGAGGCGAGAGGCGGCCGCGCGGGGAGGCAAGAGATTCGCGAGCATTGAAGGCGAGAGGAGCACGCGAGGGGAGGCGAGAGGAGCACGCGCGGGATGGTGAGAGGAGGCCGAGCGGGGCGGTAAGAGGAGCGCGCGCTGGGATGCGATGGGATACCGCGCGGAAGGCGAGAAGAGCGCGCGCGGGGTGGCGAGAGGTTCCCGCGCGGGCTTACCGGAACGGTGCGCGCGCAGGGAGGAGAAACGTGGGCTTGAGAAACGGGCTTCCCGCGCGTGGAATCGTGGGCCTGACTGTCAGGATAGCGGGGCGTTGTGGGGACACGACGACGCTGAAAGTGGGTGGTCGCGGAGTGGTGCACGAAGCGCCGCAATGGGGCACGACGACGAGGAAGCGATGGGAGGGGATAGGGGTAAGGACGATGGGAGGGCAATGGCGACGGGGACCACGGGGGAAACGAGGGTGACGGTGCGTCAAGGGGGAGGCCGATGTGAGGGGATTTCCTCCCTACGCCTCTTGATCCTGTTTAGCGCGACGTCTCGTAATATGGGATTCGAGCATTTTACGCTTGTGACGAGCGCATTCCTAAATTTCGTGTTGCATCGGGGTTGAAGGTGGGAATGTGCTAGGGGCAAAAGCTTAGAGTCTCGCTTAGTAGCCGCACAGGCATTCCTGAATTACCATTTCTATGCAAACTGTGCACAGGCAGTTCCCTTCTTCCTTCAGCAGGGGTGGTTGGAACTCTCGCCAAGTTGAAGCGTTCTGCTCTACGACGCGGTCTTTGTGGGGTGCGACGTTTTCTGGTAACCCCACTGGCTCGGGAGGTGTTCATTGGGCTCGGAAGGCAAACTGTGCACAGTTTGCCCTTTTTGATTTGTAATTCAGGTCTTGGGCTTTAATCAATTGTCGTTGATACTGCCCCTTCGTCAACATTCCTTCCCATCCCATCTGTCGCAACTTTTTAGGGCCACGGTGCTTCGGTTGGAATGAAACCCTGACTGCAAACGACGAGCCGCGATTTCCTCCATCCAAGGACGAATTCGATGCGACGAGTGATCTGCAGCATCCACCGACAACTTTTCTCTTTCAAACCAAAACTGTCGTAATGTCCACCCATTTCATTGGTCAGTAGAATTCCAGGCACGGATAAGGAAGATTCTGTACCAAGTTTGTACACTTGAAATTTTTCTTCTGCAGCTTCCTTATAGCAAGACAGGCCAAATATAGCTAAGGACTATATATAGTTATGCATGAATATAAAAATGGGGGCTATGATACGGGTTTGGATGCGCGAATTCTAAGGACGAGGAGATGGAGTTTCGTGTTTGATCTGTACAAAAATGCCGTCTAGGGAGGAAAATTGCTCTTGTCCAACAAGTCCCCAAACAATAAGTTTAAGTTGTCAATTGCGCATTCTTTAGCTTGAGGGTCGTCACCCCATACTTGTATCCGTCGTAACAGGTATTAAAAATCTATCCTTGAGCATTCATGGCGAACATCAAATCGGGTGGTAACAATAAAGACCCTGAATAAGCCATTCAAAATGTTCCACGCAGGCGTATAAGATGTGTAAGGCCAATGTGGCGTAAGTAACACGTTCACGAACGTCGTTATAAGATTCGTTTCCCGCCAAACGAGGATACATTCTGGTGGTGACGGCGACAACCAGTACCGTCAATATCCAACCTTTTTCTGGGTTTCGCCGACAAGAAAAAAGTGGGGGGGGCACAGATTGGTCAGGGAGAGGTCACTTTTGGCGGGGAGGGAGGGAGAGGTCACCTTTGGCAAGGACATTCACCAAAAGTCACCGAACCGCGATATTATAAGCGAATCGCGCGACCGTTTCGAGGCCGGAGGACTTGCAATCTCGATTCCTCGAGCACCACATTTCTCCCGCCCACCCTTCTCCGCCAACCCAGTTTCCCATAGAGCTAGCCATCCAGTCACCCAACCCAATCCTTCACTCACATCACGAATGTCACATCTCAGAACGGAATAACCAGCCGTCGCTTAAAACCGTAGTCTCAAGTATCCCGAAGTTGCCTCATCCTTCCTACCTTTGGTTGGGTCCCAAGCACATAGCCAGCACATAAGCTGCTGACGTAGTCGAATCGACCGCTTAGCTTAATCTTCAGAAGCACGAAAAAGGACCATAATCTTCTTCTTTTTCCTCGCATTCAGAAATACGGGCAAAGATCCATCACCGCATTAGAGAACGAAGAAGCGTTGGTCCTGTCTGTCGCCTGTACCTTCTCCCTTGATTTTCGCAAATAGTTTTTTTGCTCCATCTGCTCCTCCGTATCTGCAAGGACACCTTGTCTTTGTCGCGTATCGCACAAAAACACTTTCAGTCGAGAACCTTCCCGATGGCTTTCCGTCCATGTCGTCCGACATTCAGTTTCAAACCCAGCCCCTTCACCCTCGTATCCAGCAGCGCCTTGCTTCTCGTACTGCTCTTTTCGTCCACGTCGGATATTCCAGCAACACCCGCCGGCCAGGAAACTCTTCACTCTGCCCGCAACACCCGCGGTTTTTTTCGACTAGCTGAGGCAAGGGACCTACCGGACGAGACTCTTTTCGGCCGCCTAGGGCTGCAGAGAGGGCTGCTGGGTCTCGGGTCCGAATCTCATGACGGGAAACAAGTGACTGTTGGCGCGGGGGCAACGGGAGCGGCGGAGAGACTCGTGGAGGAGAAGGGCGTGCGTGAAACGACGGTAATGGAGCGAGATTTGCTGGGGATTCGGCCTGGATCGCAGGGGGGGCCGCAGCAGCAGCAGAAGCCGGAGAAGTGTGTCAAGTCGACCCTGCCGGGTTACACGGCGATGATCGCGCTGGCCGATTACGCAGGGTGCGTTCTCATCATTCGCTCGCGTGTCACATCCATTATTTCCCCCACTAAATTCCGCCGGAGCATAAACGCATGTGTGTAGCCTCTTATCTCTCCAATCTCTCCGACGCGGAATCTTCACACTGTCCCTGGTCATTCATGGACCTCTCTTTTCAGGCTGTACTTCCATCTCAAGTGCATGAATGGATTTTGAGCCTCCTTAAAAGTAACTATCTCCCTCCCTCAACGATCCCCTGATCATGCACGGACCCTCCTTGCAGGCTGTACTTCCATTTCAACGTGAAGGGTTCAACTCTCAAGGGAGCAGTGGAAGCGAGGACCGTTGCTGATGGAGGCGCGAGCAAGGGATGGTTCGCTATAGGCTTCTCCAAGACAGGCAAAATGGCGGGCTCCGATGTAGTTCTGGGTAATTACGTTCCGTCCACCAATAAGAAGCTTCCTGTGGGCTCCAGGCCGGGAATCGGAGGTCCGCAGCCAAGGCCAATTGCTTATCTAAGTGTCAACGGTACCAAGAGCGGAAACGGCACCAAGAGTGGTGGGACTGGGAAGAAGGGCAGCGGGGCTGGAAGCGGGAGTACGAACAGCACGAAAAGTGGTAACCGTGGTAACCCTAGCAGTGGTAACGCGGGCACGGGCGGCAAGAGGAAGGGCGCGTTGGTGGGAGCATTCAACATGCAGAGCCTTACCATGGGGACATATGCTGTGGCGGACAACTTCAGAATCGCGAACGCCTCCGTTACAGCCACGAAGAACGGCACTGTAGTGAGGTGAGGCTTGGTGCATCGACCGTGTCTCCTGTGACTGTTGTAGGTTCTCTTTGTGACATATATATCTCCCGAGCTTTTGTCAAATCAACTCCTGAGCTCATCTGCGTCTATCCTCACTTTTACACCTGCCATTTCCTACCGTGTCACGACCACCTTGTAAGCTTCTCTTTCCCCCGATTGGACGAGCGGTCACTAGGAATGAGCCTTACCAAGTGTACAGAAGTGTGTGCTAATACAGATACGTACGAGCCGTTGGGTCATGAACCGTTAGTCTAACTTTCTCACTTCCTCTCCATTAACAGGTTCGTTAGGAGCGGGCCTGGCGGGTCTGTACCAGTGAAGTATGATGGTCTCAACACGCTCATCTGGTCTTACTCCTCAACTGGCGCTACCAAGGTGTTTGGAGGACATATGAGACACAGGTAAGAGGCATAAGCAAGCCAATTAAGACTCTGGACCCATTTGTATTATCTTTCAATTTTATTGCCATACTTTAACCTTCACTCTTCTGATTTCAAACCTTGTGTGTGATGTACGCCTGTTGCCTATACGTCGTGCAGGGGGAGTGCCGTGGTAAATCTGGCTTGCAAGGTCTGACCACTCATGCAACTGATCTTCGATATTGCAACCTTTAGCCATATACATAGCCATAACTACGTTTCTACTACGGTAGTTGCTGACAAGTTTGATAGTTATACAGGACATGAATGTGTTAGCAGTGACTCTTGAAACGTTATTTTATTATTGGAATTAACTTGGGAAGTACAGTACGGTATATGGTTCTACAGTTACGACTGTGAATGTATCTACGTTTGATAATGTAATTACATTAAAAAAAAAAAACAGTATATGGTTATGTACAGCACGTACACCATGGAAACATAGACCATAACTACCCCCTACACAGCCCGAATTGACGAACGACACTCGACAACAGCCCAACACGAGAAAAGATCATGCCCTTGGGAAGTACCGTACATGAGCTCTTGTTGGAAAGCCCTGCAGTCGTCATTGGATAACTTATCACTTACATAGCAATGTGAGCTTATTTGGGCTACGTTTTCGCGACCATTGTATTGTATATTATGGTCAGTTTTCAAAAGAACACAGCAGAGACTCGTCACTTCTGGCGAGGACAATAGCGAACAGCAGATTCACCCAATCGCGAATAGCATAAGCGAATCGCGAATTGACTCCGTTTCGCCATCGAAATTGCATTTTTGTGCGTCATTCCCCTCCCGCCCTTTTCCGCCGAGCCGACCCACTCTCCCAGCGAAATGCCTTTCCTCCAGTAGACCACCACCACCACCAACTGCCTCACTCACGCACATGCCACACAACCAGCCGTTGTTGCCTAATCTAGAAACAGAAGGCCATCTTTCCCCACATGGCCAGCACATAGACTGCTTGCGTAGTCGAACCGGCCGTTCATCCTTATCGTTCTTCACAAGCACGAGAAGGAACCGAATTGCGCCTCATTCTCCCGGACCTACTTCATCCCAAAAATTGGGGTCGCAAAATCCTACCCCAAGGTCTCCCAGTATCAGAAAGTTTCTGAAACGGACCAGAGGTCTTACCACTTCTTGAAGTAGTGTTCTTTTCCTCTTTCGCCCGTACCTTTCCTTTGGTTTTCTTCATTCATCTCTAATCTCCGTGCTCTTTCTGTTCCTCCACTCCACGGTCACCTCCTCTTCTCGCGTATCGGACGTAGACGCTTTCAGTCAAGAACCGTCTGGATGGCTTTCCGTCCAAATATTCCGTCAGTCAGATTTCAACTCTGCCGGTCCACCCTTGTATCGAAGAGCGCTATTCTTTTCATACTTCTCTTATCGTCCACGTCCGTTATCCCAGAAACACCCGCCGGGCAGGAAAATCTTTATTCTGCCCACAGTGCTCGTGGCTGTTTTCAAATAGCCGAGGCCAGGGACTTACCAGACCAAACGGTTTTCGGCCGGCTCGGGATGCAGAGAGGGCTGCTAGGTTTCACGTCCGAATCGCAAGGCGGGGAACAAGTGACATTTTACGCGGGGAAAACGGGGGTGGGGGAGAGATTAGTGGAGGAAGCGGAGGTGCGCGAGACGGGGAAAAGGGAGCGAGGTTTGATGGGGCTTCGATCGGGATCGCAGGGGGGGCAGCAGCAGCAGAAGCCGGCGAAGTGTGTCAAGTCGACCCTGCCGGGTTACACGGCGATGATCGCGTTGGCTGACTACGCAGGGTGCGCGTCTGATCGCTCCCTCGCTCGCTCGCATTTCACAACCATTTTCCCTCGCTCGATCGCGTGTGTGGAGCCTAGGCTTTTGAGAGACTATCATCTCTCTAATATCTCTAACGCGGATTGTTCACCTCGTCCATTTCTTCCCATGTCCCTCACCCATTTCTTCCAATTTCTAACCGCTTGCCTTACTTTTCCCCTTCCGCTCCTTCCTTTCGCTCTCCCCCTTGCCCTATTCCTTTCTGAATCCCCCTCATCCACCCCTCTCACCTGTCCTGTCGTCATTCCTCTCGACACTACGTGCCCAGACCTGCGTGCCCGTACATCATTTCCAAAGCGTATTAAATGGTTTCTGGGGCGCCTGAGAAAACGTTTTTGCCTTCCTCGACAGTCCCCTGGTCATTCATGAACTTCCATTTCAGGATTTTTTAAGCGCCTCAAAAGGCGCCTGAGAGAACCGTTTTGCCTTCCTTAACAATCCCTTGGTCACTCTTTAAATTCCACTGCAGGCTGTACTTCCATTTCATGATTTTTTAGGCGGCTCAAAAGGCACCTGAGAGAACGTTTTTTCCTTCCTCGACAATCCATTGGTCAATCTTGAAACTTCCATTTCAGGCTGTACTTCCATTTCAACGTGAGGGGCTCGACCCTCAAGGCAGCAGTGGAAGCGAGGACCGTTGCTGATGGAGGCGCGAGCAAGGGATGGTTCGCTATAGGCTTCTCCAGGACAGGCAAAATGACAGGCTCCGATGTAGTCCTCGGAAATTACATTCCATCCGCCAATAAAAAGTTTCCTGTGAGCCCCAAGCCGGGAAGCACCGGCGGTTCAGAGTCAAGTGCGAATGGTACTGCGACCAACAAAGGCACAGAGAGTGTTGGGGCGGGGAAGGACGGCACTGGGGCTGGAAGCGGGAGTACCAACAGCACGGAAATTAGTAATGGTGGTAACAGTAGCAACAGTAGTAGTTACCCTGTCAGCAATAACGTGGGCACGGGTGGCAAGAGCAACGTTGGGCTGGTGGGAGCGTTTAACATGGAGAGCCTTACCATGGGGACGTATGCCATGGCAGACAACTTCAGAATCGCGAACGCCTCCGTTACAGTCACGAAGAGAGGCACTGTTGTAAGGTGAGCATGTGTGTGAAAAGTCTTGTGTTGATCGTGTCTCCCAAGCCTGTGCTGTATGAATTATTGAGCTCGGTTTTCCAAATTTGTGGCATGCACTCTTGTGCTTGTTTTATGTGCACTCCTGTGCTTGTTTCTAGTGGATTCCTGAGCTCGTGTGCTTCGTCTAATTACTGCGCTTTGGTACTTATCTTGCCACCTCATCAGCTTCTCGCACCATCCCCCTTTTACATATGAGGTTCACTAAGGAAGCTCCCACGCCTTGTCGTGTGATGCACGCGCTAGTGCGTACGTGTACGAGGGCTGTATGAAAAAGGCCCGACGTTTTTAACCATTCTTAGATCTACATTTCTCACTTTCCCACCATTCACAGGTTCACGAGGAGCGGGCCTGGCGGGTCGGTACGAGTGAAGTATGATGGGCTCAACACACTCATCTGGTCTTACTCTTCAACTGGCGCTACCAGGGTGTTTGGAGGACATATGAGACACAGGTACTAGCCACAACTGATGCAATTAAGACCACATCTGTATATGCATCCGACTTGGTTGCGCCTGGACGTGGGGGGCTGGAGGGACATTTGGATACTTAATCACTGTAATGCTTCTGCCTTCACTCGTCCGATTCAATGCTTTATATTCCATGTGTTCCTGTTGCCTGGACGTCACGCAGGGGCAGTGCAGTGGTGAATCTGGCGTGCAACGTGGTACCACTCGTGAAACTGAGATTCTAGAGTACAAGAATTTGCCATATACATACTGTAGTAGTTGTCAAGAAGTTTGCTAGCTATAGCAAACACACTTGAAGCATCACCTTCACACTGAAACGAGTGCTGGAAGCTGTTGTTACGTGTGTAATTGAACGAGGTAATGAAGAACGAGGCAAACTAAAGATGCATAGCAAACATATTGAACGTGCTCTAACGGTAGCGTGCGAAACATTTACCGGTATGGGCTGTTATGGTGTTAGGAACCTCAAATGCTGGTATGGATGCATGGGCTGTTTACGAAGCACAAGACCCTGCTAACGTTGTAAAACAAAGCTGGGCTGGTAAGAATGTACCATTAGCGTTTAGGGTGATGCATAAGGAAGCATTATCGGTCGGCCGACGATTGGCAAAACAATGCTATACCGTACATTTCGTGGGGCTGGATGCAAGGGAAGGATATCCAAATTCCATACAGAATCACCTAATATTTCACATACGGATTTGAATACGGTAGGCCTACAAGTGCTATATGATTTTGGTATTTATAATGTGCGGCTATATACCTATCTAGGTTTACATAAACCTAGAAGTGTACACAAAATGACCGGGGCGCGGTGGCATTTTGTGGGCGGAAACTTCTTTCAATCTTCACATTGAGGAAGCTTCTTCCATTTTTCTGCTTTCAGACCAGACCGCCCCTGTCAGTTTGGTTCTGGCCTGGACCAAGCGTGGTCGAGCTCGTGGGCAGCACATGAATTTTGGTTTGGCGCTCCTTCAACTCTCACGCTCACCTCGCCACCGATAGGCTGCTCCAATCATGTCCGCCGAGCTGGATTTTCTTGCTGGTTCGTCGAGGTGGCTAAGCGTCTCGTCAGCGAGCGACTTGATCTGCAGTTCGGAGTCGCCTTACACACCACTTATGGCGAGGCGACACTGTATGGACGAAGGTTCAACGACGCTCGCATGCGGGTGGCCCTTTGTTACCCAGCTCAACTCATGTCCACCAGATGCTATTGGTTCAGAGAAGGGAGACACACGAACCGCCACGCGCCTCGTCACAGCCTCGGGCATGCGGTCCGACGCGACCAGACATTGACCAGTCATTGCACCACATTCCCAAGTAAGCACATACATCGCTTTGGTTCAAATTCCCAAGCAAACCTCCTCACTTCACCATTCCACAGTTCCTCAATCCCCTTGCCATCTACTCTCACCACCAGCAGCAGATCCAGAAGCCACGACTTTCTCGACGTCGATACCAAACATGGCTCGCTCGCTCCTCATCTGCTTGGTGATCGTCCTCCTCGTCGCACCATCCGTTTTCGCCCGCAAACATCCCGACGGCGCTGGCCACCATAACCGCAACGGCACGCGCACCGGAGGACACCACAAGGGCGGCGGGCACCACAAGAGCGGTGGGGCCAGCTCGTCGGGTCTAACCAGCAGCAAGGGCGTCACGGCGGGCAAGACCTGCAAAAAGTCATCGCTGGGATACAAGGCGGCCGTCGATCTCACCGGAAAAGGGTATGTCACCGTCGCCCTCCCATGTTTTTCGTCCGAGTTGCGGATAAGCGAGTAAAAACCGTTGACCAGCTTTCAAGTTTCCCGTCGAAATTTCGCACGCGATACCTTTCCTACTCCATCGCTTTGACATCAGGGAGACGTCGTTCCATCACGGGGGTGAATCATGACGTCGTTCCGTACTAATGCTGTTTTCTCGCCTTTACCCCCGGTTTTCTCAGGCTGCTTTTCCACTGGACGGTCTCTGGCTCGACCCTCAACGCCGCGATTGAAGCCAATTCCACCAGCGGCGCCAACAAGGGCTACGTCTCTGTTGGCTTCTCGTCGAACGGAAAAATGTACCCCGCGGACGCGGTTGTGGGCATTAACGGGGGCTCCACTACAGCGTACAAACTGAGCTCGTACAGTTCGTGCACGCCCAGCAAGACTTTCTCGCAGACAAGCCTGAAAGCAACCTCCAGCAGCCTTGTCGTCAAATTCTCCCGGCCAGCTAAGGGAGTCCTCGTGAACATCAACCTGACAGGCAAGAACAACGTCATCTGGGCGTTCGGGAAGAACAAGAAGTTCGAGGCTCACACTCCAAAAGACCGGTGAGTGTCGTCCGTCTGAAATTCGCGTGAAGTGACAAAAAAACAAACAAAAAATGCTGGATCGAGCGATCCAAAATGTCATGTCCCGAGCAGGTGTCTTGGGTTTGCTACAGCCGCTTTCCGGGGCGGCCCGAAAGCAAAACTTCTGCTCGGCCGTCGCCTCCTGCATTCCTCCTCCTCCGTGTCTGACAGCGTTCTGCCGTCACCTTTTAGTACGCTCCAGCAGGGTGTGTTCATCATCCCTTTTCGTCTCCACCTCCCCAGTTCAAGCTCCATCCACATCTACGTCTACTTTAAATAACGCGCCTCTGACTCATCATGTGAAGGTGCCTCCAACCGCGTTTTGGTGGGCTTGTTAACTCGCTAATGCGATGAGGTGAAAGAGATCCTCTCCCTGTTCCTTCTAACTCTCGTTTTTTTCTTCTCTCCGTGTTGCTCTTTGTTATTGCAGTGGTTACAAGTCCGTGGATCTCTCATGCGTCGCCTGAGAATGCTTCATAGCTGGGCATAGGTTGTTGCGCCAAACTTCAGATAATAGTCCACTTGGATGACTAAAGTAGGTGCCTGCCTCGTAGCGTAGCGCATGTAGACACCATGAATGTTGCTTGGATGACGATGGCCAGTTCCCACTGCCCATCAGAGTCATCCTGTCAGTTCTCTACTGTTTCACATAACTCTGTTTGTTATAGACAGCGAGTTTGTTAGACAGCGTGATGAATCTATTGTGGTACACTTCATACTCACGTTAAAAGGCCGGTCATACGTTTCCGTTCAGGGTTTCTTAGACGCGGTTGAATACGGTCCTCGTATTTGTGAACGGTTTTGAAAGCCCCACCGCTTTGGACCATAGCGCACCAGAAGTAACCTTTCAGAGTAGTTTCTGAAGGAACGACGATGACTCACGCTGAACCTCGTGTTCACTTGGTCTTTCCAAGATATACGCACCGCACTCCTCACCGTCCGAAAGGTTGAACATTTCTCTCAAATCGAATGTGCGACTTGAAATCCATTCCACTTCCAAGCACCCTGAGGAACACATGCGTCGCGCGACCCGATTTTCATTGGGCTTCACATTGTCAGCCCTGCACATTTCCGGCGTGAGTTCCGTGGTGCTTGGTCGAAGACAAGCCAGCTTCCGCTGCAAGCCGGTGGCTGGCAACAGTGGATCAATGCAAAATTCTTTGCCTGCTTCTCAACTCGTCACCACGCGCTCCCGCCCCATCACTCCACTTGTGACAAGCAAATCGCTTTTCACACGAAGGGTACAAATACTTCAACGATTTTCCTTCTCTCCCATCAGAGAGCAGCGCCTCTTCCCACTCATCCAGAATCGCTCAGCCTTAGCGATTCTTCTGTAACTCGAGGTTCGTCACCAGCCTTGAGATCCCGTTTCCGACCATTTGCGGTTCTACGTTTCCTCCACGAACTCGAATCGATCGCCCGCCCTTTCCGCTCCACGACGCCAATACCACCGCTCCAACATCTCATCGGCCTCCCAATCCCAACATCATGGCGCGCGCTTCTCTCGCTTTGCTGCTGCTTCTCCTTGTCGCCCCATCCGCCGTCTTCGCGCGCAAGCGCGTGTCGCAGGCCAGCTGCGTGAAGTCCACGCTCGCGGGATACACATCAGCAGTCGACCTGAACGGAAAAGGGTACGCTGATTATGCCTTTCATAGCAGTTGATAGTATAACATTAGTAGAACACGCAAACTCCGTCAGAAACAATCTCCATCTCCCCCCTAATTGTCGTCTGAAGAGGATGAGCTAATTTATATGCTGGCTCTAGTTATTAACGGCTAACGCAATCTTCTCCGCTTTCCCTCCACCTTTTCGTTGCTTCTCAGGCTCATGTTTCACTGGAAGGTCTCGGGATCGACTCTCAGCGCCGCCGTTGAAGCCCCGTCCAACAAGGGATCAGTCTCCGTTGGCTTTTCTAAGAGCGGCAAGATGTACCCTGCAGACGTTGTCACTGGCTATAGCGGAGGCTCCGTTGCATCGTACAAGCTCACCGGTTATTCAGGGGGTTCCACCAGCAAAATCAAAGGCAGCAGCATCAAATCTTCCTCTGGCGCCACTGCGTTCAAGTGAGTCGTGCGGACACTATGGAATTCTTTCGGCGAGTCGCGTGAAAATTTCCGACCGCATAAAAAACACGTGAGGTTGCACATCAAGGTCATGCGCCACTAACTCCGCATTTCCATCCGATACTTCCCTCCCGTCCGGTTCATCCCAACGCAGGTTCACTCGCTCAGGCAATGACGGATCTGTTTCCATCAATTATGCCGGTTCCAATAGCATCATCTGGGCGTACGGCGGAAGCAGCAAGAAGCTGGCTGACCATGGCAAAAATCGGTATGTTAATCGGCGCACCTGCATGTATCCTTTCTGCGCATGACAAAGATAGCAAGATACAGCTGTTTCTAATGTGACTGCTTCCTAAAGACACCCTGTTGCTAATTCATTCCCGTTCCACTTCCACTCATGCTATGTCCCTGAACTCACCTCTATTCCCCTTCTCCCACCCATGCTGTGTCTGCTCCTGCAGTGGCTCCAAGTCCGTGGACTTGTCTTGTGTTGGCTAAACTTGTCTTATGTTGGCTGAAGATATACAGGCGTTTTACTTTCTCTTGCTTTGAGGTTGCAAATTATGAATGCTTTTTATTATTTATGAGTAAAACCTGAATTCTGTGTTTTATGAAATAAGAGAGTTATGGCAAACAAGCTGGTGCAACCTTATCTGGACCATGTTTATGTGTACATTACTACAACCTTATCTGTGTATGCAAGGAAAAGAAACCATTGTTTTACATGTAGATAATCATGGAATCTTGTGTGCAAGGAGCGGTCCCCCACCGACAGCAATGCCTTGGTGTGGAGTCGAGTGAGCGGTAGTGTTTTATAGTTCGGTCTTGGAGGGAGGGGGTCGGAGAAAAACACCTCCAAGCAACATGCTACCCTCTGGGGTGGGGAATCCCTGAAATGAAAACTAACAGAAGCAAATGTCGGCGGGGGTTGAGAAAAGACACGGCCCGTTATGCTTTAGAGCCGTGCCATTGGCTGGTCGGTTAGTTTTGCTGACACCAAAACGCCCCGTTCTTCGCCAACTCACAGTCCAAGTTCCAACCAAGCAATTTGCTAGAAACGCCCTTCCCTTCCCTTGCCGTGGAAATGCCAATCACCGAGGCGCATTTCTCGCCTCAATCTTGTGTTGGCGGCTGGCGAGGCGACCTTGCATTGCATTCGGTGGGTTGGGAGACTCGGGAGGGAGGGACTCGCCCCCGCTCCCCCACCCCACAACAGTTGCATCTCAGTGCAGCAGCAAACCTCGAGGGATTCAAAATGCATCACTCATCGCTTACTGATGCAGATTTTCACAAGCCAGTGACAGCGTTGTTGATTGCTACCCTAAACAAGCGCTGCGTCTCTCTTCTAACAACAGCGAAACACTTCCAGTTGTGCGCGTCGCGAATCGCAAGTTCCTGTTGACGCCATGGCTGGATTTCCCCGCATGACCGCGACGCGTGGGTTACGGTGCCACCGCGTCCCGCGGGTCCCTTTCACGTCCTTCGCCGTACTAGCTCTTATCGTAGTAGCCGCCGGAGGCTGCTTCTCTAATCGCGCCGGCGTGCGCGGCGCGTCCGCTGCGCCGGTCCCTGTGGCGAAATGCTTCAAGTCGACGCTACCTGGTTACACAAACGCCGCCGCTCTCACACGGAAAGGGTAAGGGCCACGCCTGATCAATGTACTTTAGTCGAATAGACTACACAAGAAGCTGCTTCAGTCGAATAGACCTCTACAGACCGCAATACGCGGTTTCCGCATGATTTTCCGTATTACCCTTCGGGAGACAAAGGTTCATGCTTCGCTTGTTACCACTTCGCGCTTTACGCGTTTTTACCAGCAGCGCAGGGTGCATCCAACACCATACCCACTGTAACGAGGTGACTTTTGAGTCGACTCAAAAGTCGCTTCGCACGTTTTCTCCAACAGCACATGGTGCATCCAACACCATACCTTCCAAATCACTCCATCCGGCCGAGTCCACATTTTCTCTCCGCTTGGCCCTACATTTTCGAGGGCTGAGATTTCGAAAGCTTTCCCCTAGTCACACGGTATCGCTCTGCTATTTGCCGGCCTCCACTCTTCACCTTATTTAGTAACCTCGTTCCTTGCACTCACTGCAAGACCACCCGCCACCCCTCAACCTACGCCTGTCAGGCTGAAACAAAGAGATTTGGGGGCCTACAAAAATGTCACATATCATCCGCCACTTACCCATATATCATGATACTTTTACGTCTGGTTGTACTGATACCCTTGAACCCGTGTCTTGAATGATCAGGCTGGTGCTACATGGGAAGGCCGTCAACCCAACCACTATGAACTTTCCGTTGGAAGCCAAAACCTAAAATAACGTCACATATTATCCGCCACTTACCCATATATCATGATGGTCTTACGTCTAGTTCTACTGTATCCTTCCTCCCCATGAACCCGTGTCTCGCTTGATCAGGCTGGTGCTACATTGGAAGGCCGTGAACCCAACCACCATGAACTTTGCGTTGGAGGCAAAAGCCGCGAGCGGCGCTCACAAGGGCTGGATATCCGTCGGATTCTCCAAAGCGGGCAAGATGTCCGGCTCAGATGCGGTGATCGGCAACCTGCCTCGGCCGAACGTGATTGGTCCGTACTACATGGCGAGCATCACGAAATCCTCGGTAACGAGGACGAACAAGTTCGCGATTACTAAGACGAGCGTGGTTACAAACCCCCAGGGAACCATCATGAAGTGAGTTACAAGTGGTTTAGCGAGCTTCGTGTTCAAGGGCTTCTATGGCATCATTCAAGCATTTCAGCCATTTATGGTCTCAAACCAACAGCATTTCAGCATTTTGTTGCCACTTGGCTCACTTCAGCTGCCTTTGTCTCCGTAACATATGTTGGTAATCTCACCTTCCTTAAATCATTCTTAGCTGTTTCTGAACACATGTTACATGTTTACTTATCCTTGTTCTTCTTTGCCAATCAAACAGGTTCACCCGCTCTGGCCCTAAGGGTACTGTCCCTGTGAAGTATGCCGGGAGGAACTTCATTCTGTGGGCGTATTCTGCCACTGGCAAGTCCAAGGCCCTGGACAACCACTCTCCAATGAACAGGTACTGTCCTGTCTTGGTTGTTAACCCACATGATACATGCACTAGGAGGGCCCCACATGGTCCCTGCAGCTACATGGGTAAGAATCTCATTCTCTGGGCGTATTCCGTTACTGGCAAGTCCAAGGCCCTGGATAACCGCTCTCCAATGAACAGGTAGTGTACCATCTGTCTTAAACAAAAATGCTATATGAATGGTATGCTGAATGTGTGCATGCCCACGTGATACCTGCAGCTTACATTTGGGAAAAGTACAAACTCACCATTCGGTAAAACCCCCTCGTCCAGCCAGCCAGCCTTGCTTGCCACTGCTCTTGAGAGGTTTTCTGTCTGGCTCCCACTTTCTTACCCATTTCTGTTGCTGCAACTCATTTTGTGTTTCCAACGCAGAGGTGCCGTTACTATCAACTTTGGCTGCAAGGTGTAAGATTCTTACAGTAAGAACCATCGCCGCGAGGAAGAGAATTCAGCTGGCTGCAATGCAAGAATACAATGTATGAGATCAGGAGCATGCTCCATGCCAACTTGAACATGAGAGATGTTGCTTCTGTCAGTCTTTCTGACCATGGGCAGCCTTGATCAGTTCAGTGGCCGTTTTGAAAGATGGTGATATGACATGGAACTAGGATGAGTGTTTCGGGATGAGTTATATTGGATTGGACCTACCACTTCAGAGCTGGCAAATTGATGCTTTCCCACTTCCATTTAGAGCAGCACGTTTAGGGCGGTTTGAAAGTACGTCACAATGCAGCTACCTGTGCGACCTAAAACAGTCATCTTCTACTGTACAATACACAATGGTTGGGTACAGTATTTTGCACAATCATACCTACGGGATCCGCCATAAGCATAGTGTGCAGTATTTGGCTAACCAAGGCTACAATAAGCCAGTTCCATCATTCATCAACGAAGAAAGTGTATACAGGGAGCGGGGTCTTGCTGCTGAGGCTCTGTGCGTTGACAGGTGAACCTGGCACGTCCAAAACTTGAGAAGAATCTGTGGCTGGCGTCGGTGATAGACAAGCGACAGGGTCAGGCATACATTTTTGAGGTGGTTCAAAACAGCAGGAGGCTGGGACATGTGAAACTTGAGAGGAATCTGAGGCTCCAGGTGATATGGATGCCTGGGAGAGAGGAAGATGCCCTTTTTCCGAAGACTTTGTCTTCGAAGTAGTAGCTGCTGCATCAGCTGCTGCATCAGCTGCAACATCGGCTGCCACGTCAGCTGATACGTCACCTGCGACGTCAGCTGATACGTCAGCTGCTAAATCAGCTGATGCATCAGCGGGCGCATCAGCAACCGCGTTAGCTGCCACATCATCCTGGCCTCGAGTCATGTTCTTATCATCCCACAGGGCCCTGGCAATGGCCTCTGCCACATCAGCCGCCACGTCATACGCCAGGTCATACTCGTACTTATCGTCGTTCAGACAGCCATTTTCATTGGTGTAAAGAACAAGAGAGAGGAAGAACTCCCTTCCCGTCTCTATGTCGAGAATATAGCTGGAAAGGAGGCAAGAGGGGACGGAAAAGAGGTGGCGGGGGGAGGGGGGAGGGGAGTGGGGGGGTGGTGGTGGAAGGTGGAGAGGCGCGAGGGGTGAAGGGAGAGGAGAGGGGAAGGGGGGAGTGGTAGTGGAGGGACGGGTGAGGATATATAATCGGCACACACTGTCTTTGAACATCCAGTTCAACTGGAAGTATTTTTTTAAACATCCCCTTTCAAGGAGGTTACAAAACTGACAAATCTTGTTGAAGAGGTTCCTAGAGGTTTCTGAAGAAGAAGAAAGAAAGACAAAAAAATGACCTACCATATGACTCCGTTTCAGCCCGGAGAACTAAGGAAGTGCACAGAGACAAAGAGTCAGAGGATTGCAAAGAAGTGCAAATGGTTGAGAATAATCACATGACACGACTCACGCGTTATCAATAGCGAAGCCAAACGCATGACCAATCTACTTCTGAGGCGCCTCAAAACGTGACACGACTCACGCATTATCAATAGTGAAGCCAAACGCCTGCCCAATCTTGTTGTAGACGCGCAGAGCTTCCTTTGGCCGCACTCGGCACAGTCCGGGCAGAAAAAACTGCAGGAGCAGAGCCAGAAAAGAAATGGATGTTTGCGGGGAATGAAAAAGCCATACGAGCTTGTGCTTCTCAGTGAAACTGCCTTTCTTGAAGCAATTGGTTGAAAAGGCATCCCTGTTCTCTCAGGCCAACACCCCATCATACCCTATTAAAGCACATCATACCCCATCAAATCCCATCACACCCCCTCACACCCTATTACACCCCATCATACCACTTCACACCTTGCAGTAATCATCCGTGTACTTCTTGTCAGCATATCTGGGGTTGCGGGACTCCCGTGGGTATTGCCCCATGGCCTCCAACACCAGTACCCCAACACACCTCATCACACCCCATCGAACCGCACCATACCCCACCCCACCACACCCCACCGCATCACACCGCGCCACACCTTGCAGTAATCATCCGTGTACTTCTTGTCAGCATATCTGGGGTTGTGGGATTCCCGTGGGTATTGCCTCATTGCCTCTAGCAGCAGCAGCCTGTGCCCCTCGTTCACACCCCATCGCACCCCATCACACCGCATCGCACCCCACCAAACCGCATCACACCACACCGCACCCCATTGCACCGCATCACACCTTGCAGTAATCATCCGTGTACTTCTTGTCAGCATATCTGGGGTTGCGGGATTCCCGTGGGTACTGCCTCATGGCCTCCAGCAGCAGCAGCCTGTGCCCCTCGTCCAATCCGATTGGCTGGCAGCCCGGCAGCTGGATCAAGCGCAGGAGTGGCAATGCATGGAAGGAGAAGAGACATCAGACTACTCTTTTCAGTTACGTCTGGGAGGGATGCATATGGGGAAATGCATCCCTCCCATGAGTCTTTCATGGGTGTAGACGTCATCTAGAGACAACAGGGGTCAAGTGATTGTAGAGGGGAAAAACTAATGAGATGTTTCCATGAGCAGCAGACGCAAAAAACAACCACATTTGGCAAATACCTGTATGTCTGGGCGCATGAGCAGCACAAGGAGGTTATGCAGGTCAACGAGAGTCAAGCGATTCTTGGGGGAGAAACCCAAATGGAAGAGGCTTACCATGAGCAGCACATGCTTGCACACAGAACACCCGGCAAATACATAATGCTATCTATACCTGTATGTCTGGGTGCATGAGCAGCACGAGGAGGTTCTGCAGGTCAACGAGAGTCAAGCGATTCTTGAGGGAGAAGTCCAAGGGCGCATTGACCTGTAGAGACCCGCCTGCCATTCACCAACATGCCATGCCATGCCATGCCATGCCATGCCATGCCATGCCATGCCATGCCATGCCATGCCATGCCATGCCATGCCATGCCATGCCATGCCATGCCATGCCATTCCATGCCATGCCACCCCATGCCACGCCATGCCATGCCATGCCATGCCACGTATGCCATGCCACGCCATACCATGTTATGCCATGTCATGCCATGCACCAAACCAACATGCCATGCTCACAGTCACCATGTCATGCCAATATACAAAAGAACCCAATGTGTACAGAAACGACGATACACTTCATGCCTCACCATACAAGCAGAGGCAAAGAAACGCACGAAAGCATGACGGAGGGTAACCTTTGAGACATTTGAAAATTCAACAAGGAAACACAGATGCCCCAACCCAACAGCCACAGCTAGCTACTCCCTCATTACACACAATTCACGATATAAGCACACCCACCTTGGTGCCATCGGCATCGATATAAGCACGCCCAACCAGCAGCCCCTCCACTCCCCCTACCGGAGGCAGCTCATGACTGCTGCACTTGGGAGGAAAGCAGAATGCGGAAGCATTGGCTCCACTTTCCAAGCCCACTTGCACGGGCTCGCAGCGCCGGTTGTCAAGAGGAGAGAGGTGGATGGAGAGGCGGTGGGAGAGGTGCGCGGAACAGAGACCCAGGGAGTGCCTGGAGAGAAGGCAAGGAAGGAAGAAAAAAACCCTTTATTTGCTTGCAGCAATGACTGAGTGGTGGAAACACGTGGGGGAGGGCGATGGGAGAGGTGCGCGGAACAGAGACCCAGGGAGTGCCTGGAGAGAAGGGACGACAAGGAAGGAAAGAAGTTATCTGCTTGCAATAGTGGTTGTTGGGAGGAGAGAGTTGGAGGGAGAGGCGGTGGGAGAGGCGGGCGGAGGAGAAACCTAGGGAGTGCCTGGAGTGAACAATAGGAAAGAAGAAAAATAGCTTATTTGCTTGCAACAGTGATTGTGTAGTGAAACACGTGGGGGGAGAGGCGGTGGGAGAGCTGGGCGGAGAGGTGAACCAGAGAATGCCTGACGAACGAGAATGCTGTTATGGAGGCATCGCTGCTATGAATGAAGGCATCTACTTGTTTTTAGGCAGTGATGATACTCACATGGCTTCATTGAGTCGCCTTTGTCCTATCAAGGCATAGAGCCGGTTGTATGCCGTGTTGCTAGAAACCTGAGTCAAGCGCAAAAGAGCACACACGGATTTGAACCGCAGCAATCAGAGCTGATTTTTTAGGCGCCTAAAAAATCGTCAGAGTTTTGAATAGACTCAAGACTTGCCGTGCTCAAGAATAGACTCAAGTGTAATTTTCCCTTGATTCAGGTTGGACAAATCACGGCTTTCCTGCTTGCCTCAGGGACATGCGGTTATCGAGGCTTCTCAAAAACTGCCTATATGTCTCGCACCAGGAGCATCTTTCTGATCTCATGAGCGATGGTGATATGTTCTCCGTTCAAGTTCGACGGGTCAAGGCTCTCCTCCTTGTCTCCGGGGTACAGAGGGAGGAAGGAGAGAGGCGAGTTCAACGATACGTTCACGCCTTGAGCTGCAAGGAGGAATAGAGGGAGAGAGGAGGAACGCGGGGGGGGGGCTTTTGAGACGTCTCAGAAGGGGTACAGAGGGAGGAAGGAGAGAGGCGAGTTCAACGATACGTTCACGCCTCGAGCTGCAAGGAGGAATAGAGGGAGAGAAGGCGGGGGGGGGGGGGGGAGAGTGGGGAGGGTGGGGACGGGGAGGGGAGTAAAGGACTGGAAACAGCCTGTTTTGGTGTTGGTGTTTGAGACAACAAGGATTAGGAAACGGGAAAGGGCAGCACCACAAAAGTGTGAGTGGGAGATTGACAGGAGGGAGAGCAAGAGAGAAAGGGTTTGATGGGGAGTGAAAAATGTTACTACTGGTGGTGTTACGTCAAGCCAACAAGGCCACGTTCTCACTAGAGGGAAGTGCAACCTTGCAATTTAACATTCTCACTGTTGTACTCTGTCACTTTCTCACGAGAACCGCTTCGAGCCCTTTGAAACCCAACGTACCCCAACCCAACATACCAGTCTCTCACCTTGGAACTCTGCCACTCTCTGAAGAGCCACCACTGCAGCACACAGCTTGATGGCACTGAGAGGTAGAAAGCCGAGAAGAGGAGGATGACAAGAGCAGAGACGGACGCATGAAGGGAGGAGGTGAGGGGTGGGGTAGAGCCGTAGGGGAAAATGATGACAAAAGAAGAAGACAGACAACAACGGGACACCTGGCAGGATATGGCATCTGCGTAGGAAAGCACACCTGGCAGGATAGAAGTACTCATGATCCACTCGGTAGCCATGTCGACGCAGACAAGGCTGGCCGCTAGCGTTTGCAGCAACTTCTGATACAAGCACCTGTGGGATAATGGACAACGGAAATGGTAAGGACGTCAAGACTGGCATATAGAAAGCATCAAACTCGTTCTGAGAACTTGAGGAGGCGTATACGCTCAGCATTTTTTATTTCCTTTTGGTTTGTTTGTTTGTTTGCTTTCTTTCAGCTGACAAATCCAAACTCTGAACCACCGCATGGATAGTACGGAACGAATCACAGATGGAGTTCGGAAAACGGATAATGCCAAAACGTATGTAATACCTGGAACCTATACGTGGAAGGATCCTCCAAAACACGGCGAAGCTTCTTGGAAGGATGCAGACGAAGGATCGCCTGACGCATTCAAGGAGCAAGGCGAACAGAGGATAAAAGAATGACAATGATAATGACGGGATCACGGCGGGATCATGACGGAATCATGACGGAATCATGACGGAATCATGACGGAATCATGAGGGAATCATGACGGGATGATGGCGGATGATGGCGGGGGATAACGGGATAATGACGGCGAACAAAGGAGACTATATGACAGTGTGCTTGCAGAACGAAAATGAAGGGTGTTCTGATGGAACTGATGGAAGAATGGCTAGCTTGAATGATGGAAAACTGTCAACCAAGCTGGAGAAGCTTCGAGTCGCACCTCCACGTTCATCGTTGCTGATCTAGTCAATGATTCGCGACTTTACTGAAACGAAAACGGTCAATGATTCGCGACTTGACTGAAACGAAAACGGTCAATGTTTCGCGACTTGACTGAAACGAAAACGGTCAATGATTCGCGACTTGACTGAAACGAAAACGGTCAATGATTCGCGACGTGACTGATGAACTGTAAACGGTCAATTACGGGTTGTTCCCGCCTTAGCGTACCATGGCCTTTCCGGTCTAGACCATGGTTCAAATATAGGCCATCATGGATTCGTTCCAGTACTTGCTTTGCTTGTGTTATGTGAGTCACGACTCACGAGCAAAGTGACTACTGCTCGCTTCTGTCATAAACTAATGCTGATAAAGTTGTCCGACAATCCCAAGGTGAAGTAGCAAGGTGAGCCAGAAAGCAGGGCCGCGAGGCTGCTTCGTTCGCAGGCCATGTCGGTACAGTGACCGAAAGCAGGGAACCGAGAAAGTTAAAACCAAATACCAAAAGCAAGCAAGTACATGGCTCTGCAACTCAAAGTAAATATAAGCAATATGATACATGTAAAAATCTATCCCGATCCAAAGCGCAACGGCCGTTGCACATCGATGAAAAACGTTAGTTCATGCCTACTTCAGATAATTTAGTACCAGTTGCCATCAGGTTTTTTGGGCAACCAGCCTCGCTCGTAACTGTTGACAAACTGCCAGTGGTGCGTACCTGCAAAATTGGAAAGAAAATCGCGTGTCACACAGAGCAAAATAAACCACATGCTACTTGAGGACAGTTAGGGATTCCAGGGCAAGGATCAGCACAGCAGAAAAAAAGAGGAGAGCATTGATGGAAGCACCAATGGGAAGGAATGAGGTGAAGCACTGACAGGTGGTGCTAATTAGGGAGGGGAGTGCGGCACGAACGAACCAGTGGTGTTGAGTTTCCAGGACATACGGTATGGGTGCAGCAGAACAAGAGCAAGAGCACTTACCGGTGGTGTTGAGTTTCCAGGACCAGAAGAACCAGCCAGCCTTGGCGTGACTGAATGCTTTCATTTGGCCGAGGGAGAAGTTGGCCTGCTGCTCCGGTGTTGCAGGGTTGCCCATCGCATTGCAGAACTCCCCCACCAGCAGCTGCCGCCCCACTTTCTGCACCCAATGGAAAAACAAATAGCACAGACCACGCAACACAAGAGGACACATAGCATATGGTGTGTGGAAATCAGGTGAGATGTTGAGAAAATAACTCCCCCCACCAGCAAGTTCTGCCCCACTTTCTGCACCCACCTTAATGGCACACAGTGCAATGTTGGAGAAAGCAAGGCAGCGGGACACGTGGCATGTGGAGTGTGGAAATCAGGCGAGGTGTAGACATATTCACAGAGCAGCTGAGAATGAGATTGATCCTCATCGAGGCAACTCCAAACCAAACGAAGGAAAAGCCACGTATCGTAAGCAGCGCACCCACCTCTTGAAAGCTGACGCTGTTGTTAACCCGGGTGGTGTAGGCGTAATCAAGTTCAAAGTTGACGCCCTGGGAGCTGAAGATGTTGAGGCGACTCAAGATGTAGTTGAAGCCAGAGATCTAAGTCAGAACACTCACCTCTTGGAAGCTGACGATATTGTTAACCCGGGTGGTGTAGGCGTAATCGAGTTCAAAGTTGACGCCCTGGGAGCTGAAGAAGTTGCCAAAGACCTCGTAGATGTGCTGCTCCAGGATCACGTTGTTGTGCCACGCGTCGCTCATGTGCCACATCACGTCGCCAAAGTTGCTGCCCACGCGGCCCTCCATGGCCACGAAGCAGCACAGGCAGCGCGCGCGGATGGCGTTGAAGGCCGCCGAGTAGTACCCCCGCATGTCCTCCAGATCCACCCCCGCGTACCCGTTGGCCCCCGGCACCACCGGCTCGTTCAGCAGCCCCATGCCCAGCCACATAGGGTCGGCACCGTACCTGTGGTTCGGAAGCCAGGAGCAAGAAGCTATTGGAGCAAGAAGACAAAACGTTTTTCAAGTATGGTCCTGATTTCAGTTGATTCACCTATGATGTGTCAATTCGCTCGAAACAAAATGTGCTAGCAAATCTTTTAAAATTAGTTTCGCGAACACCCCTAAACAATCTATAGCGAAGCACAAAACCAAGCGAACAGATTGTCTCACCTGTCAGCAAGCCAAGTGACAAAGTCGAGCGTGCGGTTGATATTCGCCCCTCGCCAGCGAATCAGCCCGTCCCGCGCATTCCCCTTGCCCGCCTGCGACCCCGGCGCCACATGCACGCTGAACCAAATCCTCACTCCATACTTCCTCCCCATATCAAACGCCCAGTCCAGGTACGTCGCCGCTCCGGGCACAAAGGGGAACTCAGGGGAGGCGTCGAGGCCGATCCAGTAGGCCAGGGGGATGCGCACTGTGTTGATCCCCAGCTCCTGCATTTTCTGCCAGTCGGCTTCTGTGATGAAGTTTCGGCGAATGTTCTCGTAGATCGATGGTGCTGCTGTGCTGGCTGTGTAGGCTGCCTGCCAATCCGCCTCCACTCGCCACAGCTGGGAGTGGGAAATGCGAGGGAGGCGGGAGGGGGAAAGAGAAAGACAGGTGAGAGCTTGGGTTTAGGGTGAGTAACGAAGAGAGGAGAGGGCAGCTGTGCCGGCTGTGTAGGCTGCCTGCCAATCCGTCTCCACTCGCCATAGCTGGAGGGGAGAGAAGAGGAGGGTGGGGGTTGGGGGAAGATGAGTGGAGTCGAGATTTAAGGTAACGGGTAACGAAAATATATAAGTTTTCTAAGAAGGTCGGCAGTGAGGGAGCCGTCTGGGTTGGCTTGCTTTGTTATCGGTGGTGATTTGATTCACAGGGGCTATGTTCTACCCCCGAAGCCCCCAGATACGTGAAATGAGTAAAGTTTGAGACGTCCGGAAGTATTACTAATTTCACCTCCCGAAGCCCACAGACACTCACCACAGTGAGGTCGAAGGCAGCTGCACTGGACCAGATGGCGTCATAGTCAAGTGAGTCAAGAAGATCAGCAGTGAGGGATCCGTCAGGGTTGGCTTGGACGAAGAGGCCGTTGGGAGGAAGAGAAGAAGGAAAGAGGAAGGAGGAACTCCCAGGCACTCACCACAGTGAGGTCGAAGGCAGCAGCGCTGCTCCAGATGGCGTCGTTGTCAAGTGAGTCGATAAGTTCGGCAGTGAGGGAGCCGCCAGGGTTGGCCTGTCTTGTTTGAGACGTCCCAAACCAGCTCGCAACTTACATGGCAATTTTCTCCTCTGAAAAAACCGCCAACTACTGACAGCCTCCAGATACTCACCACAGTGAGGTCGAAGGCAGCAGCGCTGCTCCAGATGGCGTCGTTGTCAAGGGAGTCCATAAGATCAGCAGTGAGGGAGCCGTCTGGGTTGGCCTGGACGAAGAGGCCGTTGGGAGCGCGCAGCAGCACGCGCACACTGCCACCCCTCTGCTCCGTTGATGAATTCAGTGGCGTGCCGAATATAAACAGCTCAAAGTTGCTCGCTGCGCCCTGGAAGTGGAAGAGGAGGAAAAGGCGGAAGGTGGGGAAGTGGGAGAGGGGCATTGAGCTGAGTGCTCAAAGTTGCTTGCTGTGCCCTGAGAGGTGAAAGGGGGAAGGGGGAGGGAAGTAGGAAGTCGACTTTTGAGACGTCTCAAAAGGCGGAAGGTGGGGAAGTGGGAGAGGGGCATTGAGCTGAGTGGGAGAGGGGCATTGAGCTGAGTGGGAGAGGGGCATTGAGCTGAGTGGGAGAGGGGCATTGAGCTGAGTGGGAGAGGGGCATTGAGCTGAGTGGGAGAGGGGCATTGAGCTGAGTGCTCAAAGTTGCTAGCTGTGCCCTGAGAGGGGAAAGGGGGAAGGGGGATGGAAGTAGGAAGTGTGCCCGACCCGTTGAGCCAACATGTGGAAAATGCTGGGCTGGAAGGAACATGGAAAAGCATCAACGATGGATGGAGGGTTGGGATGGATGGAGGGTTGGGATGGATGGAGGGTTGGGATGGATGGAGGGTTGGGATGGATGGAGGGTTGGGATGGATGGAGGGTTGGGATGGATGGAGGGTTGGGATGGATGGAGGGTTGGGATGGATGGAGGGTTGGGATGGATGGAGGGTTGGGATGGATGGAGGGTTGGGATGGATGGAGGGTTGGGATGGATGGAGGGTTGGGATGGATGGAGGGTTGGGATGAATGGAGGGTTGGGATGAATGGAGGGGTTGGGATGAATGGAGGGGTTGGGATGGATGGAGGGTTGGGATGAATGGAGGGGTTGGGATGGATGGAGGGATGGGATGGATGGAGGGTTGGGATGGATGGAGGGTTGGGATGGGCGGAGATGGATGGAGGGTTAAGTGGGCAGAGATGGATGGCACAGCATACCTCGGGTTCTGTGGATTGGACCCAGATGTTGGGTGAGTTGTCCCGCACAGCCCAGTACTGCAGCCACTGCACGGATATCTGATGTGTTAGTGGCGGGCGGAAGGGGAGCAGACTGGGACTCTGGCATAAGGGGGAATGTAACATGACAAGCTGACTGACATGGCAATAGATACTTAGGCAGGCTCTGTTTTTGAATACTATTAGAGTCACTTCACTTTTGAGAACTCCCATAAGTGACCTTGAGCACGCTCTGTTTTTGAACAGTATTGGAGTCGGAAAGAGAGATAGCCCTAAGTCTCCATTCCCTTTGAGAACTCCCATACGCGACTTAGAGCAAGCAAGCTCTGTTCTCGAGTGAGAGGTACTAAATATCTAACGGCGGGCCTTACTCTGCGAGTGTTGGAGGAGGCGTTTCGAGCGGTGGTGAGGTGAAGGTAGGTGTCCTTGTTGAGGGAGCCGTTGCAAGTCATCTGATTGTGGCAAGAGGTGAGAGAGGCGAGAGGGCGTGCAAAGGGGGAAAGCAGAAGAATGAAACAGCAAAGAACGGTGGTGAGGTGGAGGTAGGTGTCCTTGTTGAGGGAGCCGTTGCAAGTCATCTGATTGTGGCAAGAGGTGAGAGAGGCGATAGGGCGTGCAAAGGGGGAAAGCAGAAGAATGAAACAGCAAAGAACGGTGGTGAGTGAAGGTAGGTGTCCTTGTTGAGGGAGCCGTTGCAAGTCATCTGATTGTGGCAAGAGGTGAGAGAGGCGAGAGGGCGTGCAAAGGGGGAAAGCAGAAGAATGAAACAGCAAAGAACGGCGGTAAGGTGGAGGTAGGTGTCCTTGTTGAGGGAGCCGTTGCAAGTCATCTGATTGCGGCAAGAGGGCAAAACGAGCACGTGGGGTGGGTGGGGGGACATGAAAATTCCGTGCATTTTGAATATTGGTGAGGCGCAGATATATGTCCTTGTTGAGAGAACCGTTGCAATTTATCTGCTCGTGGCAAGAAGGCAAAGTGGCAACCGAGCGAGGTAATTGTCTAGTCGGCTAAAAAGCGATAGTAACATATCGTGATGTTAGGTGTGTGCACTTACAATTGTTCCACCGCCACCGGGTGCGGAGACGTATTGGCCCGATATCACCGAGCGAAGAGTGAACTGCCATGCACCATGCCATGCATCATCATGCCATACCATGCCATGCCATGCCATGCAGCAGCAACCATGCACGATGCCATATTCCATGCCATGCATCCACAATTGAATATGCCATAGCATAACGGAACGAGAAACATTGAGGGAACAACGTTTATGCTAATGGTTTGAAGAATTCCCTCCCCCCCCTTCCCCTCCAACCCTCACCATCCCTCCCCTCCCATTCCTTCCCCTCCCCTCCCCTCCCCTCCCCTCCCTTTCCCCATCCCCCCTCCCCTCCAAGTCCCCTCCCCGCTCCCCCAACCCACTCACCCGGGTGCCATCACCATAACCAGCAAACTTGAACGCCTCTCGGTTCATCCACGGCTCAGTCATGAGCCACGACCCCAGATTCGCCCCCCGAATCGCCGGCACCCACATGATCTCCCTCACGTCGTGCCGCTCCCAGTCGCCCGGCTCCCCCTGCCACCAGAACTGCGGGCCACTTTCGCCATTCTGTGAGATGTACCATCCATCGGAGGATTTGAAGACCACGTAGACGGTGTCGGGGATATACTCGATGGTGAACACTGTTAGCGGGTCCGATGCGTTGCTGGTGGTTTCCAGGAACATGGATGGAGCCTTGGTTAGGAGCGTGTTGCTGGGAGTCAGGAATTGGAACTGCAGGGGGGGGGGGAGGAAGGGGATATACTCGATGGTGAACACTGTGAGCGGGTCCGAGGAGTTGGTAGTTGCCTCCAGGAACATGGACGCTGCCTTTGTTAGCAAGGTGTTGCTGGGCGTCAGGAACTGGAACTGCGGAGAGGAACGAACAACGGGACGTGGGAAGAATGTCGCATGAGGGATCAGCAACAGTGAGAAAGAAAGAGAGCCACCAGAACTGCAAGCCCTTGTCGCCGTCCTCTGAGATGTCTGAGACTCGAATGATGGTGAGCGCCTGTGAGGCACTGGGCGTGGTTGAGACCGCATCTCTAGGACCCGCCGCACATGGGCGAAATTAGAAACCCCACCACTGTTCTTACCTCAGTGTCTGAGACCCGAATGATGGTGAGCGCCTGTGAGGCACTGGGCGTGGAGCTGACTACTCCCCACATGTGACTACATACATACATCTGTCACACGTGCGTGGGTACGAGGGGCCCCATCCCCCTTACCTCAGTATCTGAGACTCGAATGATGGTGAGCGCCTGTGAGGCACTGGGCGTGGTGCTGACCCCATCTCTCGCACCCGCACACTGTATAAGAGACTCCATCCCCCTTACCTCAGTATCTGAGACTCGAATGATGGTGAGCGCCTGTGAGGTCAGGCAGTGGGCGTGGAGCTGACCCCATCTGTCACACCCGCACTCACATGGATATAAGAGCAAGTTATTCTGAATAAACTCCAACATTCTTCTTACCTCGGTGTCGGAGACTCGAATGATGGTGAGCGCCTGTGAGGCACTGGGCGTGGAAAAGACTCCATCTCTCGCACCTGCACATGGGCATGCAAATAAACCCCATCCCTCATACCTCAGTGTCTGAGACCCGTATGATGGTGAGCGCCTGTGAGGCACTGGGCGTGGAAAAGACCCGGCCTATGCGCCCCTCCCAGTTGACCCCGTCTGCTGCTGCCCACCACGTGCCCCATGTCTTGGTGCGCACTATCACCTGGAGTTAGGGCGTGGAGAGAGAGAGGGAACTTAAGGGTATGATGGTGAGTGACTGTGAGGGACGGGGCGTGCTGCTGACTCGGCCAGCAACGCGCCCCTCCCAGTTGACCCCGTCTGCTGCTGCCCACCACGTTTGCCATGTCTTGGTGCGCACTATGACCTGAAGAAAGAAAGATGGGAAGGCGAGGGAGGAGGGGGAGAGCCTGAGGGCTGAATAGTACAAGGTATGGAGAAGCTGTTGCCCACCATGCCACGTTTGCCACGTCTTGGAACGGATTATCACCTGAAGGGGAGGGCAATAGAAGGGCAGGCAAGAAAGAGGGAACTTTAGGGTATGATGGTGAGCGCCTGTGAGGGACTTGGCATGGTAGAGACTCGACCTACACGCCCCTCCCAGTTGACCCCGTCTGCTGCTGCCCACCACGCGCCCCATGTCTTGGTGCGCACTATCACCTGGAAGGGAGGGCAAGAGGAGGGGGGGGAACGCACTATCAATCACGTGTGTGCCCCTCCCAGTTGACCCCGTCTGCTGCTGCCCACCACGTTTGCCACGTCTTGGTGCGCACTATCACCTGGGGAGAGGAAGATGGGAAGGGGAGAGAGAAGTCACAAGTATATGATGCATACCCCCTATCCATACCCATACCCATACCCATACCCATACCCATACCCATACCCATACCCGCCGACACACATACAGTACCCATCCCCTTTGGCTCACCCTAGCTCCGTGTGCCAGCTGGCTGCTGAGCCACAGCGACGTCATCTTGGGAACGCCGGGGGCGAGCGCGGGAGCAGCGTTGGAGCAGCACTTCCCCTTGCACCTTGGGATCATACCATACCCCATACCCATGCCCATACCCATACTCACCAACACCCATAGGGAACCAATTCCCTCCCACTCACCCTAGCCCCGTGTGCCAGCTGGCTGCTGAGCCACAGCGACGTCATCTTGGGAACGCCGGGGGCGAGCGCGGGAGCAGCGTTGGAGCAGCACTGCCCCACGCACCTCGGGATCATATCATACCCCGTATCCATGCCCATACCCACACCCGCCAACACCCATACAGTACCCATCCCCTTTGGCTCACCCTAGCCCCGTGTGCCAGCTGGCTGCTGAGCCACAGGGACGTCATCTTGGGAACGCCGGGGGCGAGCGCGGGAGCAGCGTTGGAGCAGCACTTGCCCTCGCACCTTGGCCCGGGCGGGGGAGGCGGACTGGGGGGAGGGCTGGGGGGTGGGCTTGGGGGAGGGGGACGAGGAGGGGGGGAGCGGGGTGGGGGGCGAGGGGGCGGGGAACGAGGGGGAGGAGGGCGGGGGGGAGAGGGAGGGCGAGGGGGCGGGGGACGGGGGGGAGGCGGGGATCTTCTTGGCGGAGGCGGGGGGGGGAGTTTTCTAGTTGAGGTGGCGGGTCTGGGCGGGGGATTTTTCTTCGGTGGGGGCGGCTTTTTCACTGCTATGACTCTCCGATTGACGGTGGAGGAGGAGAGGTGAATGTCTCTGGACAGCCCAATGTGAGTGGAAAACGACGAGATGTGCCAAGGCTCCTTCTCTCCTGCCTCCGTCTCCCCCTCCTCTTCCTCTCGCTTCTCCTCCCGAACCTCCTCCCGAACCTCCTCCCGAACCTCCTCCCGAACCTCCTCCCGAACCTCCTCCCGAGCCTCTTCCCGAGCCTCTTCCCGAGCCTCTTCCCGAACCTCCTCCCGAGCCTCTGCCGGACGTCTGGGCTGGTGCACCTTCCCGAACAGCAGGTGCTTGGCTGTATGAGCGGCCCAAATGGCCTCTATCTCCGACTGAGGCTCATCTCCTACCGGCTCTACCCATTGAAGCGACTTTTGAGAATTCTCGAAAGTCGCACCAATATGTTTGGCGGTATGAGCGGCCCAAATGGCCTCTATCTCCGACTGAGGCTCATCTCTCACCGGCTCCACCCATTGAACTCCAACTCCTCCCTTACCCCTACCAGCCCGAGGGCCTGTGCCTCTTATGTTCGGATCTGGATCGCAGCCTTTGTTCTGCTTCCCCAGACACAGGCTCTCGAGCCATGGGTCTGTGTCTGGGTCTTCTGCTTCCTGGTGGGGATTGATCGGTTTTATGGGGTCTGGGTGGGGAGTTCGCGAGTGGAGAGTAGGGGGTTCTATAGATGGGTCGGATACTGCTTGAGAAGATCCACGGACAGGAGCTGCTGTTTGGTGGAGATCGGACGGCTCTGGAACACCGGCTTGAACGAGCGTGCTGCTGTGAACGGGCTTGCTTCCTTCAACGGGCGTGCTGGCTTGAACGCGTGGGAGGTCAAAGGTGGGGATGCCGTGCTGAGAGGGAGTAGTTGATAGGAGCAGGACGACTGCTGTGCTGATGAGGAGAGCCGTGACTGCAATAGGCAACCTGAGACGACGGGACGAGAAGGGGAGAGCAAGGAAGGGTAGGGAAGAGTAGGAAAGGGTAAGGAAGGTTCTTGAACGAGCGTGCTGCTGTGAACGCGAGCTCTGCCTTCAACGGCTGTGCTGGCTTGAACGCGTGGGAGGTCAAGGTTGGGAATGCCATGCTGTGAGGGAGTTGATGATAGGAGCAGGACGACTGCTGTGGTAATGAGGAGAGCCGTGACCGCAATAGGCAGCCTGAGACGACGGGACGATGAGGGGAGAGCAGGGAATGGTAGAAAAGGGTGGGTAAGGAAGCTTGAACGAGCGTGCTGCTCTGAACGGGCGTGCTGCCTTGAACGCGGGGGAGGTCATGGGTGGGAACGCCGTGCTGTGAGGAGAGCCATGAGCCGTGACCGCAAAGGCAACCTGGATGATGGGACGAGAAAGGAAGAGTCGGGAAGAGCAGGTAAGGGTAGATACGACTTATGAGTAGACTTAAAGTTGGATGAATGCTGTGCTATTGAGGAGAGGCATGACCGCAAGAGGCAACCTGGGTGATGGGACGAGAAAGGAAGAGCCGGGAAGGGTAAGGAAGACTTTCTGGTTGACCCCTAAGTTTGACGAAAGCCCGTGCTAATGAGGAGAGCCTTGATTGCAAGAGGCAGCCTGGGACGGCGGGACGAGAAGGGAAGATAGGGAGAGACGAGAAATCGATGCGTCAGAGTTCGATAGGAGACGAGACAGCTGCAAAAGGAAAGGTCAGAAAGAAGCAACGCTGGGAGAGAGTAAGGGTGTGCAGAGGCATAGCGAATGAATCTGCGTAGGGGAATACATGCAGGTTAGAGGAGACGGCAGGAAGGGTGGAAACTTGGAAAATGAAGGCAAAATCTTGGAGTATGTGGGTCCAGAAGAATGCTACAGAAGGCTACAGTTCTGATACGTCTCAGCCCTTGGAACTTGGAGTATTTAGGGCTAGAAGAGTGCTACACGGGGAATGAGGCGGTAGATACATGCGCACAAGACAGGGTGGGGGGTAGGGTTATGCACACGCGACAAGGGGGAAGGAAAACGCTTTTTCTGGCGCAGCGTAACGGCGACTAAGATGAGAGCTGACGAAGAAGGCGTTCGGTGTACGAAAGTCGCTACCGAAGTGATGCTATGGAGGTATCCAAGAAAGCTTGATACCACATAGTTGCGTAAGTAGGCGGCTAGGTACGTGGAGGGAGGATACTTTATAGCTTCAGCCAAATGGAGGAATTCAGGTGTCACTTCACCCGGCTCGTAGCCTAATTTGAATATTATGAAGGCGCTTTTCAAAGGCGCCCGGAAAACAATCGTGCGAGGACCTAAAGAAATGGGTGTATCTTGATACCACACGCATTGCTATAACAAAATGCAGGTATCCTGTTACCATTTCGCGGCTCGACCGAAGAACGACATTGCTGGCTGGCGACGTGCGGGTGGCAGGAGCAGCTCGTTTAAGATTCCGCCATGAGTCTCCGAGGCTGGCGAAAAGTCAATGGGGTTACCCTATCCTCGCTGTGCAACAATGGTCACTATTCTAACGACGCAACGGTGACCAACTAATCGTTTCGCCAAGCTCTCGAGCCTGTTGGGGTCTCTGCTAACAGCTTGAGGAGGAGCTTTGAATTCACTACGGTAGTGAAAGCCGACCCTGAGCTTCGCAGACAAGTTATACGCGAAATGCAAGCACACGAGATAGTGCTACAGTAGCAGGAATCAGTACTATACTACCCAGTCCAAAGAGGCTCGCGGTCACGGTACTTATTCTGCTAGGTTTGACGACAGTGAGGAGGAGGAAGGTATATCTCCGCAGCGACACGAGGTGACGATGCGTAGAAAGCAGAATGTATGAACGGTGGTGTGGTGTGGTGGTGTGTCGTTCGTAACGAGTAACCTCACCGGCATACCAAGACGAGCACAGACCAGACCACCTTCGTTGGGTTCGGTGGGGTATGATGAGTTGCAGCGAGGAGAGACAGCTAACAATTGAAATGCTACGGACCGAACCATGGCGTCCACTGTTCATGCTGGAAGGCTGTGCTGTGTGCTGGCATTGCTGTGAAGGTGAATGTGAAGGTGAAGGCTTTGTGCGAAGCGAATCAACCAACCGACCGACCGAATCAACACGGTTTCTCTGCTTGCTGTTCCTGGTTTCACTACCTGTTGTAAGAGTTATGCTTGAAAAACGTATTCGAGCCAAATGTAACCGCTCTGCAACAACAAGAATCTTACTCAACCGCATTGAAGTTGGCTCTTCGGATCCTGGCTTGATTTCACGCAAGCTGAATTCGCCTTGAAGTGTGAGCGAGAGTGCGACTGATTCGCCATCTCCTCTGTGCGAAGCAAATCCGTCAAGTTTCGCTAATCGCGGAGGAACCCCGCCAATCATATGCAACGCCGCCACCACAACAACCCCAGCCACCTACCCCGGCTACAGTGTCTTGCATTCCATTGGCCTATGTGCATGACACCGCTGGCACATTCACAGCCCACCAGAACCCATACTTCACACATGAAGGGCAAGAACGCGTATTTTTATGTAACTGGAACGAGCCTAGTTTGACTACACTAGAAGCTTAGAAAAGGGGCTATATCTGCCAGTAGCAAATGAGATGCTTCTAATTATCATATTCACATGTATGGGCGCTTGTACCAGCATGAAGTATTGACCTGTATGTTTATAGAGAGTGGTAGAGAATCCTTCAACACGTATCGTACAGAAATCTAGAGAGATTGGAGCACGAAAAACATATGCCAAGCTTTCTCCAGCAACCCACACCACATCGTGCTCGGAATCATCTCATAATGAACAGCATTACAAGGTTTAATAATCCTGAGCATCGTCATCTTCACTGTCGTCACTACCATCGCTGCATGCAACACAGAGACCACGAGTGGTTAACCACGAAAATAACGAGAATATCGTTAAATGTCTGTACGTGCCCATACTGGAACGACTACCAATCCCTATCAGGCCAAAAAGAACGAGGAGAAAGCTTACCTGACAACGGGCATCTTTGCAATGCGGCGAGACTCGAGCCCTGTGAGGTACTTCTGTGCTGCTGTCACCTGGTCAGGACCTGGTCAGTCAAAGTACGCACAGGGCAGAAAAAACAAATATGCCTCAGTTGTGGCTTACAAAGAAAACACGAGGCTGTGCGGAAGAATATACTTTTTACACTGCACTGCACCAGTGAGATGCGCGGCAGGGTGATTCACACCCCAGTGCACTGCACCAGTCAAAATTATTACCCTTACCTTGCTGAGTCACAAGGGCATCGCTCTCGCTGAGGTGGACACTACCCGCGCTGAGCTGGAACTCACCCGTGCTGAGCTGGAACTCACCCTTGCTGAGCTGGAAGGCATGCAGGATGGTTCGCTCTGCAGCCAGCCGCACAGGCTGACTCGTATCCTTGAGACACTCAGAGAGGGGCGGGCCCAGTGCTGCCAGGAGCTTCGCTGGGATGGGCTCCTGGAATTGTGGAGCAGTGATTGAGGGGGGAGGAAGAGGGGGGATAGCAGGATGAGGAGGGCACAGGCTGACTCGTGTCCTTGAGACACTCGGACAGGGGCGGGCCCAGTGCTGCCAGGAGCTTTGCTGGGATGGGCTCCTGCAGTCACAGCCAACACAAAGGGGAATGGGTGGAGGAGAGGGGTCAGGAGGGCACGGGCTAACTCGTGTCCTTGAAGCACTCCGACAGGGGCGGGCCCAGTCCTGCCAGGAGCTTTGCTGGGATGGGCTCCTGTGGTGCAGCAGAGGTGGGTGGGTGGGGAAGTGTGGGGAAAGCGGAATGAGGAGGGCACACAGGCTGACTCGTGTCCTTGAGACACTCAGAGAGGGGCGGGCCCAGTGCTGCCAGGAGCTTTGCTGGGATGGGCTCCTGCAGTCACAGCCAACACAAACGGGAATGGGTGGAGGAGAGGGGTCAGGAGGGCACGGGCTAACTCGTGTCCTTGAAGCACTCGGACAGGGGCGGGCCCAGTCCTGCCATGAGCTTTGCTGGGATGGGCTCCTGTGGTTGTGGAATGGAGATGGGAGGGTATACTTGAAGAAGCGGAGAAGCCTGGTTCTTGTGAATACATGCAGATTGAGTGACGAAAGCATAGACCGTGTTGACAGTCTGACTTCGTTGACTTCATTGACCCCATTGACTTCGTTGACCCCTTTGACTTCGTTGACCCCATTGACTTCGTTGTTCCCACTGACAGCGTTGACCCCACTGATTGAGTTGACTGTTGACTCACCTTCTTGGCAACCATCTTGACAGCAGAGAGCGCCTTCCTCCGCATGTCACTTGATCTCATTGACTCCATTGACCCCATTGACTCACCTTCTTAGCAACCATCTTGACAGCTGAGAGCGCTCGCCTCCGCATGTCACTAGCAGCATCCCCCAGCAGCGAAGCCAGCACCACCACCACACGTGACCCACTCACCTTCTTAGCAACCATCTTGACAGCAGACAGCACCTTCCTCCGCACGTCACTAGCTGCAGCAAGATAGAGAGAATTGACCCTGTTGACTCTATTGACCCACCTTCTTGGCAACCATCTTCACAGCCGACAGCGCCTTCCTCCGCACGTCACTGGCAGCAGGAAGTAAGAAAGGAGTCGTCCTCGCAACTTGACCACGTTGACCCCGTTGACCCCATTGACTCACCTTCTTAGCAACCATTTTGACAGCCGACAGCGCCCTCCTCCGCACGTCACTGGCAGCAGGAAGTAAGAAAGGAGTCGTCCTCGCAACTTGACCACGTTGACCCCGTTGACCCCATTGACCCACCTTCTTGGCAACCATCTTCACAGCAGACAGCGCCCTCCTCCGCACGTCACTAGCAGCATCCCCAAGCAGCGAAGCCAGCACCGCCACCACCCCCGCAGCACTCCCCCCGCCCATCCCAAACAGCATCAGCCATCTCCCCGCCGCCTTAGCCGCCGTCTCCCGCACCGGCACCTTATCATCCCCTGCATGTGCTCTTATCGCCGCTGCTGACTTTTCGGCTACAGATGCGAGCTGGGATGCTGGCAGGGGTGCGGGGCGGGAGGCGGTGTGGCGGAGGAGGGAGGAGAGGGCGAGGGCGGCTGCGAGGCGGTGCGACCAGGGGCGAGAGGAGGGGAGGGGAGCGGCGAGGGCGGCTAGGAGAGAGAGGTAGTCTGGCTCCGATAGGTACTGGAAGGGGTGGGGGGCAGGAGGGGATAGGGGTATGGGGGGAAGAGAGAGAAAAAAGAAAGAGGTCAATTTTCTGTATGGAACCTACGAAACCTCATCTCAGCTGCTCTTTGGGTGTCTCTGTCTCTAAATGATAGTAGCTGGGAGGTTGAGGTCGAGAGGCGGTGTGGCGGAGGAGGGAGGAGAGGGCGAGGGCGGCAGCGAGGCGGTGCGACCAGGGGCGGGAGGAGGGGAGAGGGGCGACGAGGGCGGCTAGGAGGGAGAGGTAATCGGGCTCCGATAGGTACTGTTGGGGGTGTGGGGGAGGGGGAAATGGGGAAAAAGTGGGAGTATGGTAAATGACAGAGAGAGAGGAAGAAGAGTGGCCAATTTCCTGCATGGAGCCTCATCACAAGTGCTCTCTAGGTTCCTGTGTCTCCAGTCCAACGGCAGTAGCTGGGAGCTTGAGGGTGAGAGGCGGTGTGGCGGAGGAGGGAGGAGAGGGCGAGGGCGGCTGCGAGGCGGTGCGACCAGGGCCGGGAGGAGGGGAGAGGGGCGGCGAGGGCGGCGAGGAGAGAGAGGTAGTCTGGCTCCGATAGGTACTGTTGGGAGAAGGGGGGAAGGGGAGGGGGGTGGGATTTGGGGTTAAGAAAAGTAGAGACAGGGAAGGGATCAATTACATGCAAGGGGCTTCTTTTCACAGTGGTGTGCCGGAGAAGGGAGGAGAGGGCGAGGGCGGAGCTCTCCAGGTGCCTTGGCCCCTGCCATAATCGCCACACACACACCCTCTCTCACCCCTCTCTCACCCTCTCACCCCTCTCTCACCCTCTCTCATCCCTCTCTCACCTGTGCAGTGCCACCCAGGGCTCTAGCAGCAACGGAGCGAACAACGGAGTCGACGTCGCTGTCAGAGGCGAACAGCAGGGCGAGCAGCGACGAGGAGAGACAGGAGAGCCCCCCACACACACTCTCTCTCACCTGTGCAGTGCCCCCAAGAGCCCTGGCAGCAACGGAGCGAACAACAGAGTCGTGGTCGCCGTCAGAGGCGAACAGCACAGCCTGGAGCGACGAGGAGAGACAGGAGAGGCCGCCTCCCCCCCCACACATACACACTCTCTCACCTGCGCAGTGCCCCCAAGGGCTCTAGCAGCAACGGAGCGAACAACAGAGTCGTCATCGCTGTCAGAGGCGAACAGCACACCCTGCAGCGACGAGGACAGGCGCTCCAGCGACGCGGGAGAGGCCGCCTTGCCTCCGTGCCTCACCACTCCGCGGATGGCCATCAGCATTGACTCCTTCACTGCACCGTCTGCGCTCTGTAAAAGGGTAAGGGAGTAGGGTGGAGGGGTGGACGGGGGGTGTGTGTTGCAGGAGATTCAGTACTCACTACAGGGATCAGCGGGATCACCTGGCCTTGCCTCCGTGCCTCATGACTCTGTGTATGGCCATGAGCATCGACTCATTCACTGCACCGTCCGCACTCTGTATAGGATGGGAGGAGGCGTGGACAACGGGGGAGTTTGTAATGTGCGTGTGTTGGGGTGGCTCACTGGCCACCTGCCCTTGCCTCTGTGCCTCACCATCCCTCGGATGGCCATGAGCATCGACTCCTTCACTGCACCGTCCGCACTCTGTATAGGATGGGAGGAGGCGTGGACAACGGGGGAGTTTGTAATGTGCGTGTGTTGGGGTGGCTCACTGGCCACCTGCCCTTGCCTCTGTGCCTCACCATCCCTCGGATGGCCATGAGCATCGACTCCTTCACTGCACCGTCCGCACTCTGTATAGGATGGGAGGAGGCGTGGACAACGGGGGAGTTTGTAATGTGCGTGTGTTGGGGTGGCTCACTGGCCACCTGCCCTTGCCTCTGTGCCTCACCACCCCTCGGATGGCCATGAGCGTCGACTCCTTCACTGCACCGTCTGCACTCTGTGAGGGGAAGAGGGGAGGGGGGCGGAAGGAGGCACAATACTCACTACAGGGATCACCCAGCCTTGCCTCCGTGCCTCACCACCCCTCGGATGGCCATCAGCATCGACTCCTTCACTGCCCCGTCTGTGTTCTGTAAGGGAGGAGATGGAGAGGAGGGGCGGATGGGGTTGTGTGTGTTGAGGCTCACTACTCACTGTAGGGCTCACTATCTGCTGACCTGGACAAAGTGCTGACCTGGACAGAGGGCTGACCTGGACAGAGTGCTGACCTGGACAGAGCACTGACCTGGATGGAGTTGAGGAGGTCGGAGATGAGGGCATCCACTCGCGGGTTCAGCGCTGTCAGCCGCCCCAACGCCTTGGCTGCTCGCGAGCGCACCGTGCTGGGGAGATGGGGGGACCATTGGGGTTGGATGAGGCAAGGAGAAGGGGGATTGTTGGGGGGAAGGATAGACGAGTGTGAGGCAAGGAAGGGGATCCATAATGGCTGGAGTATTGCAAGAAGCGGATGAAGGTGTTGTGCGGCTGCTGCAGGAAGGGCTTGACGTGATGCTTGGCCGCACCCCTGTCCCAACCACCTCTGCCTGCCCTGCCCCCAAACAGACACAAACTGTACTTGGCACGTGGGGATAGAGCAGCAGCAGGCACTCACCGGTTGGAGTCCTGAAGGCAGCGGATGAAGGTGGTCTGCAGCTGCGGCAAGAAAGGCTTGAGGGTGATGCCTCCCTTGGAGTACCAGCAGCGCACATGCTACCAGGCACTTCCCCTCAATACCTGCAGCACATACACTACATCGTAATCTGCTGCTCTCCCCACAGGCTCACCGGTTGGAGTCCTGAAGGCAGCGGATGAAGGTGGTCTGCAGCTGCGGCAGGAAGGGCTTGAGGGCGATGCCGCCCTTGGTGATGAGGATGGCGAGAGTAGAGAGAATGGCCGCCTTGACCTGCCAGGGGAAGCGATCCCCCACTATGCGGATGAGGGGGCTGTGGGAGGGGGGCAACAAGCAGACAGCGAAAGGGTAGGGTGCAAGGGAAGGGGAGAAGGAGGAAGCGAGGGAGAGATGAGGGGGGATGAGAGGGGATGAGATGCAAGGGCAGGAAGGGCTCGAGGGCGATGCCCCCCTTGGTGATGAGGATGGCGAGGGTGGCAACAATGGCCGCCTTCACACGCTGGCAACAATGGCCGCCTTCACACGCTGGCACTCACCAAGTGATGGGCACCGCAAACGGTTGCAGCACCGCCTCACTCGCCTCGCCACGTCTATCAGCTCCGTGCCTGCAGCCACTGTCACTCACCCAGCTGTTGCCACACCCATCCACACCCATCCACACCCATCCACACCCATCCACGCCCATCCACACCCAATTGTGGTACCCAACTATTACGCTCACCCGGTGATGGGCACCACGAAGGGCCGCAGAGCTGCCTCGCTTGCCACGTCTATCAATTCCGCAAGCCCATCTGCTGCTGCCTCACGCATTTCCGCTGATCCCAGCATTAGCGACTGGAGGAGAGGGGGACAGGGGGACAGGGGAGGGGCCGGGGGAGGGGGAGGGGGAGGAAGAGGGGGAGGGGGAAGGGGAGGAGGAGGGGGAGCGGGAGGGAGAGGGGATGAGACAGGTGAGAAAGGTGCGCCTGCTGCTCTACCTGTGGTATCTCTAGGGTGGGAGATTATTGAGACGTCTCTCTAGATGCATGGAGCCAGGCGGCACGTCAGGTATATCTGAAGAAGGTATATTTGCAGCAGGTAATCTGAACCCCACAACAGAGTTTGAGGCGCTCACCTGCAGGCATATCTGAAGCATCGGTTGCAAGCGGGTAGATTCAAACTCCAGGACCAAAGACCAACACGCTCACCTGCAGGTATATCTGAAGCACTGGCTGCAAGCCCTTGGGCAGGCAGAAACCAGCAACAAGCATGGGAAGGCCCTGTTGGTGGATGGTGGGAAAAGAGGAGGAGAAAGATCAGTGTGAGTGTGAGACAACAAGCAAGAGAAAATGCTGCGAAACAAAAGACGATAGCCATAATCGAATGAAAAGCGAAACAAAAGGCGGCAGCAGCCATACATGCAAAGGGAGAGTCCGTCCCACCTTCCTCTTCCTCCTCTCCTCTCCCTGTCCCTCGCCGTTGCAACGGCATCCCGGACTACTTTGAGGTGCACTGGCAGCGACTCCTTGGGAACAAGACAAACTCGAAAGGAAAGGGTCCTACCCTAAGACGCTGTGTATACAAGAGGGCACCCACCTTCCTCTTCCTCCTCTCCCTGTCCCTGGCTGTGGCAACAGCGTCTCGAACCACTTTGAGGTGCACTGGCAGCGACTCCTTGGGAATGGGACCAGCTCGAAAGGAAAGGAACCCACCTACTGGGGACCTGATATGCACAAGGGAGGGCACCCACCTTCCTCTTCCTCCTCTCCCTGTCCCTGGCTGTGGCAACGGCGTCTCGAGCCACTTTGAGGTGCACTGGCAGCGACTCCTTGGGAATGGTGCTTGTGACGCTGCCCAGCGCCTCCCATGCCACCTGTGTGGGTGAGGGGATGGGGGGAACGGGAGAACAGGAAGTGGGGGAGAGGAGGATTAGGGGATGGGGGATTCTAGGGGGTGCACTGGCTGGCAGCGACTCCTTGGGAATGGTGCTTGTGACGCTGCCCAGCGCCTCCCATGCCACCTGTGTGGGTGAGGGGATGGGGGGAACGGGAGAACAGGAAGTGGGGGAGAGGAGGATTAGGGGATGGGGGATTCTAGGGGGTGCACTGGCTGGCAGCGACTCCTTGGGAATGGTGCTCGTGACGCTGCCCAGTGCCTCCCATGCCACCTGTGAAGGTGAGGGGATGGGGGGAATGGGACAACAGGAAGTGGGGGAGAAGGGAGGTTAGGTTAGGGATGGGGGATCCTACGGGATGCACTGGCAGCGACTCCTTGAGAATGGTGCTCGTGACACTGCCCAGCGCCTCCCATGCCACCTGTGAGAGGGGATCGGGGGGACAGGAGGATGGGAGATGGATGGTAAGGGTGCACTGGCAGCGACTCCTTGGAAATGGTGCTCGTGACACCCAGCGCCTCCCATGCCACCTGTGATAGTGAGGGGATGGGGGAGAGGGGAGAAGGAAGAGTAGGGGAGAAGGGAGGTTAGGGCATGGGAGATGCTAGGGGGTGGACTGGCAGCGACTCCTTGGAAATGGTGCTCGTGACGCTGCCCAGCGCCTCCCATGCCACCTGTGAGAGGATGGGTGGGATGGGAGGTTGGGAGGTGGGGGATGGGGGTAAGGAAGGATGGGGAGTGGATGGTGAGAAGGGGTACACACTGTGCACTGGAAGACTCCTTGGGAATGGTGCTCGTGACACTGTCCAAAGCCTCCCATGCCACCTGTGTGAGTGAGGGATGGAAAATAGAAGCAAACGTTTGTGGTCAGAGATGGTAGCTGCTGCTCAATCCAGGTGCATACATGCATGCACTACTAAAGCACAACATGCAATGCGGCATAACACACACTCATCATCTCACCGCACCTTCACACAAGCCTCGTCTGGGTCTGCGCGCATGACGATCAGAATGGTCATCAGCGACGGGAACTCCTCCTCTACCTCCTCCCAACCCACACACGCCCCATGCCATCACAGTATGCATACTGTGTGATGGCACAGCATAGCTTCGCACCAAAGTGAATACACCACGCACTCCTCATCCCAGCATACCTTCACACATGCTTCATCCGGGTCTGCGAGCATGACGATGAGGATGGTCATCAGCGACTGCAGCTCCTCCTCCACCTCCTCCCAACCCACACATGCATAGTTAGCAGCACTCATCACAGCACACCACACATACCTTCACGCAGGCCTCGTCTGGGTCTGCGAGCATGACGATCAGAATGGTCATCAGCGACAGTAGCTCCTCCTCCACCTCCTCCCCACAACCACACATGCACTGCACTCCTTACAGCAACACACGCATGCATACTCAGTGCTCCTCGCACTGCACGTACCTTCACACAGGCTTCATCGGGGTCTGCCAGCATGACGATGAGGATGGTCATCAGCGACGGCAGCTCCTCCTCCAGATGCACACACACGCCCCATACCACCACAACATGCATGCACCTACCACACCGCACATACCTTCACACAAGCCTCGTCTGGGTCTGCGAGCATGACGATGAGGATGGTCATCAGCGATGGCAACTCCTCCTCTAGGTCCACACGCGTGATCTTGCAGAACGTTCCCAGAAGCTTCGCCGCTCCACGCCTCATGACAGCCTGGGAAGGAAAGCACGACGAGAGGAGGGAAAAGGAGAGGAGGGGGGGGGAGGAGGGGGAGGAGAGGAGAGAAGAGGAGAGGAACGAAGCGGAGATGAGAGGAGAAGAGAGTGCGTGGGTGAGCTTGCCAATAAGAGAGACCAGGCCCTCCTCGCCCAACCCACATCCCCAACACACCCACTTCTCTCCCCCCTCACCCTTTACCTCCTCTCACCCCTCCAGAGAACGTACCGAGTTATCAGAGAGTGCGTGGGTGAGCTCGCCCTCCTCATCCACCCCAACTATCCCCCATTCCCCTCCCACATCCCCACACCCTCACACCCTCTCCCCCCCATCTCACCCTTTCTTCAAGCACGTACCGAGTTATCAGAGAGCGCGCGGGTGAGCTCGCCAATAAGAGAGTCCAGCCCCTCCTCGTCCACTCCAGGCGCCCCTTTCCCGTTGCCCTCCCACACCTCCATCCTCACCTCACCATCCCACCCGTTTCCCTCGCACGCACCGAGTTATCAGAGAGAGCGTGGGTGAGCTCGCCAATAAGAGAGTCCAGCCCCTCCTCGAAGATTCCCTTCACCACCTTCCCCCATCCCCACCCACCCTTTCTCCCCCTTTCCCACACCTTAGCCCCTCAACAACCTATAAACAACGCACCGAGTTATCAGAGAGTGCGTGGGTGAGCTCGCCTATAAGAGAGTCCAGCCCCTCCTCGTCCACTCCCTTCACCACAGCCTCTGCTGACGCCACCGCCATGGAGCGCAGGGCAGACTGGGGAGGTTGGACGAGCAAGGGGGAGAGATTGGAAAATGGGGGGAGAGGAAGGTTGTAAAAAAGAGGTGATGAAGAGAAAAAAATGAAAAGGCCTCACATGAAACCACTGCAATGGCACACAAATGCGTTTACAAGAACTGGGACTGCAACCTTAGCAGCACACCGCTCTAGCTCTCCCCGCTCACCTCCCTCTAGCCACTCGCACACACATGCCCACACATACCACGCCCGTACATGCACACCCCGCTCACCTCCTCCATCTGCCCCATCTCGTTGAGCAGCGGCGGCAGCACCGTGGCCAGATGCACACACATGCCCGCCCCCGCCACCTCTGCCAGCGCCCCCAGTGCATGCGCCTTGAACTCCCTGTGTAAGGGGGTAGAGAGTTGGTGAGTGAGAAGGGAGGGTGGGAGAGGTTGTAGACCTTAAAACCCCGCCACCTCTGCCAACGCCCCCAATGCATGCGCCTTGAACTCCCTGCGTGGGCGAGGCCAGGGGTGGGTGAAGCGGAGACAGTAAACAATACACGATAAACCTTATCATTAGGGCGAACAGCTGACTCTACAAAACCGTATCATGCCATGCCATGCATTTGAAGTGGACATGACAAACGTAGAAGGGGATCGGAGAGTGTACGTACGTGAGAGGCGGTTTGACGAGCTTGGGCAGGATGTGAGGCAGAACGACAGTGGTGCGCACAGAGCTGACTTTTGAGTCGACTCAAAAGAGTGTACGTACGTGAGAGGCGGTTTGACGAGCTTGGGCAGGATGTGAGGCAGAACGACAGTGGTGCGCACAGAGCTGACTTTTGAGTCGACTCAAAAGAGTGTACGTACGTGAGAGGCGGTTTGACGAGCTTGGGCAGGATGTGAGGCAGAACCACTGTGGTGCGCACACTGCAACACAAAGGGGGAGGAGGGGGGAGTGGCGGCATAGGGAAGAAACGGAATGAAAAGGGAAGAGGAAATGGGGAAATGGACTCAAGGTTAGGTATTGAATCTGGGGCCCAACCCATCCCACCTGAAAATCGACCTGAAACTATACCACCTGAAAATCCACCTGAGCACATCCCACCTGAGGATCTGTTTGAGCCCGTCAAGCGCCGTAGCGGACGTGTGGGGATCCTCCAGGGAGTGCAGCAGGGCCGGCACGATCTCATCGATAGCTTGCATGCCTGCACTCTGTGTAGGCAGGGGAGTGAAAGGGGGAGAGAGGTAGGGGGCGAGCGGTGCCTTTTATGATTAGCCCCAGAGAGTGCAGCAGGGCCGGCACGATCTCATCGATAGCTTGCATGCCCGCACTCTGGTGAGTGGGGAGTCAAAGGGTTGGGAGAGGGAAGCGGGGGGAAGTGGAGGGGAACGGATGGTGGAGGTCCCTTTAGTCAGCTCCACGGAGTGAGTGCAGTGCAGCAGGGCGGGCACGATCTCATCAATGACTTGCATGCCCTAAACCTCGTCAATGGTCCCACCCCACCCAACGCCAAGACCCAAGGATTGCTGTTAGTAGACCCTTAAAGAAACGGATTCAAGCACCCACCTTGTAGAGTGTGCTGAAGGCTTGTGCTGCTGCCTCCTTTGGGGCGCTTAAAAAATCGTTCCTATACCCGCACGTCCTATGCACATGAGAGAACGAATTTCCATGTGAGTGAGGCACCCACCTTGTAGAGCGTGCTGAAGGCTTGTGCTGCTGCCTCCCGCACTTCAGCATCCCTGCACAACAGGAGTGAAAGGGAGGAACAAAGGAGCAGAAGAGCAGTAGGAGAAGAAAAACAGGAGGTGTGACAGTGCCGCCACATTATACTGACTCGTCACACAGTGACCCGTTTGTGGCAAAGCGTACATGACGCACCAACTATTGCAATGGCATGGCGTAATCACATACTTCGCACTCGTCACCACCAGTGTAAAGCAGAGGCCGGACTCGCTCGTCACAGAGCGCGGTGCGGATGGTGCCGATAAGGCCGTCCAGGTGGGATGTGAGGTGAGGTTATGCCGCACATGACACATCACCAATTACAATGGCACGTCCACATATTTCTCACTCGTCACCAGCGTTAGGGGCAGGGCTCGCCGGACTCACTCGTCACAGAGCGCGGTGCGGATGGTGCCGATAAGGTCGTCCAGGTGGGATGTGAGGTTCTGCCGCCCTGCTGCGTTCATCACCTCGCCCAGCCCGCAGCACACGCCCTGCAGGTATAAGAAGGTAGACAGCAAGCAAGGGAATCCATGATCACATAAGGTTCATGACCACACACACACAGAGTGTGACAGCCGCGTCCTATGGGACGGAGCAAATGACCTTCATATCACGGAAAGACATGATGAGGTGGGTCGAACAGATTGTAGAGTGCAGCACAGAGAGCAGTATGGAAAGCACCTGAAGGCAAGACAGAGGGCAGCACACAACCTCTCAAGAACACACCTGTCTGGTGGCGGGGTTGGGGTCCTTCAGCCCAGCAGAGAGGATGGGCACCACCGAGGGCAGCACTCGCTCTCCCAGCTTGCGCACCAACTCGCCTATGGCCCGACTCGCCATCTGGGGGCCACAACAAGAGATGGGGCACACAAGTGAGGGAGAAAGAACAGGCGCAGGTGTTATCAGCATAGCACTCGCTCTCCCAGGTCCGTCCAAATGCGTGAACACGAAAGCAAGGTCATTGGATTGGACCCACACATTTGAAGTCCAGTCCAGATGCCTTGGATTTTCCTTTCCCATACAGTACCTGAACCAGTATCGTATCAAATAATCAGTCTCTGAATTTCTCCGTCCCACCTGGCGGCGCTCGAAGGAGGGCGAGCCGAGGGAGTCGATGAGGAGGCGCATGAGCGTGGGCATGATCTCCTTGAGGGTGCGCGGTGATGCAACACCATACCATGGCCTACAGTCTCCAAAGGCTATTGAATTTGAATCATGAAACGATCACTCTGTGTGTGGGTCGCATGAAGCTAAAGTGAGTACCTCTACTAGCCCGTTCTGACGTGGCGGCGCTCGAAGGAGGGCGAGCCGAGGGAGTCGATGAGCAGGCGCATGAGTGTGGGCATGATCTCCTTGAGCGTGCGCGGGGTGATAGTGTTGTGATACTACTGCATGGTGATGCGATACCATACCGTGGCCTAGAGCCTCCAGAAGGCTACGAATTGAATCACAAAACACCGTGTGTGTGCTTGCGTTACCTCGCGTGCACCCAAGTGAATATCTTTGTTACATGTTAAGCTGGTTAGCCCGTTCTGACCTGACGGCGTTCGAAGGAGGGCGAGCCGAGGGAGTCGATGAGGAGGCGCATGAGCGTGGGCATGATCTCCTTGAGCGTGCGAGGGGTGTTGGCCACAATGGTCTTCCACACGTGCACCGCGGACTGTGGTGAGGCAAGAGGGGAAATGTGAAGGGAGAGAACTATTTGAATCACACACAGAGCGAGGAAACGCATGAGTGGGCATGCATGCAGGTGGGTGGGCGGGCAGGGTGTTGGATTCCAGAGCCAGCATGTATGCGCCTCGACAGATCCCTCTTGTCTACATGTATGCCCAGGAACTCCTCCCTCTTGTCATTTCAATTCCTCAATGTCAGAATGTCGGTGCCTGCCTCAAACAGTGGAGGCCTGCACAATAAAGTTCCTCACCTGTCGCACAGACAGCGACACGTCTGATCGCACGATGTAGACAGACAGCAGCCAGCACCTCGTTGCGCCTCCCATCACTCATGCCCATGCCTCATCCCCCCATGCCCCACTCCCATGCCCCACTCCCATGCCCCACTCCCATGCCCCACTCCCATGCCCCACCCTCCCATGCCTCACCTCACCTGGCGCACGGACAGCGACACGTCTGATCGAACGATGTACACGGCAGCCAGCACCTCGTTGCGTCTATCCAGCCCCAGCACGTCCAGAATCGCCCGTCCCTTTTTGAGACGCCCTTGTTGCGCCTCCCATCACTCATGCCCATGCTTCACACCCCCATGCCTCATCCCCCCCATGTCTCATGCCCATGCCTCCACCCCATGCCTCCACCCCATGCCTCCACCCCATGCCTCCACCCCATGCCTCCACCCCATGCCTCCACCCCATGCCTCCACCCCATGCCTCCACCCCATGCCTCCACCCCATGCCTCACTCCCATGTCTCACCTGTCGCACGGACAGCGACACATCCGACCGAACGATGTACACGGCAGCCAGCACCTCGTTGCGCCTATCCAGCCCCAGCACGTCCAGAATCGCCCGGCCCTTTTTGGGATGCCTCAAGTTCACACCACGCGCTCTACACACCAGGACTGTTGACCCCGACCGAGAGCTCCTTCCTTTTCACTTCAAATCAACATGTACGCGCCTCAACAGATGCTCTTTCAGCTTTAGGTTTCCTCACCTGTCGCACGGACAGAGACACGTCGGATCGCACGATGTACACGGCAGCCAGCACCTCGTTGCGCCTATCCAGCCCCAGCACGTCCAGAATCGCCCGTCCCTGCGCCTCCGTGCTGGCGCCCTCGTCGTCGCTGCCTCCCTCCAAAACGACCTTGCCTGATGTGCCTGCGACCTGATGGGGAGGGAAGGGGAGAGAAGGAGCGAGCAGGAAAAGTGGAATGAGAAGGGAGTTACAAAGAGTGGTACTGAGAATCGCCCTACCCTGCGCCTCCGTGCTCGCGCCCTCGTCGTCACTGCCTCCCTCCAACACCACCTTACCTTGCCTGATGTGCCTGCCACGTGTGATGGGGGGGAGGAGGAAGAGGGAGAAGCAGGGCAAGAAGGAGAGCTATGAACGCTTAAATCGAGGTTGCCACCTTTTCACATGGCCACCTTAAAGAGCAGGTCGCCAGGAAGTTTTATGAAGCCCTTCACCCCTCCATTACAGTCACTTCAATAAACGCCACTTCAAGACAGACGTCGCCACAAGAAATACCCCCCCCCTCCTCCCCTCGTTACTGTCACCTTGAAGAGCAGGTCGCCCAGCGGTTCAATGGAGCTCTCCCGCCCTCCATTACAGTCATTTCAATGGTCCCCAAATAGAAACGTAAGCTACCCCTCGTTATAGGCACCCCACCTTGAAGAGCAGGTCGCCCAGCAGCTCCATGGAGCTCTGCCTCTCCATTATAGTCACCTGCAGCAGTATCTGAAGATAAACGCCCCCCGTTTCTTCCTCCCCTCGTTATAGTCACCTTGAAGAGCAGGTCGCCCAGCAGCTCCATGGAGCTCTGCCTGATCCGCCAGCTGTCGCTGAAGAGTCCCTCCTCCACCGCTGGCAGCAGCAGCGGCAGCGAGCTGGGGGGGGGAAGGGGAGAGGAACGGGGAAAAGAAAAGGAAGGAAAGAGGGCAAGGTGAAAGGAACATATCAGCTGTCGCTGAACAGCCCCTCCTCCACTGCTGGCAGCAGCAAAGGCAGCGAGCTGGTTGGGGGGAAAGGGGAGATGGGAAAGGGAGAGAGTTTTGGAGGGAAAGAGAGTAAGGTGGAGGCAACGTAAAGGTTGTCGTTGAACAGCCCCTCCTCCACAGCCGGTAGCAGCAGCGGCAGCGAGCTGGTACGGGGGAAGGGGGGAAAGGAGGAGGGAGAGGAGAAAGGAACATATCAGCTGTCGCTGACACGGTGAAAGATGGCACGGTGAAAGGAAGAGAACAGGGAGAGATAGAACAAACAGAAAGAGAGTATGGAGGGAGAGAGAACACACCTGATGGCGTACTCCTGAACCAAGACATGCCCGGCTGCCAGTGCTGCATCGCGCACACTCTCACTCTCATCCGCCAGCCCTGAGGGGGGGTGTGTGGGAAGGGAGGGAGGAAAGCGAAAGGGGAGTTAGGCCAAGCACTCTCGCTCTCATCCGCCAGCCCTGAGGGGGGGTGTGTGGGAAGGGAGGGAGGAAAGCGAAAGGGGAGTTAGGCCAAGCACTCTCGCTCTCATCCGCCAGCCCTGAGTGGGGATGTGTGGAGGGAGGGAGGGACGGAAACGCGAATCAGGATAAGTACTCTCGCTCTCACCCGCCAGCCCTGAGAGGGGGTGTGGGGAGGGAGGGAGGACATAGAAAGGCAATCCAAACTAGCACTCTTATCCGGAGGCAACAACAAGAAAGGGAAAATGAGAGGCAGGTGGATTTGGAGCATCACATGATCACATCACGTACCGTCGAGAATGGCAGGCAGCACTTGGGGGAGGTAGTTCTGGAAGGGCGCCCCGAAGGACAGCGGTAGGTACTGCAATGGCCGGCATGAGGGGAGAGCAGAGGAGGTTATTTTTTTGCACCTCAATATAGTAGTGTTAGAAGGCATGGGCATAAAAGGTGACAAGAACAGGGGAGGAGGGAAGACGAGGAAGAGAAGAGGAGGAGAGGACGGGAAGAGGAGACATGCGAGGAATGGGTTGGATTGGATGTTGAGGAGGCATTTATGAGAGCCTGAGTGAGTGATACAGGTACAGTGTGGCACAAGGGACGGAGAGTTGCACCGAGGAATGAAGATCAGCGTATGAGTTGAGAGCGTTGACTCACGTTGATCAGCGTTGACCAGCGTTGACTCACCTTGAACAGTGTCAGATGCCCGTCTCTGACGGTCGACACCTTGTGCGAGCACCCCGCCAGCAGGTCTGGCAGCAGCACCTCGAACCGGTACCTTCAGGCATTGACTACCATTGACCAGCGTTGACCAGCGTTGACTCACCTTGAACAGCGTCAGGTGGCCGTCTCTGACGGTCGACACCTTGTGCGAGCACCCCGCCAGCAGGTCTGGCAGGAGCACCTCGAACCGGTGCCGGCCCTGCGCCCCTAGCACCTCGCTCAACCCCTGAGCCGCCCCCGACCTCTCCACACTCGATGCGTCGGACCTGCAGCACAGAAAGGTGGGAGGGGGAGATGAGAAGGAGGGGGGAGGAGGGGAAGAGATTGAGGTTGTGAAAGGAGTGTTATATCGTGAATCTCTAAATCAATACACACTTTATACGTATAGCCTGCCACAGAGAGAGGCGGGACATGGGAGGACCGTTGGATCGTGAGCCGCTGCCGACCACTCTCTCCCTCTGAGCATCTTGACGACCACCGTGCGCATGCCAGGTGCAGGTCCCTCTGAGCATCTTGACGACCACCGTGCGCATGCCAGGTGCAGGTCCCTCTGAGCATCTTGACGACCACCGTGCGCATGCCAGGTTCAGGTCCCTCTGAGCATCTTGACGACCACCGTGCGCATGCCAGGTGCAGGTCCCTCTGAGCATCTTGACGACCACCGTGCGCATGCCAGGTTCAGGTCCCTCTGAGCATCTTGACGACCACCGTGCGCATGCCAGGTTCAGGTCCCTCTGAGCATCTTGACGACCACCGTGCGCATGCCAGGTTCAGGTCCCTCTGAGCATCTTGACGACCACCGTGCGCATGCCAGGTTCAGGTCCCTCTGAGCATCTTGACGACCACCGTGCGCATGCCAGGTTCAGGTCCCTCTGAGCATCTTGACGACCACCGTGCGCATGCCAGGTTCAGGTCCCTCTGAGCATCTTGACGACCACCGTGCGCATGCCAGGTTCAGGTCCCTCTGAGCATCTTGACGACCACCGTGCGCATGCCAGGTTCAGGTCCCTCTGAGCATCTTGACGACCACCGTGCGCATGCCAGGTTCAGGTCCCTCTGAGCATCTTGACGACCACCGTGCGCATGCCAGGTGCAGGTCCCTCTGAGCATCTTGACGACCACCGTGCGCATGCCAGGTTCAGGTCCCTCTGAGCATCTTGACGACCACCGTGCGCATGCCAGGTGCAGGTCCCTCTGAGCATCTTGACGACCACCGTGCGCATGCCAGGTTCAGGTCCCTCTGAGCATCTTGATGACCACCGTGCGCATGCCAGGTTCAGGTCCCTCTGAGCATCTTGACGACCACCGTGCGCATGCCAGGTTCAGGTCCCTCTGAGCATCTTGACGACCACCGTGCGCATGCCAGGTTCAGGTCCCTCTGAGCATCTTGACGACCACCGTGCGCATGCCAGGTTCAGGTCCCTCTGAGCATCTTGACGACCACCGTGCGCATGCCAGGTGCAGGTCCCTCTGAGCATCTTGACGACCACCGTGCGCATGCCAGGTTCAGGTCCCTCTGAGCATCTTGACGACCACCGTGCGCATGCCAGGTGCAGGTCCCTCTGAGCATCTTGACGACCACCGTGCGCATGCCAGGTTCAGGTCCCTCTGAGCATCTTGACGACCACCGTGCGCATGCCAGGTGCAGGTCCCTCTGAGCATCTTGACGACCACCGTGCGCATGCCAGGTTCAGGTCCCTCTGAGCATCTTGACGACCACCGTGCGCATGCCAGGTTCAGGTCCCTCTGAGCATCTTGACGACCACCGTGCGCATGCCAGGTTCAGGTCCCTCTGAGCATCTTGACGACCACCGTGCGCATGCCAGGTTCAGGTCCCTCTGAGCATCTTGACGACCACCGTGCGCATGCCAGGTGCAGGTCCCTCTGAGCATCTTGACGACCACCGTGCGCATGCCAGGTGCAGGTCCCTCTGAGCATCTTGACGACCACCGTGCGCATGCCAGGTTCAGGTCCGAAAGAACCCTGTTTAGCTTTGATTCTTGAGTCGTCTCAAAACTCCCCGACAAAGATACCTAGAGAGAGAGAGACGGCCCATACGTACCCGATGGTCTCGAGCATCCAGGGCACGAGATCAGGAAACTCGTGTTCTCCCACGCCACGAACCAGCAACCCAAACGCCTTGGCTGCCACGGTGCGCACGTCGGGGTGCGGGTCTAACAACACTTTCTTGAGCCCGGGGAGCAGCAAGTTGAGGTAGGGCAGCAGCAGGAGCAGCAGGAGCAGCAGGAGCGGTGGAGCCAGATTACAATCTGAGAGCAAAGATACCTAGAGAAAGAGACGGGTCACCGTACGTACCCGATCGTTTCGAGCATCCAGGGCACAAGGTCGGGGAATTCGTGCTCTCCCACGCCGCGCACGAGCGACCCAAACGCCTTGGCCGCCACGGTGCGCACGTCTGGGTGCGGGTCTAGCAACACTTTCTTGAGCCCGGGGAGCAGCAGGTTGAGGTATGGCAGCAGCGAGGAGTGGTCGGTGACGAGGGAGACCGTGTTGCCCACGATCTGTGCCGCCCGCTTCTTGATGTCGGAGGAGCGCTCTCTCAGCGCGCGATGCACGATGGGGATCACGAGCGCCAGGGAGGCTGCATCGATGGAGTTCACAAACGTCGTCTGGTTTGGGGGAGAGGTTGGGAGGAGAAGGGACGAAAGAAAGAGTGTGCATGGTGTTTGAGACGGCGCAAGGACAGCAGCACGTTGAGGTAGGGCAGCAGCGAGCTGTGGTCCGTGAGAGGGGGGGGGGGGGGGGGTTGGGGGGGAGGTAGAAGGGTAGGGGCAGCAGGTTGAGGTAGGGCAGCAGCGAGCTGTGGTCCGTGACGAGGGACATGGTGTTGCCCACGATCTGTGCCGCGCGCTTCTTGATGTCGGAGGAGCGCTCGCGGAGGGCGCGGTGCACGATGGGGATGATGAGGGCCAGGGAGGCGGCATCGATGGAGTTCACAAACGTCGTCTGGTTTGGGGGAGAGGTTGGGAGGAGAAAAGTGGGGGAGAAGGGAGGAAAGAAACAGCGTGCACGGGGTTTGAGACGGCTCAAGGGCAGCAGCAGGTTGAGGTAGGGCAGCAGCGAGGAGTGGCCGATGAAGGGGGGATGAGGGGAGGGGTAGAAGGGAGGAATCAACAGGTTGAGCCCCGGCAGCAGCAGGTTGAGGTAGGGCAGCAGCGAGGAGTGGCCGATGAAGGGGGGATGAGGGGAGGGGTAGAAGGGAGGAATCAACAGGTTGAGCCCCGGCAGCAGCAGGTTGAGGTAGGGCAGCAGCGAGGAGTGGCCGATGAAGGGGGGATGAGGGGAGGGGTAGAAGGGAGGAATCAACAGGTTGAGCCCCGGCAGCAGCAGGTTGAGGTAGGGCAGCAGCGAGGAGTGGCCGATGAAGGGGGGATGAGGGGAGGGGTAGAAGGGAGGAATCAACAGGTTGAGCCCCGGCAGCAGCAGGTTGAGGTAGGGCAGCAGCGAGGAGTGGTCCGTGACGAGGGAGACCGTGTTGCCCACGATCTGAGCGGCGCGCTTCTTGATGTCGGAGGAGTGCTCGCGGAGGGCGCGGTGCACGATGGGGATCACGAGCGCCGGGAAGGCCGCGTCAATTGAGTTCACAAAGGTGGTCTGGTGGGGGGAGGGGGGAAGCGGGGATGTGGTGCTTGTTGGGGTTGACAATGCCGGCCAGCAGCGACGACACAAGGGAGGCCAGCACTGCAAGTGTGAGGCAGGCGCGGGAAAGAAAGCAGATACACAGATATAACCTGCACTGTAACTGACGTGGTACCTGGAGCAGGAGGTCGAGGCAGGCGCGGGTGTGCGTGTTGGGGTTGGCGATGCCGTCCAGCAGCGACGGCACGAGGGCGACCAGCAGCGGTGCCTCCTCCTAGCCGTTTTCTAAGGCACCTAAGAGGAATTGAGATTCAATTGACGTACCTGCAGGAGCAGGTCGAGGCAGGCGCGGGTGTGCTTGTTCGGGTTGGCGATGCCGTCCAGCAGTGATGGCACGAGGGCGACCAGCAAGAGTGAGGCAGGCACGGGAAAGAAAGCAGATACCCGAGCGTTACCTGCACTGCAACTGCCGCGGTACCTGTAGCAGCAAGGGGAGCGGGGAGTACCTGCAGCAGAAGGTCGAGGCAGGCGCGGGTGTGCTTGTTGGGGTTGGCGATGCCATCCAGCAGCGACGGCACGAGGGCGGCAATCTCAGGGTTGCGGATCACACTCCCCACTTGCTGCAGCGACGTGTGCGCTGCTGCCTGCACCTTGGGGTGCGTGTCGGTGAGTACCTGGAGATAGAGGGGAATGGGATGGATGGAACAGAGGGGAAAGGCACACAGAGGGCACACAGACGGCACAAGGGCGGCAATCTCAGGGTTGCGGATCACACTCCCCACTTGCTGCAGCGACGTGTGCGCTGCTGCCTGCACCTTGGGGTGCGTGTCCGTGAGCACCTGATGGAGGGGAAGGGGATGCATGTGGAACGGAAGGTACGGGCACACAGAGGGCATGAGGGCGGGCGGCAATCTCAGGGTTGCGGATCACACTCCCCACTTGCTGCAGCGACGTGTGTGCTGCCGCCTGCACCTTGGGGTGCGTGTCTGTCAACACCTGATGGAGGAGAAGGAGATGGGGGAAGGGCACACGGCACGGCACGAGGGCGGCGATCTCAGGGTTGCGGATCACACTCCCCACTTGCTGCAGCGACGTGTGCGCTGCTGCCTGCACCTTGGGGTGCGTGTCTGTGAGCACCTGATGTAAACGGGAAGGGAATGCATGGAGACGAGGAAGGGGGCAGGGAGGGCACACAGAGGGCACGAGGGCAGCAATCTCAGGGTTGTAATTGACACTCCCCACTTGCTGCAGCGACGTGTGCGCTGCTGCCTGCACCTTGGGGTGCGTGTCGGTGAGCACCTGATGTACACGGGAAGGGAATGCATGGAGACGAGGAAGGGGGCAGGGCACACAGAGGGCACGAGGGCAGTAATCTCAGGGTTGTAATTGACACTCCCCACTTGCTGCAGCGACGTGTGCGCTGCTGCCTGCACCTTAGGGTGCGTGTCTGTGAGCACCTGATAGAGGGGAAGGGAATGCATGTGGAACGGAAGGAACGGGCACACAGAGGGCACGAGGGCGGCGATCTCAGGGTTACGGATGACACTCCCCACTTCCTGCAGCGACGTGTGCGCTGCTGCCTGCACCTTGGGGTGCGTGTCTGTGAGAACCTGTTGTTAAACGGGATAGAATGAGGTATATATGAGGTTGTGAATGAGGGCCAGTCAGACAAGGCATTCGAAGGCCCAATCTGTGGTTTGCAAATGATTTATCCTAGCAAGCAATGCCAGCCACACATCTTCTAAACGCACACACCTCACTTAGTTTGGGCACCACAAGCGGAAGGCAGTGCGACAGCTGGCGGGGCGCACAGAAGGCCATGGCTCCCAGCAGCTGCACGCTGCCCTGCTTGCTGCGCCACGCCTTCTCCTCCAAGCCCTGGTCAGCGGGAGAAGGGAGGGAGAAGGGAGGGAAAAAGGAGGGGAAAGGGAGAATGAGTGAGAACAACATGGGGGAAATGGGCAGGGAAGGCTACAAGGCTTTCCTCTACTTGAGAGTGGGGATGTGTCGGAGCAGCTTCTCTCACCGCTGGGAGCACTGAGCAGCGCTGGAAGAATGAGCTTCACGCCGGGAGCACTGAGCTGCCCCATGATGCAGCGAGACGCATGCACTGTGGCCTCTCGTACCGGCATGGCTGTGTCTCAGAAGCAGAGTTCTTTGGTCGATTCGAGCTTCTCTCACCTTGAGCAGCGCTGGCAGAATGAGCTTCACCCCAGGCGCACTGAGCTTCCCCATGATGCAGCGAGATGCATGCACCGTGGCCTCCCTCACTGGCGTGGCATGGTTGGTGTGAGTGAGAGTAGCTGACTCAATGATTGACTTGAATGGCTCTTACCTTGAGCAGTGCGGGCAGGATGAGCTTCACCCCAGGGGCGCTGAGCTGCCCCATGATGCAGCGAGATGCATGCACCGTGGCCTCCCGCACTGGCGTGGCATGATTGGTGTGAGCACTGGCGTGGTTTGTTTGGTGTGAGAAGCTGATTTCGTAGTTGACTTGACTCAACCATCTCTCACCTTGAGCAGTGCCGGCAGGATGAGCTTCACCCCAGGGGCACTGAGCTGCCCCATGATGCAGCGAGACGCATGCACCGTGGCCTCCCGCACTGGTGTGGCTGTGTCTGAGCAGATGATATCAAGTGGACTAGATAAACCCTCACCTTGAGCAGCGCGGGCAGGATGAGCTTCACCCCAGGGGCGCTGAGCTGGCCCATGATGCAGCGAGACGCATACACCGTGGCCTCCCGCACTGGCGTGGCATCGTTGGTGGTGTGAGTGAGTAGCTGATTTACAGTTGACTTGACTCAAACATCTCTCACCTTGAGCAGCGCGGGCAGGATGAGCTTCACCCCAGGGGCGCTGAGCTGGCCCATGATGCAGCGAGACGCATGCACCGTGGCCTCCCGCACTGGTGTGGCTGTGTCAGAGTAGCACACCAGGAGGTACGGCAGGATGTGAATCACGTAGCTGGTGGTGGGAGAGGAAGGTAGGGGGAATCGGGGGTTGCGAGGGTGGGACAATGAGAGGCTGTGTCAGAGTAGCACACCAGGAGGTACGGCAGGATGTGGATCACGTAGCTAGTGGGGGGAGAGGAGGTGGGGGAGGGAAACGGTTAGTGGGGGTGGGTGGGACAATGAGCAGCTGTGTCAGAGTAGCACACCAGCAGGTACGGCAGGATGTGGATCACGTAGCTGTCCGTGGGGTTGGGGTGAGGGGGGAAATGGGAGGGGGAGGGTCGATGAGAGGCTGTGACTGAATAGCACACCAGCAGGTACAGGAGAGTCAGATAAAAACCAAATTTCATGCACAGATTATGATCATGGAGTTGAGAGAGGAAATGTTTTTTAGAGAATTCTCAAAAGCTCCCTGCAGAGTCAGATAAAAACCACACCTCATGCACGGATGATGATCATGGAGTTGAGAGAGGAAATGAAAGGTCAGGGGGGGGAGGGCATAGGGCAACGAAAAGGCAACTCGCGGTACAAAGGGGTGACTTACGGTTCAAAAAGGCGTCCAAGCTTCTCGGAAAGGCATTCGAAGCCAAAGAGTGCTCCTTCTCTTGCCTTCGGGGATGACCTAGTTGGGAATGAGAGTAGGAATAGCAGCGAGAGACAAAGAGAAGTTGGACACCAAAATCGAACCAAAGACTGCTCTGAGACGTCTCAAAACACCTTCGGGGATGACCTAGTTGGGGATGAGAAGAGAGTAGGAATAACAACAAGAGACAAAGAGAAGTTGGACACCAAAATTGAGACAAAGACTTGATTGAGAGCCAGGAACTGGCTCTCCGCAGTATTTGAGAGCCAGCCCAACAGCCAACACTTGAAGCCTGCAAATCAGACGTACAGGAAACTCTCCGTAAGCAAATCCTTCAGCCAACCTCCTCCCTCACATCAGTAACATTACTCCGCCCCGCTCTAACCACCCCACTCACTTGTCCTCCACGCCCTTGATCAGTGCCTGCAGCACGCCATAATCCCGAATGCTCCTCAGCCCCAGTCCCTTCACCACCCCAGCCACTCACCTGACTGCCACTCCCCTGACTGTACACTTTTCCTACCTTCTTCACCCCATCCCCCGCACTCACTTGTCCTCCACGCCCTTGATCAGCGCCTGCAGCACCCCATAATCTCTGATGCTCCTCAGCCCCAGCCCCTTCACCTCACCTTCCATCCTACCTTTTCATCACACCATCCGCCCCACTCACTTGTCCTCCACGCCCTTGATCAGCGCCTGCAGCACGCCATAATCTCTGATGCTCCTCAGCCCCAACCCCTTCACCACCCCAGCCAGCAAGCCACATTGCTGCACTCCCTTGGGACCTGACTGTGGACTTTTCCTACCTTCCCTTCACACCATCCTTCCCACTCACTTGTCCTCCACGCCCTTGATCAGTGCCTGCAGCACGCCATAATCCCGAATGCCCCTCAGCCCCAGCCCCTTCACCTTACCTTCCTTCATCTCCCCCCTCAGCCCCAGCCCCTACACCACCCCTGCCAGCCACCTTGCCGCCACTCCTCTGACTGCACACTTTTCCTACCTTCTTCACACCATCCCTCCCACTCACTTGTCCTCCACGCCCTTGATCAGCGCCTGCAGCACACCATAATCCCGAATGCTCCTCAGCCCAAGCCCCTTCACCACTCCGGCAAGCCCAAACGCCGCGCCTCTCCTCTCGGCAAAGCGGTCGCTCGTCAGCAGCACCTTGAGCTGCTGGGCTATGAGCGCCTGGGCGCCGCCCTCCTGTATGCAAAGAGAAGATGGGAGGAGAAAGTGAGGAAAGGGAGAGAAGATTGAGCTACCTTCAGCCCGAGCGCCTTTCCTCTCGGCAAAGCGGTCGCTCGCAGCACCTTCAGGTGCTGGGCTATGAGCGCCTGGGCTCCCGCCCTCCTGAAGGGAGAAGGGGTGAAGAGTGAAAAGATAGGCGAGAGGTGACGGACGGGGTAGGAAAGAATCATCGAGCTGTCAGTCGCGTGAAAGGGAGACTGTGAGGCCGTCTGCGGCATGTCTAAGACAAGGAAACGCACCTTGAGGGAGATGGCGGGCATGAGTGGCGGCAGGCAGTCTGACACGGCTCTCTGCACAGCCTCTGAGGGCGTGTTCAGCACCTCCAGAAGCCGGGCGAGAATGAGCGCCACCTTGGGGTCCTCCTGCATGTTCCCATGGGGAGAGGAGGGGGTGAGAAACAGCAGGGGTTAAATTGAGGGGTGGCAGGCAGTCAGATCAGAGACATCTCTCTGCACTGCACGGCCTCTGAGGGTGTGTTGAGCACCTCCAACAGCCGGGCGAGGATGAGCGCCACCTTGGGGTCCTCCTGCAAAGTGGGGAGATCATAGATATCAGTTTCAGCCGAGGGTGAGTTAAGCTGAATGTGACACTGGTGGTTGTGCTGTGGAAGGGAGAGGCACTTGAGAAGTGTCAAAACATACGCCTTTAACACAACGAACACGTCTACTACACCTTCCGGGACACAAACGATAATGGAAAAACGTCACATTCGAGGCAGCTTTGGGCCGTACCGGGGCAAGATGCTTGGCGAGAGCACCGAGGAAGGCCTAAGAGAATCAGACCAGTAACAAGGCTTACTACGCCTTATACGACACAAACGATAACGTTGCACTTAAGGAAGCTTTGGGCCGTACCGGGGCAAGATGCTTGGCGAGAGCACCGAGGAAGACCACCACGCCCTCTCGCACGAGATCATAGCTGTGCTCGTTGTCCGCCTGCTCTCCAGAGAGAATAAGAACAGATAGACGTTGGGAACAGTGGAGTGGAGCTCTACATCTTTCTTGTCACCATTCTTGTCATTCTTCTCATGGCATGGCACACATTCTTGTCCCCATGCCACCCATACCTTGTCACCATGCCACCCATACCTTCTTTCTTGTCACCATGCCACCCATACCTTCTTTCTTGTCACCATGCCACCCATACCTTCTTTCTTGTCACCATGCCACCCATACCTTCTTTCTTGTCACCATGCCACCCATACCTTCTTGTCACCATGCTGTCTATACACACAAGCACACCTTCCTGTCGAGGTAGTTTTCAAAGATGGGCAGCAGCAGCCCCACGTTCTCCTTGCCTTTCATGCTCGATGCTCTGCTATCACAACCCCCAGCTGCTACAATCCCCTCAAACTGCACCTTCTTGTCACCATGCTGTCTATACACACAAGCACACCTTCCTGTCGAGGTAGTTCTCAAAGATGGGCAGCAGCAGCCCCACGTTCTCCTTGCCATGCCGGTTGATGATTGCCGAACCTGCCTCCACCATGCGCCTCCGAACCTCCTCGTTAGGATCGGCCTGTTCGAGAAAGAATCAGGGCGGATGAGAACGTTATATATAAGGGCTCAATTGACTAAGCTCACAATTTACAGCAAAACAAATCAGCACTCAGCCCAGAAGTTAGCAGAACCAAAGAAGAAATTTAGGAGCATGGGAAGTAGAATGTTCTGCTAACTTCTGGGGAGCATGGGAAGAGAAGTCACCAGAGCCTTGGAGATGAGGAACGTGGCGACAAGTGGCAGCTCCTTAGTGGTCAGCACATCAGCAGCAGCTCGCATCGCCAGAGCCATGCCCTCCCTGCTGTGCCACGTGGCATCATCCTGAGGCCGCCACATGGCAGTCTGAGGTGGCGCATCCCGCACATACAGCGAGAACAGGCTCGTCAAACTGGCCTGGATCGTGCCTCGGTATTCATCCATAGCTGCCGCCATAGCCTCGGCAGCCGCCAGCCGAACCTCCTGGCTCGGGTTCCCGAGGCTGACAATCAGGTTCGGCGCATACTCCGGGCCTAGATGGTGCCCGTACATGTCCCAGACCATCTCGGCAGCCTCGGCGTTTTCAGGTTCGGGGTCGTATTGGGCCATCCAGATGGCACAGGCCACATATGGGTCTTGGGGGGCCTTGCCTGCTGCTAGGGTTGGAATGTACTTGACTGCTTCCAGACACGCCTCCCTCACATGTGCCTGCTCTGCAAACAGCCCCTCTAGTGCCTGGAGGAGGGAGGGGATGGGAGGGAAGGGTCGTATTGGGCCATCCAGATGGCACAGGCCACGTATGGGTCTTGGGGGGCCTTGCCTGCTGCTAGGGTTGGAATGTACTTGACTGCTTCCAGACACGCCTCCCTCACATGTGCCTGCTCTGCAAACAGACCTTCTAGTGCCTGTAGGGAGAGGGGGGTTGATTCACGGGTGAGAGAGGGAGGTGAAAGCAAAAGTGGGTGTGGGGAAGAGTGGAATGTACTTTACTGCTTCCAGACACGCCTCCCTCACATGTGCCTGCTCTGCAAACAGACCTTCCAGTGCCTGAAGGAGGGAGGGGAGGGGGGCAGAGGGGGAAGCGGCGGGAGTGCAAGCAAGAGCAGATTCTCATTCAGGGGCGGAGTAGGATGAACTTGACTGCCTCCGAACATGCCTCCCTCACATGTGCCTGCTCTGCAAACAGACCTTCCAGTGCCTGAACCTGAAGGAGGGAGGGGAGGGGGGCAGAGGGGGAAGCGGCGGGAGTGCAAGCAAGAGTAGATTCTCATTCAGGGGTGGAGTGGGATGTATTCGACTGCTTTCAGATTCTCATTCAAGTGCCTTCCTCTCCTTCCACGTGCCTGCCCTGCACGGACCCTCTCACACTGGCTGCACTCGGATCGCAGAATCACACAAAACCACCAGGAACCGTGACTAACCGCTCCAATCTCGTCCGATTTCAGGCCTCTGCACAGCTCCCGTAGCATTGGCTGCACTCGTGAGTTGTAGATGCGCACGCGGCCCAACACGTGGTCGAGCACTGAGACTAGCCACAGACTGACAGACCAGAACCGCACAGAACCCCTATGAACCACAACTCACCCCTCCAATCTCGTCGGACTTCAGGCCCCTGCAGAGCTCCCTCAGAATCGGCTGCACGCGTGAGTGGTAGATGCGCACGCGACCTAACACATGGTAGAGCACTGAGACTAGGCACAGACTGACAGACCAGAACCGCACAAAACCCCCACAAACCGCAACTCACCCCTCCGATCTCGTCAGACTTCAGCCCCCTGCACAACTCCCGCAGAATTGGCTGCACGCGTGAGTGGTAGATGCGCACGCAGCCCAACACGTGGTAGAGCACCGAGATCATGGCGAGGCGCGGCAGAGCGATGAAGGGCGAGGTGTGCAGCTGCAGGATCGAGATGATGGAGTCGTGCAGGCGGGTCTTCTTGTTCGCCCGAAGCACTCGCTCGAAGATCTGAGGAGAGGAGGAGCAGGGGATGGGGGAGGAGTGGGGGATGGGGAAGGGAGGATAATACAATAATTATGTGCGGCAGTGTGATGAGGTGTGCAGCTGGAGGATGGAGATAATGGAGTCGTGCAGACGGGTCTTCTTGTTGGCCCGGAGGACTCGCTCGAAAATCTGAGGAGAGGAGGAGCATCGGGACGGGGGATGAGGGAATATAAGGCAATAATGAGGCAGGGCAGTGCAATGAATGGCGAGGTGTGCAGGTGGATGGTGGAGAGGATGGAATCATGCAGCCGGGTTTCTTGTTTGCCCGAAGAACTTGCTGAAAGATCTGACAGGGGGGGAAACATAAAACAATAATGACATGCGGCTGAGGGATGAAGGGCTGGGCGAGGTGTGCAGCTGGTCCTCACTCATTTATCAAGCAGACAGTAACCGTCACTCACTTGCCAACAAATAGACGGAAATGCAGCCCCCCACTCACCGGGAACACAGCACCAAACGTGGCAGCAGGCAGCGACCCTCCCTCCTTGCACGCCGCCCACACAGCCCTCACCACCCTGTCCACCACACTCTCCTCCTTCTTCCTCCGCCTCTTTCCCTCCCTTTCCTCCTCCTCGCCCTCCTCCGCGCTCTCCTCCTTAAGCTGCTCCGCAAGGCTGTCCCCTGCGAGGGAGACGGAGCAGAGGGCGGAGGCGACGTCCCAGGAGAAGGGCTGCAGCGCAGGGGAGAGGCAGCGCATCACCAGCGCCAGCGCGTCAAAGGCCTGTGAGGGGATGAGCGGCGAGCGCAGCAGCGGCAGGATGGCCGCCACCTGGGGGATTGGGGGGGGAAGGGAGAGAGGGGAGCGGGGTGGCGCAAGGTTTGGGCAAGAGGGCCGCAGCACGAGGGAGAGGCAGCGCATCACCAGCGCCAGCGCGTCAAAGGCCTGCGAGGGGATGAGTGGCGAGCGCAGCAGCGGCAGAATGGACGCTACCTGGCAGAGGGGAAGAAGAGAGGGGGGAGAAGGGAAAGGAGGGAAAGACGATGGCAGGAAGGGAGGGATGAACATGGTTTGTTCAAGAATTGGGCCACTACTTAGACAGAATATCATCGTGTGCTGCAGCAATCAAACGAAACAAATCAGAGGGCACGGTCAGTAGTCAGAATTGAACAGCGTGATGGAAAGATTGAGGAGCGCTCACAAGCTGAGGCAACTGGTCGTGTGAGAAGGCCGGGTTGGCAGCAGCAGCAGCACCCAGCGCCCGCACCAGCACCCCCGTGTGCCTCTGAATCCCCCTCACTCTCTCCCTCACTCTCTCCTCCTCCAGCAGCAGAGCCTCCCTCGCCTCCTCCTTGGCAGTCTTCCCCTTCTCCCCCTCGCCTGCTGCTGCTTTCTTTGCCCCGGGCTTCCCCGTGTCCTTCTTGCCTGCTCCTCTCCCAGCAGCCCCCTTGGCTCCACCAGGCCCAGCTCCTCCCCGTGCTGCTGGCGTGGCCTGCATATAGAGGGTGGGTGGAAGAGAGGCAAGGGGGTAGTAAAGGAATTGCTTTCTTTGCCCCGGCCCCCGGGCTTCCCCGTGTCCTTCTTGCCTGCTCCTTTCCCAGCCGCCCCCTTGGCTCCACCAGCCCCAGCTGCTCCCCGTGCTGGCGTGGCCTGCATATAGAGGGTGGGTGGAAGAGAGGCAAGGGGATGGTAAAGGAATTGCTTTCTTTGCCCCGGGCTTCCCCGTGTCCTTCTTGCCTGCTCCTCTCCCAGCCGCCCCCTTGGCTCCACCAGCCCCAGTTGCACCGCTTGCTGCAAGTGTGGCCTGCAAATGGATGGTGGTTGGGAGTGGTACAAAGGGATGGTGTAAGCATAGATCATGGTGTATCGCTTTCTCAGGCGCTTCAAGAGACCCTGCTGCGGCCTTCTTTGTGCTTGGCTTCATCATGTCCTTCTCCCAGCCGTCCCCTTGGGTCCACCGGCCACAGCTGCTGCCCGTGCTGCTGGTGTGGTATGGTATGTGATGCGTATACATGCAGGTGATTGTAAGAAAAGGGGATGGCTTTAAGAAACGATGCGCATGGCCCCAGCTACCCCAGCTGCTGCCCATGCTGCTGGTGTGGAGGGGATCAGATGAGAGCAGTAAGAATCGACAGACAGCGGTAACACGATTTTTTAGGCACCTCGAAAACTGCCTGTGCTGCTGGTCCGGAAGAGGGTATCACATGATATCAGTAAGAATCGGCAGCGGGAACACGAGGTGATGATGTGGTGTGGCGTCCAAGGCAGCACCAGCAGCAGAAACAGCAACCGCGGCACAAGGGTGTCTGTCTCAAAGGCAACCATAGTGGCATAGTTCAAACCATAGTGCCTTATATCAGAAACACACTGCACGCAACTCACAGTGGCGGTAACACGAGGTGATGATGTGGTGTGGCGTCCAAGGCAGCACCAGCAGCAGAAACAGCAGCCGCGGCACACGGGTGTCTGTCTCAAAGGCAACCATAGTGGCATAGTTCAAACCATAGTGCCTTATATCAGATCAGAAACACACTGCACGCAACTCACAGTGGCGGTTTTCTTTGCAGTCGCAGCAGAAGGGGCGGGTTTGCTGGGCGACTCCTCCTCCTCGTCATCATCATCCAAATCAGCATCGTAGACCCTCAGCTTGCTCCTTGCCTGCCTCACGTTCTTTAGGATTCCAAAAGACACCCCGCAACTTACAGTAGCGCTTTTCTTCGCAGTGGCAGCAGCAGGGGCGGGTTTGCTAGGCTCCTCCTCCTCGTCATCATCGTCCAGATCAGCCCCATAGAGCTTCAGCTTGCCCCTGGACTGCCTCACGTTCTTATCCCTCACCACTGCCGCCACGTACACTCCGTCCTCTGCTGAGAGCATGCCCTCAGGCGTATTGAATATCTGGAGGAAGGAAGGGGGGAAACACACATGAAGTGAGAGGCAGGCATTTGGTGCACCTCGTGCTCTTGTCCCCTACCCGCCGCCACCACTGCCGCCACGTGCAGTCCGTCCTCAGCTGAGAGCATGCCCTCTGGCGTATGGCGGAAACACATGTACGAGGGCCAGGAATGGAGGAGAAAAACAGGTAAAAGGCCGTGTTTTGAGTCGATTCAAAACACGAGAAAAACAGGTAAAAGGGCGTGTTTGGGGTTACTGTCTTGCCCACATTCATAACCCTCACCACCACCGCCACAGACTCTCTGCCCTGCCCATCACCAACATGCAAAATATTTCGGGCAGGGGGGTGTGGAAGGAGAATGAGAAGCCAGGACGTAGCAGGGCGAGCTGAAAGACCTGGTATGTCTCCCCCATTCCTATTCCCACTCCTATTCCCATTCTTATTCCCCCACGCACGTTCCATGTTCTGTGCCCTGTCACTTATTGCGATCCCATCCCATGCCACACCCCACACACTGCTCCCAACATTCAATCCTCCTATGAAAAGAAGAGTCATGTATGTCTTGTTGATATCACGTGTGTATGTCACATTGTCTACTGTGTTCCTCCCCTTGCTATACTGTGCCATGCCATGCCATGCCATGCTGTGCCGTTTCATGCCATGCCATGCTGTGCCGTGTCATGCCATGCCATGCTGTGCCATGTCATGCCATGCCATGCTGTGCCGTGTCATGCCATGCCATGCCTACCTTAATCTCCGACTCCGTGAGAGCATCGTGCTCCTTGCGCTGCCCCACCGCTTCCAACTCCTGCCATGCCAAGGCAAGCACATGCACAGGGAGACACATACTGATAAACACCAGTGAGTAGAAGCATGGATGACTTTTGCAAGGGATGCACATTGTTGCTTTGATGGCAGGGAAGGGAGACAAAGCACAAAGTTGGCAGCTGAAAGCAGGCAGGCCTGAGCCTGAGCTGTTGCGTTCATCACAGTGCGTGCATCCGGTTCCTTAGAGAAACTTTTGAGGCGCCTCAAATGTTACCTTGATGGCAGGGAAGGGAGACAAAGGACACAGTTGGCAGCTGAAAGCAGGCCTGAGCCTGAGCTGTTGCGTTCATCACAGTGCGTGCAGCAGGCTTCTTAGAGAAACAAAGCAGATCAAAATGGTTCAGGGTGCACAATCATCAGAGAATGCAGCCCCATCCACAACTGACTGGCAGGTGTCGTCCCCATCTCACGCATGCTGCATGCATGCATACCACACTGCTTCCAGCCAGCATGCCACCGTTAGGTACCCACTACGCACACACATATTAAGTCCCCCCAGCATGCCACATACTCATTCATTCCATGCATGCCAGTGAGTAGCGTACCGTGACTAGAGGCTGGAAAAACTCAAAGGGAATGAGGCGCATAGCAGATTGGATGGCTGAGATGGCAGCATCTGACTGAGCTGGACGGCTGGATGCGAGCCCCGCTGGTCCAGTCAAAATCTGAGGAAATCACAAGAGCGCCATAAGCAACAAAAAGGAGGAGAGGAGAGCGAGAGGTCACAATGGAATTAATTGGCGATTGAGTCTTGGAATGCGCAAGATAGGAAAGGGGAGGAAGAGGCCACAATGCGCACTCCCTAGCTTCCACTCCTTCGACTTCCTAAATTCCAGCCATTTTGTCAAAACCTCCATCATCCATGTGCTTCGGCATCATATATATGTATAAATAAGGAGAAATATGTATATGATATACATATTATATGTTATTTATAGAGTTAGTCACCGAGTGCTTGCATGCATACCTTAGCCACAACAACAGGCTCCGCGGCCAGGGTGGCAGACACCTCATATGCCCGACGCTGCCATGCCCTTATAAGCTCCTGTGGGGGTGTGGTGTGGTGTGGTGTGGTGTGGTGTAACGCATGGAGATTTAGAAAGAAGCAAGAATTCAAGGTTATTTGATGCACATGAGCCCTGAGACCAAGAGTTTCAACTCAAACCTACAGAATTCTCAACCCTGAAGTACAAATTTTTAATACCCACCCCAGGTCCCCACAAGTGACCGCACTCAACCGCACTGAATCTCCTCCTGCACTCAACCGCACTGAGCCCATGGTCTGCCGGCAGCATCACCTGTGCCGCCACGGCCCCTGTGCCTAGCACCACCAGCTAGACATGCAAAACCACACCCGATTTCACTAAACCGCACTGAATTGCACTGTATTGCTCACCTGCCACACCACATCTCTCTTCCGCCCCCCAGCAACGAGCCTATGGTGTGCCAGCAGCATCACCCGTGCCGCCACGCCCACCCTCTCCGCCACGGCCCCTGTGCCCGCCACCACCAGCAGCGCCTGCCCCAGCAGCTGTGGGGGAGGGAGGCGGTCTGCAGCTGACTCGGGAGACGCTCCTGCCTCAGGGGCGTCTCTGGATGGGTGGGGGAAAAGGATAAGAGAGATTGGAGAGTGCCAAGCATTTAAACCGGGCGAAATGCGAAAGAAAATGATGGGTATAACGGGGGGGAAGGTGTTGAGCAGCCTTGATGCACCCCTGCCACACCCACTCCCTTCTCCGCCACGGCCCCTGTGCCGGCCACCACCAGCAGCGCCTGCCCCAGCAGCTGTGGGGGAGGGAGGCGGTCCGCAGCCGACTCAGGAGACGCTCGTGCCTCAGGGGCGTCCCTGGGGAAGATGGTTAAGAGCGAGGGAGCGGGGAAGCATTGGGAACGGCAGAAACGCGAAGGGAAACGATGGGGGAGGGAGGCGGTCTGCAGCCGACTCTGGCGACGCCACTGCCTCAGGGGAATCTCTGGGGGAGATGGATAAGAGCGAGTGGAACGAGGTGACTTTTGAGTCGACTCAAAAAGGTCCGCAGCCGACTCTGGCGACGCCACTGCCTCAGGGGAATCTCTGGGGGAGATGGATAAGAGCGAGTGGAACGAGGATGCATCGAGAAAGGCGAAAGGGGGATGGGATTAATAAGGGACGCTGCTGCCAAAGAAGCTTTGAGAAGACTAATGAGCAGCACTCAGCCGGTGCTGATGGGAGCAGCTGCTGCTGCCATGTCCTCCAGAGGCGGCAAGGAGAGGGAGAGGGCCTCCATCATTGTTTCAACTTTTGAGGCATCCCAAATTTTGGAATTAGGAAAGGGGATGGGGAAATGACAACAGAGGAAGCACTCACCCGGTGCTGATTGCAGCAGCTGCTGCTATGTCCTCCAGAGGCGGCAGGGAGAGGGAGAGCGCATCCAAGAGAGAGTTGGAGAGGAGGGGCGCCTCGACTCCGGGATGGAATAAGAGGGGATCGCAAGGCAACCGCCACTCACCCGGTGCTGATGGCCGCGGCTGCTGCTATGTCCTCCAGAGGCGGCAGGGAGAGGGCGAGAGCATCCAAGAGAGAGTCGGAGAGGAGGGGCGAGATGGCGTGGAAGCGGGCCACCATGGCATGTGCTGCCTTGCGCACTGACGATAAGGGGTGCCACAGCAGATGCACCGCCAGCTGTGTGGGTCACAGGGGGGTGGTGTTTACAGGTGCATCGGGGTTAAACAAAGGGAGTCGGAAAGGAGGGGCGAGATGGCATGGAAGCGGGCCACCATGGCATGTGCTGCCTTGCGCACTGACGATAAGGGGTGCCACAGCAGATGCACCGCCAGCTGCATGGTTCACCGAGGGAAGGTCGGGGGTTGGGGGGGAGGTTTAGTGTTGTATAATGAGGGTGATTCCGGTGATTGGGGGTGTAAGGGAGGAGGGGCGAGATGGCGTGGAAGCGAGCCACCATGGCATGTGCTGCCTTGCGCACTGACGATAAGGGGTGCCACAGCAGATGCACCGCCAGCTGCACCGGCCGAGAAGGGTGGCGCACGAGGGTGTTATGAGATGAATCAGGGTGTGTATGTGGGGTTACACAAAGGTGTATGGGGATGAAGGGAGGGGCGAGATGGCATGGAAACGAGCCACTATGGAGTGTGCTGCTTTGTGAACTGAGGCGAGGGGATGCCACAGGAAGTGCACCGCCAGCTGAAAGGAAGGCGAATGTGAAGTCATGGGTAGGTGCGTGAAGAACGGGGGGAAAGGCTATTGATAAAGAATAAGGGGGAAACAGAGATAAAATTAAGGGAGGGACATGATAGATGGAGAAGAGTTGACAAGAAGAAGAAGCAACTTAGAGCTGGTTGCTGTAATTGGAGCTGTGGGTGAGTCTTACCCTGCATAGCTCATTTGTGCTGACAGCAGCGGCATGGCCTGTGCTGACACTGCACGCGAGGGAGAGAGGGGGAAGAAGGGGAGTGGGGGGAGGAGGGGAGGAGGGGGGGGGAGAGAGAGAGAGGAAAAAAGGAAAGGAGGATCAGAGATGGAGAAAAGCAAGTGCCCGTCCCTGGCAGAATGGTGCAGCAGCACCGCTTCTACCAATTTAGGCCTGCGCCAGTTGCTTGCAGCCTGAGGTAACTCCAATCCACAACACATCTACCCTTTCAAGCATCTGATCAGTTACAGCCTGCGCTAGATACAGCCTGCATCAGGTGATTCAAACCCATACCTGGCGGAATGGTGCAGCAGCACGACCTCCACCAATTCAAGCAAAGCCAGATACAGCCTGCACCAGATACAACCTGTACTACACTACACTAGGTGAGTCAAACCCTTACCTGGCCGTGTGGTGCAGCAGCACCACCTCCACCAGTTCAAGCAAAGCCAGATACAGCCTGCACCAGATACAGCCTGTATACAATATGTGAGTCAGTCAAGCCCTTACCTGGCCGTGTGGTGAAGCAGCACCACCTCCACCAGTTCAAGCAACGCCAGAAGGTCCTCTTCCGCTGTAACCTTTGGCACCTGGTGTGACAGAAGTAAGCAGAGGTGGGTTTTGAGAATTCTCAAAAGTCACATCAGCAGTTCAAGCAACGCCAGAAGGTCCTCTTTCGCTGTAACCTTTGGCACCTGGTGTCATAGTACCGACAGCAATAAACAGAGGGGAGAGGGACATTTGAGTCGACTCAAAAGTCAGCAGCACCACCTCCAGCAGTTCAAGCAACGCCAGAAGGTCCTCTTTCGCTGTAACCTTTGGCACCTGGTGTGACAGAAGTAAGCAGAGGTGGGTTTTGAGAATTCTCAAAAGTCACATCAGCAGTTCAAGCAACGCCAGAAGGTCCTCTTTCGCTGTAACCTTTGGCACCTGGTGTCATAGTGCAGACACAAGTTAACAGAGGTGGGTGGGACGGCAGAGGAAAGTTGACTTTTGAGTCGACTCAAAAGAGGTCCTTGTCCGCTGAAACCTTTGGCACCTGGTGTCATAGTGCAGACAGAAGCAAACAGAGGTGGGTGGGACGGCAGAGGAATTTTGAGACGTCTCAAAAGTCTTCCGCTGTAACCTGTGGCACCTGGGTGTCATAGTGCAGACACAAGTAAACAGAGGTGGGTGGGACGGCAGAGGAAAGTGCTCAGAGGTTGGACCGCAAAGGAGAGTTTATTCGTATGGTAAGGTGGATGTACCAGCAGAATGGACAGGAAAGGCAGGATCTGTGAGCAAGGCACTGAGCAGAAGGAATGAAAACAGGCAGGCCGATGAAATGGCGGAAAGGGCAGAGCAGGCAAGGGAGAGAGCACAACGTACAATGGAGGTGGAGAGGAAGGGTGGTTCCCCCTGCAGCACCAGCTGCCACACCTTCTCCTTGGTTAGCTTCTCCTCTGTTGTTGTTGCACATACATGCATGCACACGTGCGCACACATGCACATGCACACATGCATGCACACACACACACCACACACACACACACATACACACACACACACACACACACACACACACACACACACACAGCAAGCAAGTGACGTTGACACAGAGAGTGGATAAAAAAGGGCAAACGAGCAGACATGAGAGAAGAAACAAGAACTGACAGATTCTGCCGACCCACATGCACAGGGTAACCAATCGGGCACACAAAACAGTGGCCTCAGCAGCTAGAAGCAACAGCAGAAGCACCCTTCCGGCCGCACGGTGGGAAAAAAAAAGGTCGAGGGTTCAGGGTTTATGGCTTGGGATAATGAGATAACAAACGGGATGTTTCATGGACTCAGATGCCGTACCTGATCCCAGGTCGAGTGCAGCAACGGAGGCAGCAATCAGCAGAGCATACACCCCGTCCAGCCGCTTGGTGGGTTGAGATGAGAAAGAGGTAGAGGTTGATGCGCGACGCACTGATGGAACATCGCCCAACTGCCGTACCTGATCCCAGGTCGAGTGCAGCAACGGAGGCAGCAAGCAGCAGCGCATACACCCCGTCCAGCCGCATGGTGGGCTTTGCCACTCCGCTCTTCACCAGTGCCACTAGCGCATCCACACATGGGACAAGCTGTAGGGGTGGGGGGTAGTTCGGGTGGGGAGGAGAAGGGGTGGAAATGTGGTTGCTGCATTCTGCTCTTCACCAGGGAGACTAGCGCGTCCATCCACGCACGTATGGGACGAGCTGGGAAGAGGACGTCAGGGTGGTTGTGGTGGGAGCTGCACAGTAAACAGACCCCTATGCTGCTGACTGTCAATCTCCCTCATTCAACCTTTTTTTCTCACCTTTTCTCGCACGTGCGGGTTGCGGAAGGCCAGACGCAGACACCTTAGCGTGCACCGCCTGAGCGTCTCCTTCTCCTTCGCCAGCCTGGCAGTGACGAAAGCTGACGTGGCAGCAGGCGCCTGCCTTGCTGTCCGCGCAAGCCACTCGCCCAGAGCTGAGAGGACCGCTGCAAGCACCTCCTCATTGGCTGGGATAAGACAGGGGGAAAGGGAGGGGGAAGGGAAGAAGGGGCAGTGGGGAGAGGGGAGGGGGGAGAAGACAAGGGGGATGGAATCGGGGGAGGGGGAAACCGGAGCGGGGAGGGAAGGAAGGAAGGGTGGGGGGGGGGGGAGTGGAAGGCAAGGGGAAGGGATGATCAGTGCAATGCAATGGAGAAGGACGCACGAGGAAAGGAGAGAGGGCAGGAACAGCAGGGTGGGCTGGGAGAGGGGTCGGTCGGGCACAAATGGGAAAGAAAATTGCGTGCGACCTCTGCCACTGATAGACACTTAATACCACATACACTGATAGACTGGCATGTAGGCCTTTGCAAGTGGTGGGCAGGGAATTCATTCAGGACACTCACTGTCGCCAGCATAGGCCGTCATCAGGAACTCTGCCACGTCAGCAGCGACAGCTGGCGCCATGGCATTGGGGCCGGCCGGGGAGAAGGAGGACAGGGCCCGAAGAGTCTGGTACACTCCCACCTTCTGATAGGCTGACGTCAGCTTGCCCTCCTTGCCTGCATGGGAGAGGCGGGTGCATGGGAAAGTGGGGGTAGGGGGGAAAAAGGAGGGAGGAGAATTGAGTGAACTAGCATGTGGCACGGTCGCAAGCAGCCTGTACGGAACACCTTAAACTCGAGAGCCCCCCTGCCAGCACTCCTTTGAAGCATACCGGTGGTTTTTGAGGCGCCTAAAAAACCACCTCTTTTGAAGCATACCGGGCAACCTTTGAGGAACTCAGAGCAAGGCAGGGCAATCATGGGCCAATTGGAAGATAGAACAGTTTTCATTCGTACTAGAGTCCATGCACTGCTTGGTTGACTGTTGTGTGCGCTACAGCAGGCCGTGACACATCAATCGAAACCATTCCAACTGAAAGCATGCGTCCCTGCCAGCTCACCTGCCAGCACCCCCTTGAGGTACGCAAACATGGTCCGGATGCTGTCGGAGTCGCTGCACTGCTTGGCTGCTACTGCAAACACTCCAATCGCTTCCTCCCTTGTGGCTGCATTCTGATGGCGGGCCTGCAGGGCCAGGGTGGGCAGCAGCTCTGGTGCATAGGCACTCAGATCGAGACGCACAGTCGACAGCAGGTAGCCTGTGGTGGGGGGAGGGCAGGGTGAGGGAGGGGAGTGCATGTCATCACTGCTCAGCTTCCTCCCTCGTGGCTGCATTCTGATGCCGGGCCTGCAGGGCCAGGGTGGGCAGCAGCTCTGGTGCATAGGCACTCAGATCAAGGCGCACAGTCGACAGCAGGTAGCCTGAGAGGTGGAGAAACGGAAAAAAGGTGGGGGCGGAAAGGTAAAAAGGGGGAAGGGAAGCGAGAGGGGGGGGGAGAAGTAAACACTAAATATTACTCATCCACACAGCTTCCTCTGCCCTTGTGCCTGCATTCTGATGCCACGCCTGGAGGGGTAGGGTGGGCGGCAGTGGGGAAGGGCGTCCCCTTGAACTCTGAGTGCTTCAGCGAGTGCAGCAGAGGCCACTACTGAGACACTTGAGAACTCACCAACTGCATCCATGATAAGCTCGGGGTTGCGTTTGAGCATCTTGGCAGCAGTGGGGAAGAGCGTGCCCTTGAACTCTGCATGCTCCAGCGAGTGCAATAAAGGTTCCACTACTGAGGCGCCCCAACACTCACCAACAGCATCCATGATGAGCTCGGGGTTGCGTTTGAGCATCTTAGCAGCAGTGGGGAAGAGCGTCCCTTTGAACTCCGAGTGCTCCAGTGAGTGCAGAAGAGGGGCAAACGCCTCTGAAGCCACGTGAGGAGGGCGCTCCCTGCTGCTCAGTACGAGCTTGGAATAGGTCTCCACGAAGAACGCCTGGTGAAAGAGGGAGGAGGGGACAGGGAGGAATCAGATGGATGAACAGCAGAAACAGAATGCGCTCCTTGCTGTTCAGCAGCGAGTACCAGCGTGAAACAGGCCTCCAGGATGCATGCCTCTAGGCTGCAGCAGGGGTAGTAGACAACGAGGAATTATACGGGATTAAGGGTTGACTCTAGAGAATTTTCTGTTAGAGAGCTGCCGATTTTGATCCGTTACAGGGAAACAACCGTCTGACTGCTTTCCTACCTTGGCCTCTGCTGCGGAACCAGGCGCTGATGCTGCTTCTGCAGTCCCGTTCGCTACGCCATCTGCTGCTGCAGTACCTCCTGCTTTGCGGGCCTTGGTCTCGAGGTAGTAGGTGAGAAGGGGATGGGCGATGCCGACTGTGGTGAGGGTGACAGGCGTGGATTTTATCTCTGCCAGGTATGCTGCTGCAAGGGACGGCACCTGAAAATGCAAGGGGAGAAAGGGAGAGGTGGAGAGAGTGGGTGCAGGAGGGGGGGAGGGGAGAAGGGGAAGTAGTGTTAAGCTTCCACCACGTATTTATACAGTTAAAATCAGACGCAAGCTCTCAGTTCTGACGTCAGGGGTCACGCCAGAATCATGTCCTGTAATGGAAGCTCCTGCTTACTTCAACAATATTCTACCAACTCTTCATGCAATCGTATTCAGATCAGAGTACTAGTGACACTCACCGCGCCAAGCATCTCGTTGACAGCATGCAATGAAGCTCGCTTCAGCCTCGGCTCATCTCCCAGCGCCACTGTCAGCAGCGTCCCTTGCGCCACTACCAGACGAGAAAACGCCGCCCGCACCCCCACGATCGCATCCCCCCTCTCCCGCAGCAGCAGACACGACCACTTAAGCAGCTTGTACCGAACCAAGCCGGCCACCGAGGCTGACACGGAGCCTGGCTTGGCGCAGGCTTGGACGAGAGCTCCGGCGAATGCCTTGACAAAGGCAGTTTCGCGCTTGAGAGCTTTGGTTAGAGCTCGCTCAACAGAGGCTTGGGAGCGACGGTCGGAGTAGACGGGGAGGGTCTGGAAGATGAGAGAGGCGAGACGAGGGGCTGCTGCTGCGACGTCCACGGCTGAGAAAAGGAGGGGACGGTGGGAGGAACAGGAAGGGAGGGAGGGAATGGAGGGAAGGGAAGGAAGGAAGGGAAGGAGTGAAATAGGGAAGGAGGGGAGGGAGCGAGGTTGACAGCAGATGACGGGAGGAAGGAGACAAGATTGGGAAGTCCAGATATCCAGGAAGATGCAGAGTGGGGTGAAAATGGAGGAACGGGATGATTGGTCAGGAAGGATTCGGAGGGGGTAGGTTATCCAGGATTCATCAGACGATGCCATTGTTCACGGAATCCTGGCTGGTTGTCCAGGTCTTATCAGACGACGCCATATGCCATTGAAATCCTGGCCGGTTGTCCAAGTTTTACCAGACTGGCCATTAAATCATTGCCGGTTATCCAGGATTGATCAGACGACGCCATAGCAAGCTGCATCCTGGCCGCACAGACTAGCGAACGCTAAGCTACCCGTCTGCTCAAATCTGTTCAAGCACCAGCGACGACGATGAGAAACTAATCCAGGAAATCGAACTGGCTGTTGCGTGAAGTTCAGTCGGTTCGGTGTAGAACCCTCCGAAACCCCTCATTCTGTAAGAATTTGGTGACCGGTTGGCCAATGTCGCGTGTATAAGCAAATAAACTGATCTTAACTATCTGTCAGATTGAGATTCGATCTGATACCCATAGTTTGTTGTCAGAAACTTACAACCATAATTTTCCACCAATCCGGTGCTAGATCCGTCCGTCATCATCACATTCCTGCAGTCAAAAGAGTTTACTGAATTGTTATCGCGTAAACAGGTTGTTAATTTCTTCGTAAACGGACCTTTGCTGTCCAGCGCTGACGAGATAGATGCGTCGAACACACCGACACGGTCGTTCACTGAACACGAGCACACTTTAGCCTCGGCAAGCTCCAGGATCGGCACCATGTCGATCACCGGAAGAGCTTCGGCATTCACCTCCGTTTCCGAGCCTGAGGCTTTCTGGACAGGCTCGGAAGCGGCTGGAACTTCCGAAGCTGGTGCTGATGCGTCCACCATGATTGCTGCTAATCTGACAATGAAGCCTGCTGTACCGTACGACAAAAGACAAGGTCCGGTCGCTAGAGATTGATGAAAAGTCAAGAAATTCAGGACATTGCTGGAAAAGAAGCGATGTCCTGGTCTATGGAGCCCGGCTGACTAGCGGAGTATCCTCCCGGTGCCTGATACTGATGGCGGAGGTTGAGAAAAGGAAGAATCGAGGGTCGGTTAGCAGGAATCTGACATACGCGCTGCTGCTGTAGGCTGACACGGAGGAGCTTCAGTATTGAAAATCGACAAGAATTGATATTGATCAACATGTACATGTTTGACGTTGGAAATTATAGATTGTAGATTGTCTGACTACTCAAAACATCAAATAACATGTTCTCCAGTCGTAAAAAAACTTTCTAACCCATAAAATTTTCATGAAATATTTTACTAGCATTCATACGCTCGAATATTATATGAATATTTGAATAATTAATATGAGCCATATTTGGGCACTTATTCACCAGAAAAAAAAAACGGGATTTTTCACATATTTTTAGGTGTGTTCCTTCACGAGCATTATGTTTACTCAGTGTGAGAAGGCGCTTCTATGGATGCAATATATGTGTGTGTATAAGGTAGTGTATCTGTACCTAGCTTCAAAAGCTTCACTATCAGCAGACCCACAAATTCCCGAGTTGGGGCTACGATGCCAGGTGCGGACGCACAAGGACGTGGTTCTGACTTGGCAGCTGGGCCAGCCAGCATGACGTGTAAGGAATCCGTTTTCCTTGAGACTTCATCTTCTGCCAGCTCCTCATCCTGCAGTGTGAAGTGAAGCTTGCGAAACGAAAAGCCAATCGAACATGTATCGAACGAAAACGGAATTGGTTGTCGCGAACATCTTGCGCCGTCATTAGTTTCGCACCATCTGTACCTTGTAACTAGTCATGGCCTCGTGCCATAAGAGCCAGACCGCCTAAGTAATCTACTTTCGACTTGTCCTTGCTGAGTCATGTATGATAGAATCAGTGTGGCTGTAGGCATTCCGCACGTGTGGTTACCTTGAAATATGACCGCGGTTTAGCAATTTCTTTCAGGCCGACTGACAATCACGACGGATACTCTAGTTTTTTTTCCAGCTCCTCGCAGTGCACGGAAAAGTGTCGTATCATTCCTTAACGGCGGCTGCGTGCCGCAGGAGTGCAGGGAGTTGAACATTCAAAGCAACAATATAGGATATCGTTTGTGATAAATTCGAGTCGGCGTCAAAGCCCTGAAGTCACCAGCAATTGGAATTCCCCTGCCAGAATCAGCAGCACTTCGTCGGGTCAATTCCTCAGATTCTCATGGCTCTTGTGAGGGAGAACGATCAGCTGGACAAGTTTGTGACGTTTCTCGCTAAACGCGACGGCATCGACAAGCTTGTGAAGACATTTCAGTATGTCTTCAAGCTCGCTCACTGGCAGCTCCTGAGAACGAATAAAGGTGAGCTTTGGCATCGCTTCAGTGGAGCAGCACCCTGAAAATTCCCCTATTCTTTTTCTACTGAAAATTCTCCCGCGCGTGGCACACTAGGTGTGTGTACGCTATCCCGTTAACTGTCGCCATCCACTCGCACTCTTGCTTGGTTTCTTGCAGACTTGGCAGACCGAGCTCAGAAGTTTGAGGTCGGCTGTGGGCTAAGCCGCAAGGCGTTCCGACTAGGTCGCTTCTTGACTGGTTTCAACAATCTCCGGACAACCCAGTACTCTGACTGGAAGGTGAATTATAGGCAGGCTATGTATCTGAGTTGCGCCATTTGCCACTTCACATGCAGCAAAGTGATGACTGGCTCTTGTTGAGTGGACCATCTGGTTGTTTTTCCTGTTCAGCCAGCGGTCGTCTGGAATTTGAACTTCTCAGATGCCATCTCCTTCTGCCTTCAATCTTTCTGCTTTCAGGTGACAACTCTCTCCGTGGTTGGCAGTGCTGGTGAAATGGTTTACTTCTTCTTTGACCACCTCACGTGGATGTCCAAAGTCGGCCTGATCGAGCCTAAAATAGCTGGTAATTCCTCAATCAACGTAATTCCCAAGCTATTGTTTCCGCGTGGTGTGGTACCGTGTGATGTAGTGTGCTGCGGTGCGGTGTGGTGTGATGTGTGCAAATCTTCTGTTCTTTTTGTGCTGGCCATTTTTTTACCTTAATATCTGTTGCCCCCTCATTGGTGCGTCTTCCTCCTCGTTCCTCCTCCGCCGTGCAGCCAAGGCCGCATACATATCAGCCTACGGCGAGACCGTTCTCTACCTGTGCTTCATCTCGCTGGATATCATAATGATCAAGAGGGGAATGGAGCAGGAGAAGCAGCTCCAGGCGAAGCTGAAGGAGCTGCACCGTCGAGCAGAGGCCCTTGCCCTCACAGCAAAGAACAGCCCCCGCCATGGAAAGAGCAGTGGTGGTGGTGATGATGGCACTGACAGCAGCATGTGTGCGTTCAGTATTGATGCGTCGCGGCGAAGCAGCTTTGAGAGTCAGAGTCATGACTGTGGGAAGAGCAACAGCAGCCAGGGAAGCGAAGGTGAAAACGGCTGGTTGGGTGCAGCTGCACCAGAGGGGAAGGTAGGCCCTCCTGCTGATGTACCAGAGGGGAAGGCTGCTGAAATAGCGGATGGAGGGCAAGGAAGTCACAATCTGCCGCTGCTATGCACGTGCAAAGAGGCCTACATTGAGGAATTGAGAAGGCTGGAAGGAGAAGCGATGAAAATCAAGATTGCGCTGAGCTCCATCAGAATGGAGAGGCTTATGCGTGTTCTGAGCATTGCTGGGCAGTTTGGAGATCTCTTGATTTCCGTAGCTCAAGTGGAGCCTAATCCGGTGTGCTGCCACCCGCTTACATTGGGCTTGAGCGGATTGCTGTCAGCATGGACTGGTTGGTACCGTTTGTGGCCCGCCAAGTAGGTTGTTATATAATATGCTGTTCATAGTTATGGCGAATGTTATAGAGTGCGCTGCTGGCTGTTGTCAAGCATTCTGTTGCTGTAAAAGTGTGATATATTCTGTCAGAGCAGAGGTTAGGTGGGAATGCCTTAGTCATGCTGCTTGCGTTCTTTTCCACTAAATCGTGCATTTGCGTCCACTAATCCGCCTTTACCTAGGATTAATCACGGCGCAATCACGGATGAAGCCTTCCCATCCCCCAACCACCACCCGAGCGTGTCGGTGCAACGTGGCTGTCACGACAGAAGTGTTCGCCGAACAGCGAAATCGAAATCGGTGTTCGCGAAATTGCAACCCCCCCCCCCCATTCTCGTCGTGGCGAAACCAACCGACAATTCGCAGTCTGGATTGCCAGTTCCGATATTCGGTCACACCCGAATGGTGTTTCTGTAGCAGCCACGTCGAGCTCCCTGTCGCGATGAAATCGAGGGAAGAATCAAAACAACCAACATGTCATGTCGAGGGTGGTTGTGTTGGTTGGAGTGCAATAACATTGCAACAGTTGATCCTCCAACAGTCACAGTAACTATTGTCCGTCCATGGCGGATGGTGTGGTCCCAATTTAGCTTGGCAGGATCCCGTCCCAGCCTGTGCAGCAAGTTGAGTTGGATGCAGCTCACCTCCACAACCGCTGCATTACATCATCCATGGATAAAACTTGCCGCCATAGTTAGCCTTTTACCCAGGGTCTGCGCTCGCGTTGCTATCAGTTGATCAGAAAGCCGTGCAATCGTGAGGCGAGGCGATACCGTACATAGTTAAAAACAAAAATCTCAATCCATGATTACGTGTCCAAAACAACTGTCTTGTAGCAGCGATTCGTACACTCCTGCCAATTCGCCTGACGTGGTCGCATAGAGTTGACTCAGAGAGAATGAGGCTTATAAGTCGCGGCATGCCCCAGTAACGACTCGTGGTCTCTCTTGGAGGAAAAACGACTCTATGGTTTCTTCATGGGGAAGAAGATATCGTTCTTCGGACAGCCTCCGATCCTAAGACGAGCCTCAAGATGGTAGTACCCGTCTCCTTCCTCACAATCTGATTCGATTCCTCGCTGGAGGAACACATTCAATGTGGCGCCTCAAAAGTCCTCACTCTCAATTCGATTCGATTCCTCGCTGGTGAACACACTGTGATGGCAAGCTTCATAGTATGAGCCACTTTCCAGCGGCTGGTCACAAACTGGCTCGATTTGCTCTTAAGGAAAGAAACCTGCAGCACAGTATCTCGCATGCTGCTCTCTTTACCCCCCACCACTCTCCCACCCACCCCCGCCCCCCCCTCTCTCCCCCTCTCTCCCCCCCTTCCCACCCCCCTCCGCTACCCGTCTGCTCGCGTGGGACGATGCGGCCTGCTACCTCTTGCCCGCACCCCTGCATTTGTTTATTCTCCTTATCCCACGCACCCAACTTTCCTTCCCCAGCTCTCACAGGCTTTCCCTGTCCACCTACCCTCCATCCACACCCTCTGCAATCCTTCCTTATCTTTCATACCCCACTGATCACCAGTTCCCACACCCATCTCTCTGTTACAATCTCACCTCACTTAATTTTTAAGTCAACAGAGAAATCACAACATTACCTCTGCTTTCTTGAGGCTCCCGTCAACTCCCTCCCTCTCCTTAGTTTCCGCACATAACCTTCGCTCACCCTTTCCTCCATCCCATCACAGCCTGACTTTTGCAGTCGCTGCTCTCGTCATCGCCTCCTGTGCTACCATTGTGGCTGTCGCTTCTATCGATCGATTCCCTCTCCTTGTTTTCTTTACCTAACCCTCCCCGCACCCTTCTCCCGCCCCGCACCCCATCACAGGCTGACATTTTCAATCGCAGCTCTCGTCATCGCCTCCTCCTCAGCTACCATTGGGCTTCCACTGACCCCCTCGCAACACGCCAATGCCAAACTGACCGCTTTCACAGACAGCTCAAGAGATCTTGAGTCGAGAACTCTCTATCCAGACCCCTCCAAACCGAGCTCTACCCACCAGAATCCAAATAACGGAGAGACGAGGAGCGGCGACACAACTGATCCATGGCTGGACAGCCTCTGCTTGGGAGCTCAAAACAAGAACTGTGACCCTGATCCACGGGGACAAGAGACAGGACAACAGACAGGACAAGCGACGGGACAAGCGACGAGATCACGATTAGGAAGGGCTCATGAGTGGAGTGGTAGTAGAAGCCGTTTCAGACACGTGCATGGGAAGTCCTCTGGTCTGCAGGACAGGAGGATGAACAGGAAGACAAGTGCATGGGTGCGGCCTATAGATGATGAACCCCAGTCCGAGATAGAGGCTATTTGGGCTTCCCATGCTGCCCATAATCTCGCATTCAGCAGGCTGCACCACCCAAGGCGGTCGCCACAGCCGTCGAGTCCCTTTTTGAGTCCGAGTTCCGTACCCGGGCCAAGATGCGCGGGACAGTGCTGCTCCAATGCTGCTCCCGTGATCCCACGTGGCACCCCCAAGATGACCTCCACGTGGATCAGCAGCCAGCTGGCACACGGGGCTAGGGTGAGTGAAGGGAGTCTAGAAAGGTAAGGGAGGAGGGGGGGAGGGGCTGGGTGGTTATACATGAGTACGAGTGTGGGTGGGTGGGTATGTATGGGTGTGGATATGGGGGTGTATGATCCCATCTTAAGCTGACCGTCCATGTGGCTCAGCAGCTAGCTGGCACACGGCGCTAGGGTGAGTGAAGGGAGCTAGGCCGTTAGGGAAAGGGAAAGGGGCATATGGGGGGGATGTATGATCCCATCTCAACTCAAGCTGACCGTCCATGTGGCTCAGCAGCTAGCTGGCCCTCCCTTGCCCCTCTTCCCCTTTGCTGCAGGTGATGATACGGTCCAAGAGGTGGGATACCTGGTGGACAGCAGCGAACGGGGCGAAGTGAGAGCAAACTTGCTCCCTTTCCCCCCCACTTCCCTCCACACCTCCCCATCCCCTCCTCCCTTGCTCCCTCGCCTCCCCCTGCTGCAGGTGATGATACGGTCCAAGAGGTGGGATACCTGGTGGACAGCAGCGAACGGGGCGAAGTGAGAGCAAACTTGCTCCCTTTCCCCCCCACTTCCCTCCACACCTCCCCATCCCCTCCTCCCTTGCTCCCTCGCCTCCCCCTGCTGCAGGTGATGATACGGTCCAAGAGGTGGGATACCTGGTGGACAGCAGCGAACGGGGCGAAGTGAGAGCAAACTTGCTCCCTTTCCCCCCCACTTCCCTCCACACCTCCCCATCCCCTCCTCCCTTGCTCCCTCGCCTCCCCCTGCTGCAGGTGATGATACGGTCCAAGAGGTGGGATACCTGGTGGACAGCAGCGAACGGGGCGAAGTGAGAGCAAACTTGCTCCCTTTCCCCCCCACTTCCCTCCACACCTCCCCATCCCCTCCTCCCTTGCTCCCTCGCCTCCCCCTGCTGCAGGTGATGATACGGTCCAAGAGGTGGGATACCTGGTGGACAGCAGCGAACGGGGCGAAGTGAGAGCAAACTTGCTCCCTTTCCCCCCCACTTCCCTCCACACCTCCCCATCCCCTCCTCCCTTGCTCCCTCGCCTCCCCCTGCTGCAGGTGATGATACGGTCCAAGAGGTGGGATACCTGGTGGACAGCAGCGAACGGGGCGAAGTGAGAGCAAACTTGCTCCCTTTCCCCCCCACTTCCCTCCACACCTCCCCATCCCCTCCTCCCTTGCTCCCTCGCCTCCCCCTGCTGCAGGTGATGATACGGTCCAAGAGGTGGGATACCTGGTGGACAGCAGCGAACGGGGCGAAGTGAGAGCAAACTTGCTCCCTTTCCCCCCCACTTCCCTCCACACCTCCCCATCCCCTCCTCCCTTGCTCCCTCGCCTCCCCCTGCTGCAGGTGATGATACGGTCCAAGAGGTGGGATACCTGGTGGACAGCAGCGAATGGGGCGAAGTGAGAGCAAACTTGCTCCCTTTCCCCCCCACTTCCCTCCACACCTCCCCATCCCCTCCTCCCTTGCTCCCTCGCCTCCCCCTGCTGCAGGTGATGATACGGTCCAAGAGGTGGGATACCTGGTGGACAGCAGCGAACGGGGCGAAGTGAGAGCAAACTTGCTCCCTTTCCCCCCCACTTCCCTCCACACCTCCCCATCCCCTCCTCCCTTGCTCCCTCGCCTCCCCCTGCTGCAGGTGATGATACGGTCCAAGAGGTGGGATACCTGGTGGACAGCAGCGAACGGGGCGAAGTGAGAGCAAACTTGCTCCCTTTCCCCCCCGCTTCCCTCCACACCTCCCCATCCCCTCCTCCCTTGCTCCCTCGCCTCCCCCTGCTGCAGGTGATGATACGGTCCAAGAGGTGGGATACCTGGTGGACAGCAGCGAACGGGGCGAAGTGAGAGCAAACTTGCTCCCTTTCCCCCCCACTTCCCTCCACACCTCCCCATCCCCTCCTCCCTTGCTCCCTCGCCTCCCCCTGCTGCAGGTGATGATACGGTCCAAGAGGTGGGATACCTGGTGGACAGCAGCGAACGGGGCGAAGTGAGAGCAAACTTGCTCCCTTTCCCCCCCACTTCCCTCCACACCTCCCCATCCCCTCCTCCCTTGCTCCCTCGCCTCCCCCTGCTGCAGGTGATGATACGGTCCAAGAGGTGGGATACCTGGTGGACAGCAGCGAATGGGGCGAAGTGAGAGCAAACTTGCTCCCTTTCCCCCCCACTTCCCTCCACACCTCCCCATCCCCTCCTCCCTTGCTCCCTCGCCTCCCCCTGCTGCAGGTGATGATACGGTCCAAGAGGTGGGATACCTGGTGGACAGCAGCGAACGGGGCGAAGTGAGAGCAAACTTGCTCCCTTTCCCCCCCGCTTCCCTCCACACCTCCCCATCCCCTCCTCCCTTGCTCCCTCGCCTCCCCCTGCTGCAGGTGATGATACGGTCCAAGAGGTGGGATACCTGGTGGACAGCAGCGAACGGGGCGAAGTGAGAGCAAACTTGCTCCCTTTCCCCCCCACTTCCCTCCACACCTCCCCATCCCCTCCTCCCTTGCTCCCTCGCCTCCCCCTGCTGCAGGTGATGATACGGTCCAAGAGGTGGGATACCTGGTGGACAGCAGCGAACGGGGCGAAGTGAGAGCAAACTTGCTCCCTTTCCCCCCCACTTCCCTCCACACCTCCCCATCCCCTCCTCCCTTGCTCCCTCGCCTCCCCCTGCTGCAGGTGATGATACGGTCCAAGAGGTGGGATACCTGGTGGACAGCAGCGAACGGGGCGAAGTGAGAGCAAACTTGCTCCCTTTCCCCCCCACTTCCCTCCACACCTCCCCATCCCCTCCTCCCTTGCTCCCTCGCCTCCCCCTGCTGCAGGTGATGATACGGTCCAAGAGGTGGGATACCTGGTGGACAGCAGCGAACGGGGCGAAGTGAGAGCAAACTTGCTCCCTTTCCCCCCCACTTCCCTCCACACCTCCCCATCCCCTCCTCCCTTGCTCCCTCGCCTCCCCCTGCTGCAGGTGATGATACGGTCCAAGAGGTGGGATACCTGGTGGACAGCAGCGAACGGGGCGAAGTGAGAGCAAACTTGCTCCCTTTCCCCCCCACTTCCCTCCACACCTCCCCATCCCCTCCTCCCTTGCTCCCTCGCCTCCCCCTGCTGCAGGTGATGATACGGTCCAAGAGGTGGGATACCTGGTGGACAGCAGCGAACGGGGCGAAGTGAGAGCAAACTTGCTCCCTTTCCCCCCCACTTCCCTCCACACCTCCCCATCCCCTCCTCCCTTGCTCCCTCGCCTCCCCCTGCTGCAGGTGATGATACGGTCCAAGAGGTGGGATACCTGGTGGACAGCAGCGAACGGGGCGAAGTGAGAGCAAACTTGCTCCCTTTCCCCCCCACTTCCCTCCACACCTCCCCATCCCCTCCTCCCTTGCTCCCTCGCCTCCCCCTGCTGCAGGTGATGATACGGTCCAAGAGGTGGGATACCTGGTGGACAGCAGCGAACGGGGCGAAGTGAGAGCAAACTTGCTCCCTTTCCCCCCCACTTCCCTCCACACCTCCCCATCCCCTCCTCCCTTGCTCCCTCGCCTCCCCCTGCTGCAGGTGATGATACGGTCCAAGAGGTGGGATACCTGGTGGACAGCAGCGAACGGGGCGAAGTGAGAGCAAACTTGCTCCCTTTCCCCCCCACTTCCCTCCACACCTCCCCATCCCCTCCTCCCTTGCTCCCTCGCCTCCCCCTGCTGCAGGTGATGATACGGTCCAAGAGGTGGGATACCTGGTGGACAGCAGCGAACGGGGCGAAGTGAGAGCAAACTTGCTCCCTTTCCCCCCCACTTCCCTCCACACCTCCCCATCCCCTCCTCCCTTGCTCCCTCGCCTCCCCCTGCTGCAGGTGATGATACGGTCCAAGAGGTGGGATACCTGGTGGACAGCAGCGAACGGGGCGAAGTGAGAGCAAACTTGCTCCCTTTCCCCCCCACTTCCCTCCACACCTCCCCATCCCCTCCTCCCTTGCTCCCTCGCCTCCCCCTGCTGCAGGTGATGATACGGTCCAAGAGGTGGGATACCTGGTGGACAGCAGCGAACGGGGCGAAGTGAGAGCAAACTTGCTCCCTTTCCCCCCCACTTCCCTCCACACCTCCCCATCCCCTCCTCCCTTGCTCCCTCGCCTCCCCCTGCTGCAGGTGATGATACGGTCCAAGAGGTGGGATACCTGGTGGACAGCAGCGAACGGGGCGAAGTGAGAGCAAACTTGCTCCCTTTCCCCCCCACTTCCCTCCACACCTCCCCATCCCCTCCTCCCTTGCTCCCTCGCCTCCCCCTGATGCAGGTGATGATACGGTCCAAGAGGTGGGATACCTGGTGGACAGCAGCGAATGGGGCGAAGTGAGAGCAAACTTGCTCCCTTTCCCCCCCACTTCCCTCCACACCTCCCCATCCCCTCCTCCCTTGCTCCCTCGCCTCCCCCTGCTGCAGGTGATGATACGGTCCAAGAGGTGGGATACCTGGTGGACAGCAGCGAACGGGGCGAAGTGAGAGCAAACTTGCTCCCTTTCCCCCCCACTTCCCTCCACACCTCCCCATCCCCTCCTCCCTTGCTCCCTCGCCTCCCCCTGCTGCAGGTGATGATACGGTCCAAGAGGTGGGATACCTGGTGGACAGCAGCGAACGGGGCGAAGTGAGAGCAAACTTGCTCCCTTTCCCCCCCACTTCCCTCCACACCTCCCCATCCCCTCCTCCCTTGCTCCCTCGCCTCCCCCTGCTGCAGGTGATGATACGGTCCAAGAGGTGGGATACCTGGTGGACAGCAGCGAACGGGGCGAAGTGAGAGCAAACTTGCTCCCTTTCCCCCCCACTTCCCTCCACACCTCCCCATCCCCTCCTCCCTTGCTCCCTCGCCTCCCCCTGCTGCAGGTGATGATACGGTCCAAGAGGTGGGATACCTGGTGGACAGCAGCGAACGGGGCGAAGTGAGAGCAAACTTGCTCCCTTTCCCCCCCACTTCCCTCCACACCTCCCCATCCCCTCCTCCCTTGCTCCCTCGCCTCCCCCTGCTGCAGGTGATGATACGGTCCAAGAGGTGGGATACCTGGTGGACAGCAGCGAACGGGGCGAAGTGAGAGCAAACTTGCTCCCTTTCCCCCCCGCTTCCCTCCACACCTCCCCATCCCCTCCTCCCTTGCTCCCTCGCCTCCCCCTGCTGCAGGTGATGATACGGTCCAAGAGGTGGGATACCTGGTGGACAGCAGCGAACGGGGCGAAGTGAGAGCAAACTTGCTCCCTTTCCCCCCCACTTCCCTCCACACCTCCCCATCCCCTCCTCCCTTGCTCCCTCGCCTCCCCCTGCTGCAGGTGATGATACGGTCCAAGAGGTGGGATACCTGGTGGACAGCAGCGAACGGGGCGAAGTGAGAGCAAACTTGCTCCCTTTCCCCCCCACTTCCCTCCACACCTCCCCATCCCCTCCTCCCTTGCTCCCTCGCCTCCCCCTGCTGCAGGTGATGATACGGTCCAAGAGGTGGGATACCTGGTGGACAGCAGCGAACGGGGCGAAGTGAGAGCAAACTTGCTCCCTTTCCCCCCCACTTCCCTCCACACCTCCCCATCCCCTCCTCCCTTGCTCCCTCGCCTCCCCCTGCTGCAGGTGATGATACGGTCCAAGAGGTGGGATACCTGGTGGACAGCAGCGAACGGGGCGAAGTGAGAGCAAACTTGCTCCCTTTCCCCCCCACTTCCCTCCACACCTCCCCATCCCCTCCTCCCTTGCTCCCTCGCCTCCCCCTGCTGCAGGTGATGATACGGTCCAAGAGGTGGGATACCTGGTGGACAGCAGCGAACGGGGCGAAGTGAGAGCAAACTTGCTCCCTTTCCCCCCCACTTCCCTCCACACCTCCCCATCCCCTCCTCCCTTGCTCCCTCGCCTCCCCCTGCTGCAGGTGATGATACGGTCCAAGAGGTGGGATACCTGGTGGACAGCAGCGAACGGGGCGAAGTGAGAGCAAACTTGCTCCCTTTCCCCCCCACTTCCCTCCACACCTCCCCATCCCCTCCTCCCTTGCTCCCTCGCCTCCCCCTGCTGCAGGTGATGATACGGTCCAAGAGGTGGGATACCTGGTGGACAGCAGCGAATGGGGCGAAGTGAGAGCAAACTTGCTCCCTTTCCCCCCCACTTCCCTCCACACCTCCCCATCCCCTCCTCCCTTGCTCCCTCGCCTCCCCCTGCTGCAGGTGATGATACGGTCCAAGAGGTGGGATACCTGGTGGACAGCAGCGAACGGGGCGAAGTGAGAGCAAACTTGCTCCCTTTCCCCCCCACTTCCCTCCACACCTCCCCATCCCCTCCTCCCTTGCTCCCTCGCCTCCCCCTGCTGCAGGTGATGATACGGTCCAAGAGGTGGGATACCTGGTGGACAGCAGCGAACGGGGCGAAGTGAGAGCAAACTTGCTCCCTTTCCCCCCCACTTCCCTCCACACCTCCCCATCCCCTCCTCCCTTGCTCCCTCGCCTCCCCCTGCTGCAGGTGATGATACGGTCCAAGAGGTGGGATACCTGGTGGACAGCAGCGAACGGGGCGAAGTGAGAGCAAACTTGCTCCCTTTCCCCCCCACTTCCCTCCACACCTCCCCATCCCCTCCTCCCTTGCTCCCTCGCCTCCCCCTGCTGCAGGTGATGATACGGTCCAAGAGGTGGGATACCTGGTGGACAGCAGCGAACGGGGCGAAGTGAGAGCAAACTTGCTCCCTTTCCCCCCCACTTCCCTCCACACCTCCCCATCCCCTCCTCCCTTGCTCCCTCGCCTCCCCCTGCTGCAGGTGATGATACGGTCCAAGAGGTGGGATACCTGGTGGACAGCAGCGAACGGGGCGAAGTGAGAGCAAACTTGCTCCCTTTCCCCCCCACTTCCCTCCACACCTCCCCATCCCCTCCTCCCTTGCTCCCTCGCCTCCCCCTGCTGCAGGTGATGATACGGTCCAAGAGGTGGGATACCTGGTGGACAGCAGCGAACGGGGCGAAGTGAGAGCAAACTTGCTCCCTTTCCCCCCCACTTCCCTCCACACCTCCCCATCCCCTCCTCCCTTGCTCCCTCGCCTCCCCCTGCTGCAGGTGATGATACGGTCCAAGAGGTGGGATACCTGGTGGACAGCAGCGAATGGGGCGAAGTGAGAGCAAACTTGCTCCCTTTCCCCCCCACTTCCCTCCACACCTCCCCATCCCCTCCTCCCTTGCTCCCTCGCCTCCCCCTGCTGCAGGTGATGATACGGTCCAAGAGGTGGGATACCTGGTGGACAGCAGCGAACGGGGCGAAGTGAGAGCAAACTTGCTCCCTTTCCCCCCCACTTCCCTCCACACCTCCCCATCCCCTCCTCCCTTGCTCCCTCGCCTCCCCCTGCTGCAGGTGATGATACGGTCCAAGAGGTGGGATACCTGGTGGACAGCAGCGAATGGGGCGAAGTGAGAGCAAACTTGCTCCCTTTCCCCCCCACTTCCCTCCACACCTCCCCATCCCCTCCTCCCTTGCTCCCTCGCCTCCCCCTGCTGCAGGTGATGATACGGTCCAAGAGGTGGGATACCTGGTGGACAGCAGCGAACGGGGCGAAGTGAGAGCAAACTTGCTCCCTTTCCCCCCCACTTCCCTCCACACCTCCCCATCCCCTCCTCCCTTGCTCCCTCGCCTCCCCCTGCTGCAGGTGATGATACGGTCCAAGAGGTGGGATACCTGGTGGACAGCAGCGAACGGGGCGAAGTGAGAGCAAACTTGCTCCCTTTCCCCCCCACTTCCCTCCACACCTCCCCATCCCCTCCTCCCTTGCTCCCTCGCCTCCCCCTGCTGCAGGTGATGATACGGTCCAAGAGGTGGGATACCTGGTGGACAGCAGCGAACGGGGCGAAATGGGAGAAAACTTGCTCCCTTTCCCCCCCACTTCCCTCCACACCTCCCCATCCCCTCCTCCCTTGCTCCCTCGCCTCCCCCTGCTGCAGGTGATGATACGGTCCAAGAGGTGGGATACCTGGTGGACAGCAGCGAACGGGGCGAAATGGGAGAAAACTTGCTCCCTTCCCCCCCCCACTTCCCGCCACACCTCCCCATTCCCCCCTCCCATCGGCCCAGGTGATGATACGGTCCAAGAGGTGGGTTACCTGGCGGACAGCAGCAAATCTTTCTCTCCCTCTGTCCCATCTTAGATTCTTAACCCTCAAAACCCCCTCCTCCCTTCCACCCTTCCCCCCCTGCTGCCTACAGGTGATGATTCGCTCCAAGAGGTGGGGCACCTGGTGGACAGCAGCAAACGGGGCGAAGTGGGAGGGGCGCATTGCATTTAAACCGTCCAAAATCCCCTTCCCTTTGCTCCCCCGGCCCCCCCTGCTGCAGGTGATGATTCGCTCCAAGAGGTGGGGCACCTTCTGGACAGCAGCAAACGGGGCCAAGTGGGACGGGCGGATTGCATTGCAGGCAGGGTTGTGAGGCGCCTCAAAGATGCCCCCTTCCTTCCCCCTCTTCCTCCTGCTTCAGGTGGTGATTCGCTCCAAGAGGTGGGGCACCTTCTGGACAGCAGCAAACGGGGCGAAATGGGAAGGGCGCATTGCTGCACGAGCCACCGCCATGCCAGAGCCGGCGCAAGCACTTACTGTGATCAGAGTCTCACATACAGAGGTGGGGATGGGTTTCTGAAATGGGGGGTGGGGTTGCTGGCCGGGTGACCGCGATGCCGGAGACATCTCAGGCGCTTACTGTGATGAGAGTCTCACATACAGAGGTACGGATGGGCTGGGTTTCATTCAGAGAGCGTAGAGCCTGAAGTACCTACCTGGGGTGGCAGGCAGCAGCAGCTGGAACGATATGGCATGGAGGAAAGTTGCGCATTGCTAGCCGGGTCACCGCCATGCCGGAGCCGTCCCAAGCGCTCACTGTGATCAGAGTCTCCAACACCGCAGAGGTAGGGCCGGGCTGGATTTCAGAGAGCGTAGAGCCTGAAGTACCTACCTGGGGTGGCAGGCAGCAGCAGCTGGGGCGATATGGGAGGGAAGTTGCGCATGCCGGAGCCTCAGGACCACATAGAGTGGTGGACGGCAGCGAATGGGGCGAAGTCGGAGGGGCGTATTGCTGGGCGATCCACCACCATGCCGGAGCCGTTGCAATGCAAGCACTCACTGTGATCAGAGTCTCACATACACAAGTAGGGCTGGGTTGTTGGAAAGTATCATCACTGTCCCACCTGCCATTTGCAAGGTAACACATGAATGTGCTCATCATCTCTCAGCATCCATCAATTCCCTTCCTCCTCCTCCTCTCTGCACTTCTACAATCGCGTGTTAAGTTGGTTCATTATTATCGAGTTCTAGGACGTCTTAGATCCCCGCTCGTAATCTCGTTCCTTCCTTCCCCCTCAGATCAAGTTCCTGACCCCAAGCAACACGTACCTAACCAAGGGCGCGTTCAACTACCTCAGAACAACCCGAAACGCATCCAACCCGCCCGCCGTCTTCACCATAAAATACATCCCGGGCACGGTCCGCGTCGCGTTTCGCTCCTTCGACGGGTTTTTCTTCGTCTCTCAGGACGGCAAGAACAACCGCTAGTTTAAGTGGAAGCGGGCGGGCGAGTGGAAGCGGTATGATGTGCGGGAGGTGATGGAGGTTTCGACCTCAGACCACCTTCCATTTTGTTTCATCCCCCTTCTCCCAACCAGGTCAAGTTTCTGACCCCCAGCAAATCGTATCTAACCAAGGCCCAGGGCGCGTTCGGCTACCTCAGAACGACCCGAAACGCGTCCAACCCGCGCGCCGTCTTCACCATCAAATACATCCCCGGCACGGTCTACGTCGCGTTCCGGTCCTCCGATGGGTATTTCGTCACTCAGGATGGAAAGAATAACCCGCAGTTCAAGTGGAAGCGGGCGGGCGACTGGGAGCGGTATGACGTGCGGGAGGTGGTGGAGGTACCGGCGATTCGAGGGGCGAATCTGGGGTCGTGGCTCATGACTGAGCCTTGGATGAACAGAGAGGCGTTCAAGTTTGCGGGTTACAGCGACGGCACCCGGGTGAGTGGGCACGGGAATGAGGTGAGGGGAAATGGGAGGGGGAGCAGGGGTGGGGGCAGTAGGGAGGGGGGCGGGGGGGGAGAATTGGGGTAGCAGGGGCGGCGAATCTGGTAATAAGGCGCGGGCGAGTGGGAGCGGTATGACGTGCGGGAGGTGGTGGAGGTGCCGGCGATTCGAGGGGCGAATCTGGGGTCGTGGCTCATGACTGAGCCGTGGATGAACCGAGAGGCTTTCAAGTTTGCTGGCTATGGTGATGGCACCCGGGTGAGTGTGGGAGGGGGAGGGGGAGGAGGAGAGGAGGAGAATGTGTGAGGTGTAACTATGGCATACTGTAGCACGTTGTATGGTACACTCGCTTTTCATTTGAGGTGTGAAGTCCACAGCTATGCGCATGGCTTCGTTTGTCTTGTCTACGGGCCTTTTCCCGGTTCTTCTTTTATATATTTTATTTTAAATTGTTTATTTTTATTCCAATTTATTTTATTACTTTCCTTCTTCTTAGTCTTTTTTTCTGGCCTCCGTCCTCTGTCGTTGCAGTTCACCTTGCGATCAGTGATAACGGGAAAATACGTCACTGCACCTGGTGGGGGCGGCACAATTGTAAGTGCACTGCACCGCACCACACCGCACTGCACCCAAACATAAACGAAAACAACGCTTCCACTTTTTTTCTTCTTCTTCTTTTAGTCTCAGAACAGCATTGCTTTGCAGTTACTAGACCCAGATGGCGCTCTCACAACATGTGTGTGAGTGATACACAGCCCACCATGGTTTTATTTTTCTCGAACCATAGTTTTTGCACCACCATGCGGTCTTGGGACATGTTCTCAGCGAGCAGCAAACTTATTCAGGCTTAAAGCAAAAGATAGACAGTAAAAACCCTTCTGTAAAACTTAGATCTCAACAATCCGAGCTCAAGAACTTCAGCAGTAGAGTAAAACAAACATGTTTCGGCCGTTAAGGGGCTACCCTAGCAGGCCTTCATCAGTGCTAATGAAAGAAACAGAGCTAAGCTACGCTTCAAGAAGAAACGAAGCCTCAGAAAAACTTATCTCTATGTTATCTACACCAGGTCAGCCCGAAATACGGGGACCAGTACATGTCACCCTTGAAAATTTCTCAGGTGGCCACGTCCTCAATCCTTGGAGCGTCGTCGTTGAAGTTCGAATTCGCATCCTCGCCAGGCAGCAACTGTGGAAGTCGCGCGCGTACCAGTAACCTGTTAAGGTTACAACCAATTTGCCATGCAACAAAAATCCTCTCCACATATAATCCGCGTGTAGTGAGTCGATTTTTTAGTCGACTCAAAAGGACCCCTAGCCCGAGACGAGCAGACACCGAAGTGTACTGCGTCTTCAGAACTAGGGGTCCACGGGATGGGAGAGAAATCTGTTGCCGGAGCGCCTGGTTAGCGATGGTAGTGGCGAGGAGTGACGAACGGTGAGCGAAGGTGACGCCTTGGAAGATTGGGTGCAGAAAAGCAGGAGGGTAACCACGGTCACGAAGCCGGCCGAAGAAAGCCTTCTTCGTTGCGAGGAAAATCGCAGGTGATGTAGAGCGGAGCAGGTACCGCTTCAATTCTGCGCGAATGAAGGATTCCTTGCAGTGCCGTGGGTGGAAGGAAGCAAAGGGAAGATAGAGATACTTATTCATCGGCTTCTGAAACGTGCCGAAATCCAAAGTACCCTGCTCCTTAAACCGCGGTCCCTTGAAGAGAACCACGTCCAGAAAATCGATGGAGCAGTCCGAAACAGACCATGTGATTCGATTGTTTGGATCAAGCTCATTGAAGGTGCGCAGGTAGGCTTCCAAATCTGCCCGCGTCCCCGGCCATACGATTAGACCATCATCGATGTAGCGCACATGGTAAAGAGGTAACGTTCCGGTCCACTTCCCCTTCAGTAACTCATCCAGGCGGCTCATGAACAGGATCGCGAAGCAGACTGCTACAGGTGTACCCATGGCGGTGCCTCGTAGTTGGTGAAAGATCCGGCCACCGAACTCGACAAAAGAGTTCCTCATGACCCAACCCAGAAGGGCCATGAGAGGTGGGGTGAGTTGCGGTTTCTCCCTCATCAGAAAACTGCTGACCGCATCAAGACCGCGCTCGATCGAAATGCTGGGGTAGAGAGCGGCTACATCATACGTCGCTAGAAGTACCGTCGTCGGAAACGTGGTGCGTTCGAGCGTTGTCAGCAGAGAGAGAGAATCCGGTACGTAGGACGATTCAAGACCAGCAGGCGAAGTTCAGCGTCAAGCCACTTGCTCACATTAGTCGTGGCCCATGAATGTGAGGCAGCGATCGGTCGCCCCACGGGTACTTTCTTGTGAAGCTTAGGCAAGACGTAGAACGCAGCTGGCCGCCATCCCCCGGGTGGTTCCTTAAAGAAATATTTCCAGAGACTGTCTGGAAAAGCCGGTCCCCACGTCACCTTCAACTCCCGCAGCTGCTGCAGAACCCGTGGCGTCGGGTTGCGTTCAATCGGCTGGTACACTTCCGCATCTCCGAGATGTTCCATACAAAGGTCGATGTAGTGCTGCCGATCAAGGATAGTGACGCCAACGTTCTTGTCTGCAGGTTTGATGACGATGCTGCGGTCGGCGGCGAGGGAGCGCAACGCCTTGCGAATTCCTGACGAGATATTGAAACCCCGCCGTGGCGTCGTCGCTTTCAGAAGGTAAGAGAGGTCGTTGTGGGCCTCCCTGAAAACCGACTCCGGGACAGCATCCCGATCGGGTTTCCAATCTGGGTTGCGCACACGGAAGCGTGACATCTCAGATGAATCCCCTTTATCCTTGAAGAAAAAATGAAGAGAAATCCGTCGATGCAGTTGATCGAGGTCTGCTTCGATGGAAGGGCTCCTGGTAGGCGTTGGCACGAACTTCAATCCCATCCCGAGTGCTCGTCGCTCATCGGTCGTTAAAACCTTAGCACTCAGGTTATGCACTCCGTTGTTTCGGACCCGCGACATGGCTTGTCGTGAAGTCAAACGGCCGAACCAAAGAAGCGCGAGATCCCGCGCCGTTACTTCTTCTTTGGCGGCCCGTTTGCGGGGCCGCCGCCTCCGTTTTTTGGAACCCAGGCCTGCTTCGGTGCTGCTTGGCCCTTCCCCTTGCCGTCGGTAGGAGCGTCAGATTTCTTCTTTTTCCCCCGCTTCTTCTTCGCCTTGTTGTTCTAGGGCTTAGAGTCAGCGGCGGTGGCCGACGGAGAGACCTTCTTCTCCAACGCAATCTTCTGAAGCTTCGCAGATAGCTCTTTGTCCAGCTTCGCCGCGAACTCCTTGCGAAGCCGATCTTCGACCTTCTTTACGTGCTTCTGAACGATTGCGTCGACCGTCGGATCCAACTCCATTCTGTCGATCTCCTCAGCCGCGGCAGCTTTCTTCAAATCTTCAACTTCACGTTTTTTCTGCCGTTCCAACTCCTGGATGATGATCTCATCCCTGGCGATGGCTATGTCGGACTGCGCCTTCTCGATGCAGGCCCCCTTGATCTTCCTGTACTTCTCCCTGGTAGCATCAGATACCGCCAGGTCAGGGTTCTCCGAGAGACTTTTCAGGTAGTCCTCAAGCTTTGTCGCCAGAGTCGTCACGTGCAGGTTAGAAGCCGCCAAAATCTCCTCGACCTCCATCTCCTTCGAAGCGATGAAGTCCTTCTGGATACGCTTTTGATTCTCCAGATGAACAGCAGCAACCGAAGCTGCAGACTTTTCCCGAACAGAAGGGTATTTCGTCTGGAACTCAACTGCTTTGGTGCGAATACTGTGAAGAAGCACACCCTGTTCATCAAGCGTCTTCATCTTCTGAAGCTTGGACTTCGCCTTCAAGAGTGATTTGAAATCCGCCCGAAAACCCTTGACCGCCACAGCAGTCCAGCCTTGAACAGCTCAGGAACAGCCGGGTTAGCGCTCGTGGAAGCAACAGCAGGTGCTACCGCAGGAGCAGCGTTCGAAGCGGGATCCATCTCCATGGCGGGAGGAGAAAATGTTTGCTCGCCGTGCGATGTCGGTCCGCGAGTTGGTGCAGTATGTTTTGCTCCTTCAAGTTCGCGAAGGCGTTGTCGCTTGTGCGTGCGATACCCCGCGTAAGTCTTGGGAACACCTGCCTCGTGGATCACAATAGCAGAACTGCCCTTGTTAAGTTCGGCGTCGTCTGAGTCAAGCGTAAGTGCCAACTGGTCTTGGGACATGTTCTCAGCGAGCAGCAAACTTATTCAGGCTTAAAGCAAAAGATAGACAGTAAAAACCCTTCTGTAAAACTTAGATCTCAACAATCCGAGCTCAAGAACTTCAGCAGTAGAGTAAAACAAACATGTTTCGGCCGTTAAGGGGCTACCCTAGCAGGCCTTCATCAGTGCTAATGAAAGAAACAGAGCTAAGCTACGCTTCAAGAAGAAACGAAGCCTCAGAAAAACTGATCTCTAGGTTATCTACACCAGGTCAGCCCGAAATACGGGGACCAGTACATGTCACCCTTGAAAATTTCTCAGGTGGCCACGTCCTCAATCCTTGGAGCGTCGTCGTTGAAGTTCGAATTCGCATCCTCGCCAGGCAGCAACTGTGGAAGTCGCGCGCGTACCAGTAACCTGTTAAGGTTACAACCAATTTGCCATGCAACAAAAATCCTCTCCACATATAATCCGCGTGTAGTGAGTCGATTTTTGAGTCGACTCAAAAATCGACCATAGTTTTTGCACCACCATGCCAGTATTCCCCAAGTTCTCTCGCTTTTCATATCCCCCCATCCACCCTCACACTCTGAGCACATGAGGTGGAACGACTCCCCTTACCAAGAGCACGCACCTCCACCTCACCACCGTTCTTTGGTGTTGAATTCCTGCATTTTCCCCCGTCGCACACCCTCTCGCTTCTCACCTCTCACCTCTCTCCCCTCTAGCAGATGAGGTGCAGAGACTCACTTACCTCAACGGTTCCCTCAACAAGGACACCTACCTCCACCTCACCACCAGCTCTCATACCCCCAACTCACGTACCCATGTCACATGCCCCCCTTTGCCCTCTCCCCTCTAGCAGATGAGGTGCAACGACTCACTTACCTCAATGCTTCCCTCAACAAGGACACCTACCTCCACCTCACCACCGTTCATTGGTGTTTCTCTCCTTCGCCCTCCGCCCCTCACCTCGTACTTTTCAAGCAGAGGTGCAACGACTCGCTTACAACCAAGGACACCTACCTCTCCACCTCACCGCCATTCAGAATGTCAGCACTCCTGCGCATCAACTCATGTTCTCTCTTCCCGTGCACCCCCATTGTCACAAGCAGATGAGGTGCAACGACTCACTCACTACCAAGGACACCTACCTCCACCTCACCACTGTTGAAAATGCTTCCCCCAACACTCGCAGAGTAAGGCACTGCCGCTGCCCTCTAGGTTCTGGCTAGTCAATGTTTCCTTGTTAAGCCGAGAAATCGGTTATGTCATTGTTTATTTATATACCCTGTAACCCGTTCTGCTCTCCTCTCCGCACTTACCACACCAGATATCCGTGCAGTGGCTGCAGTACTGGGCTGTCTCTGACCTCTGAAGAGCCTTATCCATGTTGACAGTATCCCTCCTGTGCTCTCCTCTCATCATTTGCCTCATCAGATATCCGTGCAGTGGCTGCAGTACTGGGCTGTGCGGAGCAACTCAAAACAAGTCTGGGTGCAGTCCACAAAGCCCGAGGTACACAGCGGTGTGGTATGGTGTATTATGGTATGGTTTGTGGTGTGCCAGAAAGAAGGTCGGGAACATTGTCTGAAGTTCCTATACCATGTTGTACATTGTACCACCTCACCAGATCATAAAATCTAAGTGAACCACTTCGGTTAACAACGTGTCTGACGCTTTAAAGAGATAGCACGTAAGCAATTATAATCCTCCTTTTCTCCACACAATTGCTTTCAAATTTTGCACCACCCTTTTCTCCTTTTCCCTCTCAGGGCGCAGCGAGCAACTTTGAGCTCATCATATTCGGCACTCCACTCAACGTCTCTCTCTCACTTTTCCCCCTTCCTTCCCCCTTCTCTACTTCACCTTCTTCCCTCTCAGGGCACAGCGAGCAACTTTGAGCTCTTCATCTTCGGCACTCCACTCAACGTCTCTCTCTCACTTTTCCCCCTTCCTTCCCCCTTCTCTCCTTCACCTTCTTCCCTCTCAGGGCACAGCGAGCAACTTTGAGCTCTTCATCTTCGGCACGCCACTCAACGTCTCTCTCTCACTTCTCCCCCTTCCTTCCCCCTTCTCTCCTTCACCTTCTTCCCTCTCAGGGCACAGCGAGCAACTTTGAGCTCTTCATATTCGGCACTCCACTCAACGCCTCTCTATCACTTCTCCCCCTTCCTTCCCCCTTCTCTCCTTCCCCTCTCTTCCCTCTCAGGGCACAGCGAGCAACTTTGAGCTCTTCATCTTCGGCACGCCACTCAACACCCCTCTCTCACTTCCACCCTTTCCCCCCATTCCACTGTTTCCCCACATACCCTCTTTCCCCCCTTCCCTCTCTCCCACCTTTCAGGGCGCAGCAAGCAACTTTGAGCTCTTCATCTTCGGCACTCCACTCAACGAATCAACGGAGCAGAGCGGCAGCAGTGTGCGCGTGGTGCTGCGCGCTCCCAATGGCCTCTTCCTGCAAGCGCGCACCGATGGCTCTCTCACTGCTGACCTCCAACAATCCCTCAGCAACGACGCCATCTGGAGCAGTGCTGCTGCATTCGACCTCACTGTGGTGAGTGCTTGGGAACTTCTTGCTCCTTGCTGCTTCCCTTACTCCCAACGGCTTCTTCCTCAAAGCTGACCCGATGGCTCTCTCACAGCTGGACCAGTGCTGCTGCATTCGACCTCACTGTGGTGAGTGCTTGCGAACTTCTTGCTCCTTCCTTCTTCCCTTCCTCCCACTTCCCTTCCTCCAAGCGCACACCGACGGCTCCCTCACTGCTGACCTGACCTCCAACAATGCCTCGGGAATGACGGCATCTGGACCAGCGCTGCTGCCTTCGACCTCACTGTGGTGAGTGCTTGGAGATTCCTCGTTCCTCCTTTTTTCTTCCCTTCCTCTAAGCTTTGGAAGGGCCCCTTTGGCTCCCTCACTGCTGACCTCCAACAATCTCTCGGGAATGACCAGAGTGAAGGGGGTGTCGGAGGAGCACTGGATCGGCCTAAAGGTTCTGGGAAGGAGTTACAGGCAAGAACGGTCGCGCAGCGACCCTCGCTTTCTTGCAACCACCCTTTCCCAAACCCAATATTCCTCTCCCTCCCCCCCCCCCGTTTCCCTCTCCTTTCTCTCTCCTTCCCCCTGCTCCCAGTTGTGGCGGGTGGAGGGGGATTTTCAGGCGGCTTTCACAGCCGGCACAGCAGCGCCAACGATCTACGAGAACATTCGCCGAAACTTCCTGACCGAAGCGGACTGGCAGAAAATGCAAGAACTGGGGATCAACACAGTCCGCATCCCCCTGGCCTACTGGATTGCTCTCGACGCCACCCCTGAGTTCCCATTCGTGCCTGGGGCAGCGACGTACCTCGACTGGGCGTTTGAGATGGGGGCGAAGTATGGGGTTAGAATTTGGTTCAGTGTGCATGTGGCGCCGGGGTCACAGGCAGGCAAGGGGAATGCGAGGGATGGGCTGATTCGCTGGCGAGGGGAGAATGTCAACCGCACACTCGACTTTGTCACCTGGCTTGCAAACAGGTAAGGCTGTCTGTACGCTCGCTTTTGTGATTCGCTATATACTGTGAACTTGTGAAGGGGTGTTATGAGTCGACTCAAAACACGATTGTGAAGGGATGTTCGCGAACCTAGCCTTCAGAAATTGCTAGCACATTTTGTAGCGAGCGGCGAAAGAAAATGACACGTCATTGTTGACTCAACTTAAACAAGAACGATACCTGGAATCGAAAGTACCTCCTTCTTCTTGCCCCAATGGCTTCTTGCTCCTGGCTTCTTTTTTCACAGGTACGGCGCCGACCCTATGTGGCTGGGCATGGGGCTGCTGAACGAGCCGGTGGTGCCGGGAGCCAACGGGTACGCGGGGGTGGATCTGGAGGACATGCGGGGGTACTACTCGGCGGGCTTCAACGCCATCCGCGCGCGCTGCCTGTGCTGCTTCGTGGCCATGGAGGGCCGCGTGGGCAGCAACTTTGGCGACGTGATGTGGCACATGAGCGACGCGTGGCACAACAACGTGCTCCTGGAGCAGCACATCTACGAGGTCTTTGGCAACTTCTTCAGCTCCAAAGGAGTTGACTGGGAGATCGAATACGCGCACACGACCCGAAAGGACAACATCATCGCGTTTCAACAGGTGGGTTGCCTTGTACGTATGGACCGTGGTTTTCCCTTGCTTTCAGGAAACAAAACGAAACAAGAAAAGGGAACTTCCTAAAGGTGGGTCTGGAGAACGACACACGACACATACTGGCACGCCTCTGAAGCGGCGCGTGGCACAACAACGTGATCCTGGAGCAGCACATCTACGAGGTCTTTGGCAACTTCTTTAGCTCCAAAGGCGTCGACTGGGAGATCGAGTACGCGCACACCACCCGAAAGGACAACATCATTGCGTTTCAGCAGGTGGGTTGCATATGATCCGTGGCTTTTCCCTCTTTGTTTTGAGTTGACTCAACAAGCCTCAGTTCCCAATTGCTCTGTGTTGTCGATATCTCGCCTGGTTTCCTCACACACCACGTGAAACATGTCCCAATGCGCTGCATTGTTAAACATTGTGCTGTGTCCCATTACGCTGGGTGCAGAAAGTGGGGCGGCAGCTGTCTTTTGAGGCGCCTCAAAAGATGTCCCAGTGCGTTGCATTGTCTAAACATGTTGCTGTGTCCCATTACGCTGGGTGCAGAAAGTGGGGCGGAACCTGCTGGTGGGGGAGTTCTGCAATGCGATGGGCAACAGTGCAACGTCAGAGCAGCAGGCCAATTTCTCCCTCGGCCAGATGAAAGCATTCAGCCACGCCAAGGCTGGCTGGTTCTTCTGGTCCTGGAAACTCAACACCACCGGTACGTGCTTCCTTCGCCTCCTCCTCGGCCAGATGAAAGCATTCAGCCACGCCAAGGCTGGCTGGTTCTTCTGGTCCTGGAAACTCAACACCACTGGTCAGTGCTCTTTCTGTGCTCTTGTTGTGCTGCTGACTTTTGTCTTAGAATATCAACACCACCAGTCAGGGCTCTCATTTTCCCTTCTGGTTTGGACCAGCTGTTAGTGATCTCCTCCTTTAATCTGCTTGAATCTTCCCTCTTTTGATTCCCAATACCGTCCCATGTGGGTTTCACGATGCACATTTTGTCTCTTGTCTGAGCCTTTTCCCTCCTGTGTTTATCCTGGTTATTTCACCTGATGCAGGCACCCATCACTGGCAGTTTGTCAACAGCCACGACAGGGGGTGGTTACCAAAGAAACCGGATGGTAACTGGTATTGATTGATACACTTGTGAAACTTTGCTCCATATTGTATTTATATTCATTCAATGAAACTCCACCGCTGCACTGTGCATCAGTGATATACCAGTTTTCACTTCAAAACAGGCAGCTGGTAGGAATCATTGCTCCTAATTATTCCCACACCTAGTCAGGTGCAGTGTGCTTTTGTACAATCACGCATTTACCTGGAAATCCAGAGACAAGACAGGGTAGCCTGCTTGTTCACTGACACTGCAGACGATAGTGTGATTTCTGGGGGGATTTACTCGGTGCTACAGACAGACCTTTCATCCTGACTGAAGGATTCTTTTCCCTACGCTCTTTGATCTGGGTGGGATTGAAGCACCACCACCACCACTTAATTCGATTGATCATCATGAAGTATGCCATGTGTTGCATTGCACGTCATCTACATCATTGCACGTCATCTACATCATACGTACGACGCATCCCCACCATCAGAAGTCCCAGCTTCACTTCCGTTGCTCAGAAGTGAGCCTTACCGACCCATAACTGGAGCAGGCAATCAAGGTGGAATTCTGGCAGGCACTTGCTACAGGATAAGCCCTCGTAACCCGCAGTTAGGCCAGCCAACCAGGAGAAAACTCTAATACATGTACAGTAGCGATTATTGCACTAACGCAATGTGACAAATCTACACACGTAGGTCATCCCTTCACACCTATCGCTCTCCCCGTTGCTCTGGGGTGAGCCCTCCTGACCCGCAGGTGGGGCAGCCAACCAGGCCGAACTCGCTTGGCCACCATTGCACTTGAACAAGACGGCAAACCTACACCCATTGGCCATGCCTCCACACCTATCGCTCCCCACGTTGCTCCGGGGTGAGCCCTCCTGACCCGCAGGTGGGGCAGCCAACCAGGCCGAACCCCTGGCACTTGTAGCACCTGCAGCAAGCCATGTGCATGGACAGAGAGACGGTGGTGAGAAGCGGTGACACATCAGCGTTCAGGAGTGGAAACATCTGATTATAAACAAATCAGTTTACCATATCATAGACACGTGGCAACGGGGGAAGGAAATAGGAGGTAGAGGGAAGAGGGGAGTGTACGGGGCAAGAGGGTGTGGGGGAAGAGGGTCTGAGGGAACTGGGTGAAAAGGAGGGAGGAGGGAAGGTTGTTGGGGCAAGAGGAAAGGTACAGCCAGGGAAAATGGGGGAAAGGATAGGCGATCACAGCGCATATGCAATTCCGGCTCACTTCCCCATCTCCTGCGAATAATGCCATTGGTCTTGCTCTTCCCCATCTCCCGCGAATCATAACTAATTATGAGACGTCTCTAAACGCGCATGCTATGCTATGCTGACTTACTTCCATCTCTCCAGCATGTTGCCCTTGGTCTTGCTCTTCCCGGTCCCCTGTAAATCACGTAAACACCAAACGGGTAAATTGTTGTACAATTTACAGGACAAGCGATAGTGGAGTGGAGACATCTGAAGCATTCATCCGGGGCACGGCGTGTTGAAAAACGGCTAGCGTATTTCATCTCAGGCAGAAACAGAGATGCAGTACCTTGCAAATGGGACAATCCACGCCTCCTGTGCCTCTGCACGTGCTGCACGAGGCTCTCGAGACCTTTCCCTTAGCCGGAGGTGACTTTTTCGGGGGGGACTTGGACGGCGTGTCGGCCTGCAAACGACAGGTAGGGACGGGAGGAGGCAAAGATGGTGATGATCTCGAGGAGTCAGGTGCGGCAGAATGCAGCTTACATAATCGCCGAATTCAGGTTGATAACGAAATGTATGAATAAAATTTTCGGGAATACACAGAGGTTTGGAAGAATGCACATGGAAGAATGTTCAGAATCATGAGAATGTCAACGGAAACCGATGGAAAGAGAAATGAGGGACCCTGGCTCATGCAGAGCGTCGAGCACATGGAATCTAAAGTGCATGAAATCCACCAGCCGGATTTTCAAACAACGTCTCAGGACAAACTTCCTTAGTACGGACGGTCTTACGCCCACATTCAGGTAATACACGCAGAACGAGCGGTCATTACGAACCTTGGGCTTGCCCCAGCCGAAGAGCGCCTTCACCGCGACTGAGCGCCGGCTTGCGGATTCGTCTCGTGAGCACGGATAAGTTATCACGAGCGGCTGTGAAACTAACAAGCTGTTTCCGGATGAAAGCTGCCCATTGGTTGCTTGTGACTGGCCCAATGAGCCAGTAAACGAGACCGTGGCCATTGTAGATAGAGCCATGGGTACGACGCCGGAAAGGCAATCAATAAATCGACACACTGAGTGACAAATCCGCAGCGTATTTCGACAACCAAGATGAAGAACGCAGCAATTTAATAATGGTTCGATACTGGACGAGCCAGCCCCGCTATCGGCAGCTGTGACCCTGCTGCCTTTCCAATTATGAATTGATAAAAAGTACACAGGGGATTTTATGTCAGGCTGAGGGGGCTGTCTGTCCTCTCAGTACCAAAGCTGCATTGCACCACATAGCCTCCTAGACCACCAGAACGGGAAGGCATTTCCCGCGAACCTGAGTGGGTCAATTCAACACCCTAGACCAGATTCGGAACTTCCGATTGAATCACACATGTGGTCAGCGGTGGCCTGTGCTCCGCCTCATCCACTACGTGGATCCTTCGGTGTTGATTGGTTGTCGAGCAACGACCACGTGGACTACAGAACGCGTTACAGAAACCTTCGATTCTTCGACGGCTACCAAAGGAGAAGATGGAAACACTGCCGATCTTGATAGCTGTACGTGTATTTTATTGATTACAGTACCCGATTCCACCGCAATTTCGACGCGTGATTGACAGCGTGTCTGTTTCAGTTATGAATATTTTAAGGTTTTAAGGTTTTATTAAAAGGTCGTAACCTAAACATTACATTGCAAGGAGCAGGAATGGCAAAAAGCCAAAACTATCCAAGTTTGCGCAGAAAAGCGCTACCAGTCCAGCCGCAGCCAGTAGGAAGAGAACCGTTCCCTCCCACCTTGCAATGAGAACAATTATGTATCATGGGGGACGAAAGCAGTCGTTCAGCAGCCAAGTCTTCCACAGTGAATCATGGATGCGTGGTATACCAGAGTTGTCGAACGAGAGGAGTCGTTTCGAGATGGCTAACTTGGTTCTGGAATGGATAAGGCGTTGGCGTTTGGCAGAGCGGGAAGGTTGACGGGAAAAGAAAAATTTGCATGCCGAGAGGAAAAGCGCGAGCACATTGTGCAGGGTGTCAACGATAGAGGAAGACTCCTGGTCGTAAAGATAAGCACAGCGCTCATTCCATATAACCTTGGCGGAGGCACCGACGAGCAGGCTCCAAGGGGCAACTTGCCCTGCTCGGGAAGGAAGAGGAAAAAGGGATTGTTCTAATTCGATCCGTTGCCCAAGATGCTGCACGGCGACACGTTGGACGGCTGAGAGGATGGCGGCAGCGTTGCCGCACTCGAAAAAGATATGTGGCAGAGACTCTGTGGGGGCAGCTGGACAACGGGGGCACGCGCCACCGGTTGATGCGAATCTAAATCGAGAACCGGACGGGAGCGAGCGAGTGTAGAGCCGGAAGAGAAGATCACGTTGGCGACTCGGTTGCTCTTTGAGAAAAGGGTGGAGGAGGCCTGGAAGAGACGGGAGAGGCTGGCGAAGGCAGTCGTTCCAGCGGTGAAGATGCGTAGTGGGACGGGTGGTGTAGAGCAGATTGCGGATCTCAGCAAGGGACGTTGGGCCGTGTTGGGTGATGGAGAACCGAGCGCTGAGACCTCCTCCGGAGCAAAAAGTACCAGATACCCATCGATCTTGAACGAGGACCGGTATGACGGCAGAGATCGGCAGCACGACTTGGGCCTTGGGAAGAGCAGCTACACGGCGACCGTCGGGGACGTCGAACGAGTGGAAGCACGCCAAGCTAAGAGAGGGGCGAGAGAGAACCTGAAGGATTTGAGGGACGGCACCAGTCGGTGGTGAGGCCAGGACGGCCCAATCCCCACACTGTAGGAGGTCAGAGTTAGGCCGAAAGGATTGGATAACGTCCCACCAATCCTCGGGGATGGCCGAGCAGAGAGCCGCGAAGATTCGGCGCCCGCTGGGGAAGCTTGTAGGAGGAAACTTAGCTTTGAACTCGTTGGGAGTAAGTCGGCGAGTGCCGGTCCGAGCGACATCATGAGAAGGCGTAGGCAAGAAGCGTCGAAGGGCGCGTTGGATGTTGAGCGCCTGGACTTGGACAGTAGGTTCAATAGCACCAAGACCACCATCCTTCTTTTTGTTGTAAATGAGACGTTTAGGAATGAGGCGGGAGACCAAACCGACCTCTTTAAACTGTGACGACGAGAGGAAATTTCCTATGACATTCTCCAGCTGTTGGAGAACCCCTAGTGGTGGAGGTTGAAACCGAGCGCTGAAGGAGAACAGCGAATTAAGTCTTTCGGTAGCGAGTAATTTCCTGCAAGTTGCGGTTGCTTTGAGTTTGGAGAGGAAGGTGGCAGTCGAACGGATGCGAGAGAGAACACGGTCCCACGTAGCGGTGCCTGGCGAAGACTGCTGGATAAAAACGCCTAAGATACGTTCAGCGTCGTCAAAGTGGCGAATGGGGATAACGCCAGCATCGCTGATGAGGTCAGGAGAGCAGGCGATTGGGAGAACGGAACATTTATCCCAATTGGGGTGTTCGCCGGAGACAGCCGCGAACGTTTGGAGCAGCTCTTTGGCCGTACGTAGTTCAGCGTTGGAGTTAAGGAAGATTGAGATATCGTCCGCATAGCATGCGGCCAATTTCCGTTGAAGTCTGGACAAAGCAAAACCGGTGTAGGCTGGTCAAGAGATGTCGGTGAAGGACCTCGATGACGCAGATGAAGAGTAGTTAGCCTTGAAGGCTGTTTCAGTTATGAAGAGCCAAAAGGTTGAGCGCTTTGGCTCGGGCAACAACGAGAAGTCAAAACACAATCTGGGTTCGTTCATCATGAGCCCCGATATTTTTTCACGTCTCCTCATGCCATGGGAGAGACACATTGATCTTGGGCCGGTCGGTTGGCCTTTCGGCAATCCGAAAACCATCGGGCGGTACTGTCATCCCTGCCCATAAGTTCCATGTTCTGCCCAGATATGGCTGTGACGTCTCACAAACAAGAACGCTATTCAAGGAAAGCTATTTCACTTACAATAAACGCTCAGTGAAAGGTACTTACCCAGTTATTAGCTTGAGAATGAGAAAAAGCACGTTATCAAGCAAAAGAACACACAACTTCAAACGTGAAGCAATTTCCGTAAACATTACGGAATGGGCATGCTGGCAACAAGGGGAACCCCAACCCTATTCCTCCTCTCATCTTGCACTCGTCTCAGTTTCACTCTTGGTAACTCCAGTGCCCTCGCTCTCCATGGCTGCCTCTCGATGTTGTCATATCGCGCTGGCGAGTTCAACAACTTCCCCGTGCGACGTTTCCACAGCGGCCGTTGCTGCTGCTTATCCCAATCTCACTCTCGTTGGCGTCGGCTGAAAGGCTCCTCGCTGGCTCCGCAGCCTACGCTTCACTCCGTTCTGGTCACCAGAACACACACAACGGAAACCATCTCAGTCCCTGCCTTACAAGGTCCTTATTTGTCTTACAGAGAGCGTCGGAGAACCCGAGTGTTTAGCAGCGTTTTGCGCAGAAACTTCTGGAGGCAGCTTCGCACTGTATCATTCCTAGGAATTGATTGCGCCTGCATCACCCCTGCCGTCACTGCTCTCTGAACCACTGACACACTGTGTCGCGAATCGCGGTTACTTTCGTGTCCCCGTCACCCCTGACCGAACGCCGGCCCTTCGCATTCCCGCAAGCCACCTGTTGAGGGCGTCTCTCAGTGCCAGGCTCACTCGCCGTCTCGGAGTCGTCGGTTTTCGAGAATGTTCAACAGCCAACTAGGCTCCGAGGAGTCGTTTTAGGAGAAGCCTTTGCTTCCAGCCTGGACTTAACGATCGATTCAGCGGCTCCTATCAGGGTCTCACGAGTCCAGACCGATCCTCCTGGGCCTCACTTTGCCCCTTCATCGTTCAACCGCGGAGGAGTCGATTTAGGACGGCCTAGGAGCAGTCCTCCTGCCTCCAGCGACTCCTTTCGTGTCATTACGGGTCTAGACCAATCCTCGTCGTCTCCCTTCCCTCCGTCGACTAGGAGGAACTCGTCCCGCGGTTCGTTTGACTCTGCCTACTCCTCCCATCTTCCTCTGCAAGAGGTTTACGCAATTCCGGCGAGCAACCGCTCGCTTCCGCCATGACTTCGAATTCATCCTTAACTCCAAATACTAGCCTGGTAGGACTAGGACTGGGGACTACTGATAGGAGCTCTGGGATAGAGCCTTCGAGTCTGACGGGCCGTCACCGGCCGGACACGTCTGCTGCTGACGTTATCGGAGTAGATTCTTCGACGCCGGGTCAATGTGATGGTTCTACTGAGGCTGTTCTCGATATAAGACTCCCCGTTAACGGTGTTGAGTCGCCCCCGTGCGGGCTACACGATGGCTCAGGTGAATTGGCGGAGCTTTGCGGCCGGGTATATGGAAACGGGTTACCAACTTCGCCAGACCAGCCGCCGTTTCGTCAAGGCTGCGAGCTTCCCTCGAAAAGCTCCCCGCGGAATGAGGCGAATGGGCCCAAAGGCTCCGGTGGAAAGGGCAAGGGAAATGGGGTGCGCGTGCGCCTGCCGCGGAGCTGGCAGGGGGGCGCGTTTTTGCTTCCGTCAAGGAGGCTTCGGGTGTACTTTCGGAAGTTCCGCGGAATCGGGGAGGGTCTTTTCCCCGCGTACCCGAGCTTTATTGTCGTCTTCTGGTCCTTCATCGCGTCGTTCATCGGTGCGCGCCGCTTTCCCCTTTCAGCTTTCACTGGCTCGCTCTTTCACTCGTTTCAGATTAGATGTCGCTTTTTGGTTCGCCCTTTTGTCTTCGGACCAGCCTAGGTGCATGCATCCTTCCCATAATGACAGGAGGTAATTGCTTATCCCACTTTTAACCTCCTTTTCCCCATTTTTCCTCCCACCTTCTCTTTTACCTACCCCATCGTCCCGCTCCCGCCTCCCTCCCTTCCTCAATACCCACAGGCATAGCTTGGTGTGCGTTTCTCACGTTCAACACGAGCATGCAGCAGACTCTGAGCCCCTACCCCACCAGCACTGGCAGCAGCGCCAGCAGCACAACCGGAAATGGGCAACCGCTGCCGCAGCAGCAACAGGAGGCTGTGGCATCGTTTATGATTGGCTCGTTTGGTGCCACAGCGGTGCTCATATTCGGAACCATTCACTTGCCCCTTCCCCTTCCCCGTTGCCCCCTCCCCCCTCCCGCTGGCATAGCCCTGTGTGCGTTTCTCGCGTTCAACACGAGCATGCAGCAGACTCTGAGCCCTCACACCACTACCAGCACAACCACTACCACCACCACCACCACCACCACCACGAGCGAAAGCGTCCAGCAGCAGCAGCAGCAGGAGGCGGTGGCGTCGTTTATGATCGGCTCGTTTGGCGCCACGCCACAGCGGTGCTCATCTTCGGAACCATTGACTCGCCCCTTCTTCCCCTCCCTCCTTCCTCCCCCTCCTCCCCTCTTCCCCCCTCCCCCTTCCCGCAGGTATATCCCTCTGTGCGTTTCTTGCGTTCAACACGAGCATGCAGCAGACCCTGAGCCCCTACCCCACCACCAGCACAACCACTACCACCACGAGCGAAAATGGGCAACCCCAGCCGCAGCAGCAGCAGGAGGCGGTGGCATCGTTTATGATTGGCTCGTTTGGCGCCACAGCGGTGCTCATCTTCGGAACCATTGACTCGCCCCTCTCACAGCCCCGAAATGTGGTCCTCGGGAGTGCCGTCTCTGCTCTCATTGGCGCGCTTATAGCAGAGATCTTCTCTATAGGCGGGCTCGCGTTTCCCAATACGTCCTGGCTGTGGCTACAGTGCGGGCTTGCGGTTTCCTTATCCATAGTGGGTGCGTCCTTGGTTTGTTTTTCACTATATGTTTTTCATTATCTGGTTATTCACTATCTGCTATTTCACTATCTGGTTATTCACTACCTGCTTTCTCACTATCTGTTTTTTCACTCACTGCATAACTTTCACGTTTTGAACTTCTGAGACGCCTGATAAATCTTTGCTATCTGTGCAGCTAGCTAGCTGTATAAATTCACGTTTTTTTTTTTCCTCCCTCAATTTCTCCCATACCCCTCTCCCTCCCCGTTCCCCGCCTCCCAGTTATGCAGCTGCTGCGTATCGTCCACCCCCCTGGGGGTGCTTCGGCCCTGATTGCTGTCATGTCGCCTCCCTCCCTGCGTTGCCACGGCTTCTTTGTGCTCACTCCCGTGCTGCTGGGAGTGTGTATCATGCTCGCTGTCGCTCTCTTGGTCAACAACATCGCCAGACAGTAAGCCAACACATGCCTTGCCTTTATCTCCTCCTTTTTCTGCTCGTTTCCCCTTCCCGTGCCTTGCTTGTCCCGTATCTCAGCACCCCCTTCTTTCTGCCGAGTCCCGTACTTCTACTCTTTCTGCCGTGTCCTTGCTTCTCTCCGCTGGTCCTCTTCCTCGTCCAAGTACCTACCTTCCCCTCCCTCCTTCCACTCACCAACTATTCACCTTCCACTCACCCTATCCTTCACCCTCTCACTCTCCACTCACCCTCCCCCTCACCCTCTCACCCTCCACTCACCTCTTGCCTCTACCCTCCCTCCTGCCCCCTCCCCCTCCTCCCGCCCCTCCCTCTCCGTCGCCCCGCCCGGCTCCTCAATAACAAACAACCAGGTACCCCCTGTACTGATGGCGGCCAGTTATCCTGGACATTCCCGTGCCAGAAGGCTCCACATTCCACTCCCTGTGTTCGCTCACCTACCTGTGCCTCTTGCCCGTTCCCTCTCCACTCCGTCCCCATTCCTTCCCCACTCTTCCCACCAGGTACCCCCTGTACTGGTGGCGGCCAATCATCCTGGACATTCCCGTGCCTGAAGGCTCCACATTCCACTCCCTGTGCTCACTCACCCACCTGTGCTCTTTCCCCACTCCTTCCCACTTCCACCCCACTCCTCCAACCAGGTACCCTCTGTACTGGTGGCGGCCAGTTATCCTGGACATTCCCATGCCTGAGGGCTCCACACACCACTCCGCCTGCTCACTCACCCACCTGTGCTCTTTCCCCTCTCCTTCCCACTTCCACCCCACTCCTCCCACCAGGTACCCCCTGTACTGGTGGCGGCCAGTTATCCTCGACATTCCCGTGCCTGAAGGCTCCACACATCACTCGGCGGTGACAGCAGGCGAGGCATACCACACAATACAGCACCTGCACGCCATGCACTCCCCCGTGCACCACGCCTCTTCCCAGCTGCCCTCCCAACAGCCCTCTCAACCGCCCTCTCAGCTGCTGCCGCTGTGCCTGCCTTCAAGCGATGCACAGCGCGTCCACGCCGTACACTCCCCTGTGGAGCCTCTCGTGCAACCCCTCGTGCAACCCTCCGTGCATCCCCCCGTGCACCACGGTATGGGCCATGCCGCGGGCCATCGCAACAGCAACAGCAGCAGCAGCAGCAGTGCGCGAGACCATGGCATTCATGTGACTGCAGGCGAGGCGTACCACACCATTCCGCACATCCATGCCGTTCATTCCCCCGTGCACCATGCCATGCCACATCAGCCCCTCGGCCTCCACTCAACCAGTGACGCTGCGACAGCTGGCGAGCCGCTTCACAGGGTAGGGAACACCCATCCGCCGCCAGCGCTTTCACAGCATGTCCATCCTCAGCAATCATCAACGGTGCAGAGCGGTTCAGATGCTGAAGAGGACAGGCCGGCTAGTCGTGTTCATGGCGGCACGGCGTACATACAAGGAGGTCGTGCGAGAGAGGAAGCGTGTAACCATGCTGGTTGCGCGTGCACGCAGCAGGGCACGCAGATGGCGACCGCGGCAGAAGCATTGGCAGCAGAGCTCACCTTTCGTGGCGGGCCGTTCCGCCACGTCAGCAACTCCGCGGTGCGCCACGTCAGCGTTCCCTCGCTGTCACCAGCAGCATCGTGACCGGGACAAACAGCAGGTCGAGCAGCAACCGCAACCTTTTTCGGGCAGCACAGAAAAACTTTCCTGCTGTGTCGCCGATGCCACGTCATTACACTCCTCTCTATCTGATGACGAGGCAGTTGATGACAGAAGAGAGCACAGCAACACTACACGGGACAATAATTCATCGGGCATTGATCAACAGAGTCCACATGCTGTCAGTCAAGCTGGAACCGTTGATCAAACTTCTGCTGATGCATTTGCACGTGTTGATTTGCCAGCTGATACTGATCCAGCGGCTGGGGTTAATACAGCTCCTATCCTTGGGGACTCCATCAAGGAAGAACCCTGTTCAGCTGAAGCTGTGCCTGATTCTGCGGGTTCTGTAATTGGTTCAGCACACACCAAAGCAGACTCGGTCGATGATCCAACAAGCAGCAGGGAGCATAGAGTATTTGGCGATGACTCTGTCAACATAGATGGCCTTTCGGCTGCTGGAAGGGCATCTAAAGAAGGTTTAGAGGAGTCAGCACCTCGTGATGGCCGGACACCAACGTGAAGCTAGATTAGCATGACTGATAGGTAAATGAATAGCATCGGGTCGGGTAGTGGTTATGTCAATAAGTTGTCTATGCCCTAGCATGAAAGCATGGATATGTGGTTCATATCAGGAGAACGTTCTTACCGTATGCCATTATTTGATTTCAAGATTGGAACACATTCTAACAACCACAATAATGTGTTTTCACCAAAGACTCCTGCTAATAACATGCTAGAAATCAGAAAATATATTTTCACGTAATCCATAACGTCAGCTCAACTAGCATTCGGTATCTGTACACTCCCAGTCACTGTATCCGCATCAGTTTCATGCCTTACGAGCAAACCCCAAGGTCTCTTCGCATTCCCATAGCTACAGCGATTAAAGTAGTATCGCTAAGCTTTACTAGTCGGGATTAGCTAGTATTCCAACTAGCGAGTCGCGGCGCGGTGCTCGCTCTAGTCGACGAAAATCTCATTTATTTCAAGTGTTAGGAAAAAAAAATGTTCCGAAGGAATAGCGCGGGATTGGCTTATGTTTTTCCTGGTTATCCTATATAGGTTACAATACCACCCTAGCTTCACATCCCTTGAACGCGTAGTGAACAGATGGCGAAGGCGGCGGCCCCGTGGTGGATGGGTGATCCTAGTCGGCCTATAACGGATCAACCGGAAGGCACTTTCGTTTGGGCTAAGGTGCGATTTGCTCATGGTTTCTTAGCCTAAATGGAACTTGTCCTCACACGTGTATATTTAGGTCAACAGGCGTTAACTGCGTGCATGTTCATATCATTCCTTAACTAAGTGGGTCATTTCAGACTCTCGCCCCTGTTTCTCTTTCCGTTTCCTGTTCTCCACCTCCCCACTCCTCCCCCTCCTCCTCTCCTGTTTTTCTTCCTGAAACGTGCTTAATGGCATGCAGGCATCATAGCATTACCTCTCAACTGCTCCACTCCCGCTCTTCATCATGCCCTCACCACCACTCCCGTTTTCTGTTCCTCCCCTCCCCTCTTTCTCCCCTCTTTCTCTCTCCCACTTCCTTCCCCCCAACCACCTGCTCCCCCTGCAGAAGCGCGCTCAATGGCATGCAGGCATCATAGCACCGCCTCTCAATCGCTCCACTCGCGCTCCTCATCGTGCCCTCACCACCACTACCGTTTCCTGTTCCTCCCCTCCCCTCTTTCCCCATTCCTCTCCTCCCCTCTCTCCCCCTCCTTCCCCCCCTGCAGAAGCGCGCTCAGTGGCATGCAGGCATCATAGCGTCGCCTCTCAATTGCTCCACTCCCGCTCCTGATGCTCCCAACATTCCTTCCCATGCACTCACCGCCAACACTCGAGCACGCTCCTCGCATGTCTGCGTCTTCCTGCCTCGGGATGCCACCTTCGTCTGGTGCTCCCCTGACTCTCTGCTCCCAGTGTGGATCTACTGACCCCACTTTTGAGGTGCCTCATAAGTCATCTGGTGCTCCTATGTCTGGTGCACCCAGGACTCTCTGCTCCACGTGTGGATCAAGCCGGACCTGCTTGGCCCCTCTCTCTCCCACCTTCCTTCCCCCCTTCACCTCCTCCCCTCTTTCCTCCCCTCTTTCTCCCCCCTGCAGAAACGCGCGCAGTGGCATGCGGGCATCATAGCATCGCCTCTCAACAGCTCCACTCCCGCTCCTGATGCTCCAAACGCTCCTCCCCATGCACTCACCACCACCACTCGAGCACGTTTCTCCCATGTCTGCGTCTTCCTGCCTCGGGATGCCACCTTTGTCTGGTGCTCCCCTCCCCAGACTCTCTGCTCCACGTGTGGATCTACTGACCCCACTTTTGAGGCGCCTCATAAGTCATCTGGTGCTCCTTTGTCTGGTGCCCCCAGGACTCAGTGCTCCACGTGTGGATCAAGCCGGACCCACTTGGCCCCTTTCTCTCCCACCTTCCTTCCCCCCCTTTCACCTCCTCCCCTCTTTCCTCCCCTCTTTCTCCCCCCTGCAGAAACGCGCGCAATGGCATGCAGGCATCATAGCATCGCCTCTCAACTGCTGCACTCCCGCTCCTGATGCTCCCACCACACGAGCACGTTCCTCTCATGTCTGCGTCTTCCTGCCTCGGGATGCCACCTTCGTCTGGTGCTCCCCTGACTCTCTGCTCCCAGTGTGGATCAAGCCGGACCCGCTTGGCCCCTATTCCAGGCCCGTACTTAGGAAGCTGGTGTCTATGTGTGAGGGAAGTGGTGGGGAGGAGCGGGAAGCTGTTGGTAGTGGTGGTGGTTCTGCTTTTGGTGGTGGTGGTGGTGCTGCTGCTGCTGCTGCTGCTGCTGCTGCTGCTCGTTTTGGTGGTGCTGTTGGGCTGGAGAATGGTGGCGTGCCAGCAGGAGATGCTGCCACGTCAGCTGGGCGAGGGAGGGAGGCTAATCGGCTTCCTGATTGGGCGAAGCCGGCGAGGCAAGCAGCGGAGGGCGGGGGCAATGGAGGCAGGGAGGGAAGCGGGCAACGAGGAGGTGACAGTGAGAACGCAGGTGGAGATGGGGAAGATGATGACGGAGGGAGTGAGGGAGGGAGAGGACGGAGTGACGGTGTGAGAGAAGGGGAGGAGAACCAAGAAGCTGGAGGGAATCAGAGAAGAAGTGGAGGTGGTATAGGAGGTGGTGGCGGTGGTGGGAGTGAGTCAGGCAGGGAGCGGATTCTGAGGCGGATGAGGAGGGTTGGAGTGCTGACAGTGGCGACAGAAATACTCGACTTGAGTGATCAGGTCCCCTTAGAGGTACTTATGTACGTATGTGTGATGCTTGCTGAGACCACATGAGGATTCTGAGGCGCATGAGGAGGGTTGGGGTGCTGACAGTGGCCACAGAAATACTCGACTTGAGTGATCAGGTCCCCTTAGAGGTACTTATGTACGTATGTGTGATGCTTGCTGAGACCACATGAGGATTCTGAGGCGCATGAGGAGGGTTGGGGTGCTGACAGTGGCCACAGAAATACTCGACTTGAGTGATCAGGTCCCCTTAGAGGTACTTATGTACGTATGTGTGATGCTTGCTGAGACCACATGAGGATTCTGAGGCGCATGAGGAGGGTTGGGGTGCTGACAGTGGCCACAGAAATACTCGACTTGAGTGATCAGGTCCCCTTAGAGGTACTTATGTACGTATGTGTGATGCTTGCTGAGACCACATGAGGATTCTGAGGCGCATGAGGAGGGTTGGGGTGCTGACAGTGGCCACAGAAATACTCGACTTGAGTGATCAGGTCCCCTTAGAGGTACTTATGTACGTATGTGTGATGCTTGCTGAGACCACATGAGGATTCTGAGGCGCATGAGGAGGGTTGGGGTGCTGACAGTGGCCACAGAAATACTCGACCTGAGTGGCCAGGTCCCATTAGAGGTATGCACGATCTGAACAGAACGAAAGAAAGAATAAAAGAAAGAAAGAAAGAAAAAAAGAAAGAAAGAAAAAAAGAAAGAAAGAAAGAAAGAAAGAAAAAAAGAAAGAAAAAAGCGTCTCAATTATATTGATGTGTGGCTCGCTTTCGCTCTCATATTCCACCCTGATTCCAAACTTGAACAGTGCTGAACAAATAAAGAGTACGGCCCTTCCTTCTCTCCCTTCCTTCTCTCTCTTCGTGTCTTTTGAGTCGACTCAAAAGTCACCGCTGGACTGATAAAGAGTACGGCTCTTCCTTCTCTCCCTGTCCCTCCACCCACAGCTCCTGCTCCTCCTCCCGTTTTCTCCCTTAGAGTCTCCTTTTGCTCCCTTGTACTATTCCTGCTCCTCTCCCGAACCTTCCTTTTCCCCCTTCCATCTCTCTTGCTCCTCCCCTGTTGCTCCTCCTGGCCATCCCATCCCCAGCGTCCCTCCTCCTTCTGTTAGGCTGTGGTGCTGACGGCTCGCTCCGTCTCGTTCTGGTCTGGCTTTGCTGAAAGGGGTGCTGGAGCCGAGTCGTATGAGCAGCAGGGAGAGCTGCTTAACAATCCCATCCCACCCCCCTCCTCCCCCTAGTAGGCTGTGGTGCTGACGGCTCGCTCCGTCTCGTTCTGGTCTCGCTTTGCTGAGAGGGGTGCTGGAGCCGAGTCGTATGAGCAGCAGGGAGAGCTGTTGAGCGACCTCTGCCAGGCAGGTGATCTGCTTTTCAAGGTTGAGAGTGGTTGAGAGAGGTAACTCGTGGTGACCAGGATGGTTCTGGAGCCGAGTTGTATGAGCAGCAGGGAGAGGAGAGCTGCTGAGCGACCTCTGCCAGGCAGGTGATTTGCTTTTCCAGGTTGAGAGTGGTTGAGAGAGGTAACTCGTGGTGACCACGATGGTTCTGGAGCCGAGTCGTACGAGTTATCTCTGCCAGGCAAGTGGCTTTCTTTATACATGCTGTTGAGAGTGGTTGAGAGCGGTAAGGAGTGGTGATGAGGATGGCCGCGGAGCCACGTCGTATGAGCAGCAGGGAGGGCTGCTGCTGAGGTATCTCTGCCAGGCAAGTGGCTTTCCTTATACATGCTGTTGA